ATATGTTGCACCCCTTTCTGCAAGGGATGTTTGGGCTGGGATAATAAAAATGAAGGACTCCTTGCTATATTCCCCAGGCAAATCACTGCAGTCTCGGTCTCAGGCGGAGGCTATAAAGCAAATCGTTTGACATTTGTTTTGATTTGCCATGATTGCTAAAAATATCTGTGAGACAGAAATGACATTGGGCAATTGGGATGCAGAAGTAATAAGGAAGCCTAAACGGTATGAGATTATTCCGACAAAAAGTTGGCAGAGAACAAGAAACAAGATTTTATTTATTAAAAGTAATAATACTTTCTTAGGGTAATTGTTTTAAATTTGCATCATTCACTGAGTCTTGCATAATTCAATAAGGACCTTATGACCCTTACTTTCCCATTCCATTTGCGGCTTCATTATCATCATCATATGCCAGCAAACTGACCCAACTGACCTTTTTAAGTGACTCAACTTTCCTGTTCATAGTGGCGCCGAACGAAACTTTATTCTTATCATAATTTCGAAGACAATTAGTCCGCAATGTGTGCGCTTCTTCGATATGGAAACCCACTCCGAAAAATCGTATCGATGGCAGGGAAACTTGGTCCGTGTCTTCGGGAGCTACTTAAAGTTTACAGCCGCCGGGGCCAAAACAATGCCAGACAATAATTGGCCAAATTTATTGTAATTAGCCGCACACGCAAGCACCGGGCACTCCACGCTATCCGGCAACCCGCCACATGTGCCCGGACACCGAGCTCCGGCGTAATTATTAACATTAGGGAGGGATGCTCGTCCGGACTTGAGAGCACTTGTCACATGTGTGCGTGGCGCTTTGAGAACGCATTTAATTGCACAAAGCCTCTTTGCTCTTAGAGAGTTTTTAAATAATTTAGTTGTGTCGTTAGGCCGGGCCTGGCCACGCCCCTTGTCAAAGGCATCTGGCAGGACAAGTCGGGCAGTCGGGCGGTCGGGCAGGCGGGGCGGATACGTAATGCAGTCGAGTCACGTCACACAGCATGTCGCTAATTTTTCTACCTTTTTTTGTTGCCACTCGGGCACAAAGTTTCCTTCTCCGCAATGCGCTGGCTAAAATTTTCCCTTTCTTTGGGCAGGGGTCTAAAAAGAGGTGGTATTCTCGGAGGATGATAAATTGTGGGGCGGGATTAACTTGAGGTGGCCTCGGCCTAAGCTGTCTATGTCTTTTAAATTCTACAGAACTCTTGTTTTAAAAATTTTGTTGCAAAACAGCCTTAATAAGAGCTAAGAATACCGGGAAAAAATCACTTTTACCACTTACAATTACTAGACTTTGACTTATGTTGGAAAATGGATACATCGTTTTCGAATATCTACTCTTATTTTCACTTTCCCGCATTCTTCTTAGTTAAAACTTCGCTTTGTGCGTTTAAAAATCCCGAAAATGGCTTTTTGTCAAAGGCGAGGTACAGTCACCACCTCGCGCGGTGAGCACGAGCATAACGGTAAAACGCTAAGAAGTGCAGCATAGCGCACGGCGCACGTTTCCTTTTTGTAAACTTTATTATTTCGTGTTAAAAGTAAATAAACTTAGCTGCCAACGCCACCCCACTGTCCTCCTTTGTGACACCCTCATCTTCTGGATCCCTCCGTTTTCCGTTTTCCCCGGAGATGTGTAAAAAGGGGAGTTCTGGGTGGTGGGCGCCTTCTACACATTGTTTGCCATTTGCGGTGGACGGCGACATCCTCTGTCAGCCAGCCAGTCCAAATTGAAATTGGACATTAGACGTTCACATACACAAACAAGCCTTCGTACTGAGAAAAAATATGTTACACTTTGGAAAATAGGTTTGTATTTGAGGCACTCGATAACACATACATTTGTTTTCATTCTTATTGGGAATGAAAAGCCATTTAATTGACCAGTTTTGGATGATTATTTACAAACTGAATATTGTATTAGATATTTATCAACTGCATATGTACATGTACTAGCAATCGAGAATGTCCGCGTTGTCTTTCACCGGGATCAACATAACAATACAGTTATATTACTATGCTAATCCTGGAAAAATTCAAGGCGGACATTCTCGATTGCGACTACATTATTGCAAGACTAGTACGATAGTAATGAAACCTTCTTCACGGAGACCAAATCACGACTGAGATTCGGCTTAAGTAGTCTTTAAATTAAAAAGTAGATGATTAAACCAAATTATTTGCTTCCATGACGAAAAGCCGGTTCAAATGACTCATAAAAAGAATTTAAAGCGTAAGCCAACGATCATCAAATATGACTCCCGACATTTATTGATATGTTAATTTTACATGACTCAATATTTGGGTTTTGCCCAAATGCACTGAACTTATTGATGCACAAGGGTTATCTATTTTTAAGTAGAGTATACTTTTAGACTGCCAAAATCACCTGATATCAAAACTTAAACAACGAGCAGATCCGGTTATGATTTTTTCAGTGGACGCATATACATATATTGAGATGGCAACTTCTGTCGGCAAGTTCAACAACAACCACAACTAGCACAACAACGCGCACAACAACCGAACACTAAGGCACACACTCATTGTGAATGACAACGCCCCTGGTACGTGATTTCATTTCCGTTGCTGTCTTTTGTGCATTGACTCCTCCTTCCTTTTCCACCCCCCACTGGGTCCTCTTTTCCTCAGCCCCTCCTGTTTTATTTGTTTTCTTTGCAGCGTGTTTATTTGTTTTTTTGCGGTTTGTTAAGGCAGCCAGTCAATGGCCAAAAATTAATATGCTGGTTTAAAAAATAAAATGCGACTAGCTGTTTATGTGATTTATCCTCTGTGTCGTGTTTTTTTATTTAATAAGAATGAATGAATGAGTAGCACAACTAGTTTGTTGACGCTGTCAGATAAATCCAATAACGCGGGATGAATTGAAAATTCAACGAAACATTTATCAAAAAACTGTGAAGCAAATAACGAAGTAAGCAGCAATCTTAAGGAGAATGTTTATTGCAAAAAATAAAATGATTTCGAATAATTTTTTTTTTTTCATATTATATATTTCATGCATAAATACACAACTGTAAAAACTGTTAATAGTATCAAATCATGTGTAGTCCAAACATTGAGGCTTGAAAATTTTTCCCAAAAACTAGCTCATAACCGGTTGTTAATTTGAATATTGAATTGTGGGAGCATATTGGCCTAATATCATTCAAATTTATTTCAACTCCAACGTTATCTTTGCCGTAAGCAAATCATGCTCCCCTATAATTTTTCATAATACCTAACCATAAAAGATCACCCATTATTTAAGGAGATTTTCTCTTCCGACAACCAAAGGTTATTTGTGGGCAGAACTCGGTAAATCTTATTAACACAAAGACTGCCACTGGCGCTTCGAAAACCGGCTACTATTCAGATATGTAAATTGAATTAATAATAAATCTGATCGACCTTTACATGGCTGTTTAACAAGTCCATCTTAATGACGGGAAGCGAAACTGAGAAATCCCCGAAAATATAGTTTACATAGGCCGGAAAAAAATCTACCCGAAGCCAAGGGGACATATTGTCACCACGAGATTTTTTCGTAGATACCGAAACGATGGCTTTGGACGGCTATCAAAAGTGTGGATGAGCAGTTGAGTGAATAAACAATGGTTTAATTGGGATTCGCCTATAGCAACATCTGCTGAATAGCTGGCCATTAAACCGGGCCAAGTAAAAACAATATCGGAAGCCATTTGCCATGCAAATGCTAGGCAAACATCAAGTTGGCTATCTTAGCATGTCTAATACGATCGGCATTTACATACATGAAATATCAACAAATGCAGAAGATATTTAGCTGCCTGGTAGTCCAAACTAAACTCCGAAATTTAACAACAAGTTTTTAAATGTTTAACTTCACGCGGGCCATGAATAATGTGATTAACGAGTTTGCACTTGAAGTCCAAACAACACCCCAAGTCATAAAGCAAACAGAATATGACAATATATGGATTTCTTGACCTGTAGGTAAATCAAACCATTACTTATTTGCAATTTGGACAATTTAATATGATCCATGTTGAGGGGAGAAGAATAATGGCAGCACGAATTAAGTTGAAGAGGAAATAATTTAAGGCGCAGCGATGAAGCGTTCATAATTAAAGCCGGCGTTTTATGCGCTAAGGTCCAAACAATTATCCGAGGTGTGGATCATATAATTAAAAACTCTTTAAATCTTCTTCTGAGAAGCATTCGTTGAAACGTTATGCCATAAATAGAGGGAAATTGAAATCAGCTAGTCAAATCTATAATTTTAGGCCGCGACGTCAGCTAGACCCATTTTACGACCATATTCGTGGGCAACTGGTTTGGGGAAATTAATTGGCCATCAAGGGTTCGTTAGATAACAAAATTATGGGCCTAAAAAATTCTGTTTGTTTTTGACAACATATAGCTGGCATTAGCATAAAGTCTACCAAATCCGTTTGTATTGGGGGCGCTTCGTCGTAGACAAAAGATTCCATTAAGACCTCTGCAAGAACGTTGGCAAAACTGATGAATATTTTCGATTCTCTTGGTCCAGAACAATGGCTTCTAACCTTTGTGAAACTAGTCGTAAAAGCCAACCAGTTTCTGCGTCTGCATTCGCTTCGAGCGATCATTGCAAATTTCCGGCTACACCTGACGCATGTGCCAAAAACTCCGATACTCCGATACTCAATAAATCCATCTGGCCAATAAAACCCCTGTGGATCCCATAAAACATGCCGTTAGCAGTCTGCACCACATTAATGTCATCTAAAAGTCACTTGGGGTGTTGCCCACCAAATCGGCTTATCAATCTATCGGCGGCTAATCTTCATTCCTTAAATCCAATACACACCAACTGAGCGCTACTTCATTCTGACGACCCCCAAAAACAAAACCAGTAAGAAACCTCCACTGCGCTGAATATTCAGATGAGCCGTTAACGATGATCTTCGCTTGGCCTGGGGCTCAGTTCGAGCTTGGCTTGCAGAATTTTGGGCTCGGTCTCGTATAAATAGTTTGCCGATGGGCCTCGTCAGACAGAAGCTACTCAATCGCTCTTGGAGTAACAGATCGCAGCTGTCATCATGGTGAGCCCACCCGCCTACCCAAGGATCAAGGATTACAGTTCTTAACTTTCCACTCTGTTTGACTTGCAGAAATTCCTGGTTATTGCCTTTGCCGTCCTGGCCTGCGCCTATGGCGACGTCTCCCACCTGGGTTACGACTACTCTCCTCCGGCCCCGGCTCCGGTTTACCAACCCGCCCCGGCTCCGGTCTACCAGCCTGCTCCTGCTCCGGTTGTGATCCCCGCTCCTGCCCCCGCTCCCGTGGTGATCCCCGCCCCCGCTCCCGCTCCGATTTCGATCCCTGCTCCGGCTCCGATCTCGATCCCAGCTCCCGAGCCCGTGAGGACCTACGTGCCCCCTGCACCCATCAGCATCCCAGCTCCAGCTCCAGTCTACCACCCAGCTCCCGCTCCCATCAGCATCCCGGCTCCTGCTCCCATCAGCATCCCGGCTCCTGCTCCCATCAGCATCCCGGCTCCGATTGAGATCCCTGCCCCTGCTCCAGTGAACACCTACATTCCCCCCGCACCTGCACCAGCTCCGGTCTACCAGCCAGCCCCTGCTCCCATCCCCGTGAGCATCCCGGCTCCCGCTCCCGTTTACCACCCTGCTCCCGCTCCCGCTCCCGTGGTGATCCCTGCTCCTGCCCCAGCTCCGATCTCGATCCCTGCTCCCGCTCCGATCTCGATCCCAGCTCCCGCTCCCGTGAGGACCTACGTGCCCCCTGCACCCATCAGCATCCCTGCCCCGGCTCCTGCTCCAATCAGCATCCCAGCACCGGCTCCAGTCTACCACCCAGCTCCCGCTCCCATCAGCATCCCGGCTCCTGCTCCCATCAGCATCCCTGCCCCGGCTCCGGTCTACCACCCAGCTCCCGCTCCCGCTCCCGTCTACCAGCCCACCAACACCCAGGTTCTGGAGGAGATCGAGCCCGTCTCCAACGACGGATACCGCTACAAGACCGTGCGTCGTCGCGTCTACCGTCACCGCTTCTAAGCTTCTAACCAAAGCCCAACGAGAAACTGTTTCCTAACGAATCCCCACGGGGACTCGTAATAAAAATTCCGCCTTCAATTTGTTAAACAAAAAGAAAAGTCTTCAAATTGTTTTCCAATCATAGCAAATCACACGGGAAACGGGGGGAGGGGGCTCTTAAGTTTGCTCTGGCCATTTGAGTGGGAAATTTATGAAACCCGAAGAGATGGCGAGACGGGTGGAATCGCCTTTCCATCGGACAGATAGTGCGGTAAGGAGGAGGAAGAGTGGGAGGAGGGGGAGGAAGGATAATAAGGAGTTTCAAGCAAGTTGCGGAACACTCCCAAAGGACTCGATTCGACGGCGGACTCCATGCAGGTCCTCGGTCCTCGCCACTCCACATTTATCACGAAATTTATGGCCTGGAATGAGCTTTGATGATGTGGAAATTTTTTCTCGTTAGATTCAAAAGTTTTCAGATGCACTCAGAAACTGAAGAATTTATTGAAGACAACTGAAAGAATTAAATAAACTAGGCTAGCAAATTAAATAAATTGAAATAATCATGATATTTTAAAAAACGTTTTATAATTTGTTTTTGTGATTCACTGACTTTCTAAGAGGTAAGATTTGGTAAAACATTACGTAGAATTAGTTCATTTACTCAATAACTTTTTAAAGATTTATTTTGCGTTTAGAAATAATGATTACAAAGCGTTTAAATAAGTTGAATGTTCGAAATTCTTACAAAGGGAACGATACTCATTAGAAAAATGTAACAACTTTATTGCGATTTGTGATTTTTGTCTGTGCACCCACACGAAATCGATGATTCTGGAGCTGCGACTTAAAACGAAGACGGAACCGAGTGGATTGGCCTCATCAGACGACCACTGACCACTTGTGGCTGCTAACAAGTGGCAGGATGGAATCCAAGGCGGAGTTGGAACAAGGACATCGACAGACGATAGACGCTGCGCAAAATTAACAAGAAAATGCAGCGACAAATGTCTACGGAGCTCCCTCCCTCGCCAATTTGATTAGGGAAATGTCTGGCTGTGGCAGAGACTTCGGGGAGCCGGAGCACCGATTTTCTAGTCTGAATTCCGGGACAACCACGGAGCCACATATTACACTTGCCACTGCGCATACTAATTAAAAGCGCAAAAACAAACGGCGGAGCTACTAAAATTAATTGCGTAATTAAAACAAAATCATTTTTTTCCGCCGCCCTCCCTTTTGGCCCAACCACAACGGATTGATTGTCCTGGCTTATTTCGTTAATTGCATTCTGGTCAAATATTGGCAGCTCAATTAAATGAATTAAAACGCATTTTTGCTTTGTGCGGACCTGCACACGAGCATAGAGGATCTCTTATGGGAGCAAGGATGGGAAATACTAAAATCATTTGACAGGCAATTACAATTTAGAGACGATTGGGGCAGACCGCACACCAATCGGCGGTGATTAGTTTGTGTGGTGTGCAAATTAAATATTTAAACTATTCCGGTGGTAGCAAGTTATTTTTAACTATTTCTCTTAAATAAAATATCAACAGTCCAGCACGTAGACAAGCTTTAATCTCTTAAGTATACCTACAACAGAATGATATCACTACAAACAGCAGACTTTCTTCATCCAGATGTTTTCCCATTTCACAAATCCCCGCCAGTGATTAGTTGAATTCAAATAGTAACTACAATATGGCATGGATTGGGTGATTTTCAGCCTCATTGCACTCCACTTTACCGAGCAGAAGGGCTGGCGATTAAATAAAATCAAGCCAGGTATGGCGGACACCCAACAATTGACAGTTGGTTGCACTTCCAACCGCACTTAATTAGCAGTTAATGATGCCTGATTAACACGCATTATGGCTGCGACCCATCGGCATCTCCGCCAGCCAGTTTCAGCCCATTGCCACCCAGAATAACCCCATCCGTGGCCCTTTGTCAACCAACCTGTCCGACAGATGGTCGGAAAATGTGTAGTCAATGCTTTAGGCGCCGTGGATTACAAAATAATCACGAATCAGTGGGCCTAAAAGTATGCAGAAGAAAATGCTCCAACGGAAAAAGTGAAAATGCTGCGGCAAAAAACGAAAATGTCATCATCAAACGCTTAAAAGAAGGACTGGTATTCGAATGGTATATTACCTTTATTACAAAAATAAGTTGGTTCAATTCCACTACCACCATTTTATATAACCTAGGAAAATCTCCCTTCTTTGTATTAATTGTAATTATCTTTTAATGATATTTAATTTATGCATACCCTAACGAACTGTTGGGATAACTTTGAGTACGAAATATACCCTCTATTCCCGGCTCACTCAATAAATCGGGCGTAAAAACTGATGGGCCCCTCGAACCGCCCGGAATCGCAGTCGTTGGCCGGCCGGCTTTCAGGTTTAAAGCGACAGTGCGAAATCGAACGTGCGGAGTGCACATGGATATGGGACATGGATCGTTGGGAAATTGACAGTATCAACGTAATTATATCAGCAGTTGGGGGGCCCGAAACGAAAAACAAAACGGAAAAACGAGGAAATCCAGGAGGGCTGAAAATTCGTGGAGGGGCGACGGCAGCCACTGAAATATGCAAACGTTGACTGCCTTCATTTATTTTTACTGTTACTGCATATTGGGGCGACAACGGAGGAGGGGGGCGGGGTATGGGGATGCGGACGGGGATGGGGAAAGTCCAGGCAGGAGGCGCGAAAATAATCGTTATCCTGGACAGGTGGGTCCTCGATTTCCAGCGCGTTCGCTGCCAGCAGTTGCACTTCATTTGCAGCATTAATTTGTCGCCCGTTGATTTATCTGGCCGAGGTACATATAGCCGAGCACACATTTGTAAAGATATATACCGACGTGGCGAATGAATTTATGAGCTGGGCCCATCGAACGTCGAAAAATGTTGAAAATCGATTGGTAAGAGTTCGACACTCCCTCTTGAAGTCCGGCAAGTCAACGGCTGATGTAGTTGCATTTTGAATATTTATGAATTCAGTGTTTGCACCAGCAATGCAAAGTAGTTATGCAAATATTTTAAACGACTTAAACCGATATGGAGTTAGCAGCTATCTTCGTTTAAATCGAAGCGGGTGTTTCCATAATCGTATTAATTTTTAAAATGTATACACCTCATTTGACTGGACGCAGACTGAAGGTTCAGTGAACCTATAATTCAAATGGGCTAGTAAATTACGGGCCAGACTGAGTGAAAGGTATCTAAATTGCTAATCCTTGAATGTCCAAGCTATTTTTAGAACCCAAAAAACTTTTAGTTAAACATTTAAAGCTTTTCTGTGGCAAAACAGTTCAAATGCCAATGAAGAAAACATTTTCCCGATGCCAACTTTGTCCGCTTTTTTTGTGCACTTCAAGGGGAACGAACTATATATTTCGCTCGTGCCCTCCGATGACGCCACCATGCAGGGCATGTCAACTATTAACGGGCAAACAACTAAATTACGTATACGCAGCGTTGCATGACCAGCATGCCATTGCGGCTATGTGCGATGCTCCGTTAGAGAGTGTTTGTGTATTTGCTCGAAATACATTTGCAGTTTCGCTTTATTGGCGCTGCGAAAATAATGGAATTGTCAAAATAAAAGGGGTTAAGTGCTTGTTTGCATAGCTTTTTGACAAAACCAACAGCAAAAATGCGCTCCCTTCGCCTCATGTGCATGTTATTGGGGTTTTATTTTCACGCTCTGAGGAAAACAAATTCATCGGAAATTAAATCACTCCGGCGTCGGGTAGTCTCCGCGGATTTTTGGCACCAACCGGAAAATGGAAAATTGTTCATTAGCAATTTGTGTAATTAAAGGGAGCGAGTGCACGGGCACAACAGTTGTCCTTCACCGTTTCGCCGGGAAGGAACTCGCCCTTTCTCCCACTTAAAGTGGCCCAGAACTTCCTGCCCGTCTGGCTAATTTGTTTTCCGCTTGGCAGTGACACATGGCGACAGTCTAGATGGCGTCATGTTCAACTTTGACCCGATCGAAGCCACCATCGCCGGCTAATTTTGGCGCCCCCGGCCCATCTGCTCGGGTTCCCATACATAATTAAGCAATAGGCTCTTGTTTTTGGCCACCTTATCATAGCCAATCAGACAGATTAATGGCTGGCGGCTGTAGACCAAAAGTCTGTGGGCCGTAGGCCTCTGTTGCCAAAAGTCCGAGAGCGGGTTTCCAGTTTTGGAGCGGCTTTAGTTTTGGTAGTTCAATTCGATACACTAAAGCTCAAATGTTTTATGCAAATGATATTTAAATGAAGACAATGGCAAAAACAAGCAAGTACGAATGGAGAGGAGCATGTTGGACTTCGGACACTTCTGTTTGCTCCAGTATACTAGAATTGGTTAAAATGATGGTGAAAAAATAAAGTATTGTGCTTGCCAATTCTTTAATTTAGTATCCCAATTTATTAAACTAGAGAAGTAAACAAAAACAAAAAAGGAAACACAAGTTAAGATAATTTAAAATGCTACATGAAGCATTTAAGATTTAGTCCATCTGTGCAAATTCCTCGAGATTCACATTAAATCAATTAAAAGTGTATGTATAATTATATCAAAATGATGTGTGATAAACGACAGTAGTTGCCGAAACAACTCTTCCTGGTCGGCGTAGGGTATCTCAGTTGACCATTGGTGTGGCTCGTTAAATTCTGGTTTCTGGCATATTAAGAGACCCTGATATCCGCACTTCTTCACTCGAGTTAATGTTTATATTTGACTTCTGCACCGCGCCCCGGTTTGGTATAAATACGAACCCTCGGATTCGTCCAAGACATACTAGAAACGCCAACGTTCCAAGTAACACATATCAAAAATGGTTAGTAGAGATTGGAGGATGAATAGTTCTGGGATCCTAACTGACTTTACCTAATTTGCAGAAATTCCTGGTTGTCGCCGTTGCCCTTTTGGCCGTTGCCCACGCCGATGTGTCCCACCTGTCGGGCTACAACTACGCTCCCGTGAGCATCCCCGCTCCGGCTCCCCTTCCCGTGAAGGTGGCTCCTGCTCCTGTCCCAGTGAACACCTACATTCCCCCCGCACCGGCGCCAGCCCCCGTCCAGGTCGAGATCCCCGCCCCGGCTCCCGCACCCGTGGTCATCCCCGCCCCCGTGAAGGTTGCCCCCGCTCCCGCTCCCGTTGCCATTCCCGCTCCCGCTCCAGTCAACACCTACATCCCCCCCGCACCCGTGCACGTTGAGATCCCCGCTCCGGCTCCCGCTCCAGTGGCCATCCCCGCCCCCGTGAAGGTTGCCCCAGCTCCCGTGCCAGTCGCCGCCCCCGTGAACACCTACATTCCCCCCGCACCCGTGAGCATCCCCGCCCCCGCCCCCGTGAAGGTCGCCCCCGCTCCCGTCCTGGCCCCCCAGCCCGTTCTGGAGGAGATCGAGCCCGTGTCCGCCGATGGCTACCGTTACAAGACCGTCCGCCGTGTGGTGCGTCGCCGTTACTAGGGAGTTACTCCGTCGCTTCTCCAACGGAGAAGTTCACTGAATAAACGAAAAATATAGAATTTACTACATAAACAATGTGCATATTGTCCGGGAAAGTCATAAAGGGGAGATATTAGTCTTATAATACCAAAAGTGGTATAAAAGAAACATTAACACTTTAAATTCTAAAAAAAACATAAGTTGTTATGCGGGGTTCTCTTAAACCTTTTTAATTACCTTCAGAAATTCTTAATGGAATTTATAGTTCTTTAAGCAATTTATAATTAATTTTCCAGTAGCAAACATTTTAAAAGAAATGTTAGATATATATAATATATACATACAAGAAACAAAAATACTTGGTGGGAAAACTATTATTTACCCTGTGACCTTTATGGCCAACAAGGATTTATTGGCCATTTATCTACTCCCAACATCAACTTCTTCGTTCCCCAAACATGTTAATTGTCCAACAGCCAGATGAAGCGTCGCTTAAATAAACTGTTTTATAAGCCAGGTGTTCGAAAAAGACAAGCCCAGTCCGGACTTGAGTAATTAATTAAGCTCCGTCCGACAAAAGACACCACCGCCAGACTTTGTCAAGATCAGCATAATCTAAGCAAATTGAAATTAATTTTGGCATAAACTTGAAACGACGCCATAGGCCCGGCCAACTGCTAATAATTCGCCCAGCTCAAAACAGAAACGAGAAAACTAAAAATAAAAATAAAACCATAAGCACGCGGAGCCCAATAAAATAATTATAAAAACATAAGAGCTAAGCCAATCTGGCGTGTGACCCACGAGCATTCATCAAGAGAGCCAAATAAAAACAAAACGATTTTCGAAAATGAAACCATTTTTCAACATGCAACAAAAGGTTTGTTTGATCTAATTAAAGAAGCTTTGGCAGTTTCTGAAGACTGAAACAAAAAGTGGGCCCAAGTCAAAGCAGAGATAATGCGATTTTCGAAAAAGAAACTGAAAACTGAAGCTAAAGCCAAAGTCAGAAACAAAAACGAAACCAGAAAACCCGTCAAACTGCCTTGGCATTGGAGGCTCGTTGTCGTGTCGTGTGTTCGGTTTCGCTTGTCTTCCGACTTCTTCGAGTGAGGCTAAGACCCCCATGTATCATGGGGGCATCATGCAATTAATTTTGCTGCGGTTGACCCGCAGCCCCAAACAAACAATGAGCTATAAAACCGAAGGCACACTTCGAGTTCAGCAGCACAAATCAACTTGTGATCCAAGCAGCAACAGCCAATCTTCGAAAGATGGTGGGTGCCAGGATCACAACTCAAGGATTCTGAAAATAGCTTACACAAACTGTGGAATATTATAAAATATCTTCTTTCCCTCCTAGAAATTCCTTATCCTCGCCGTCGCCTTCTTGGCCTGCGCCTACGCCGATGTCTCTGAACTGGCCGCCAGTGGCTACGACTATCCCCAGCCTGCCCCACCGGCGCCCGTGAAGAGCTACATTCCCCCACCGCCACCACCACCACCACCGGCACCCAAGAACACCTACATCCCTCCCCCCGGCGGCTCCTGCCAAGGCCTACATCCCTCCCCCACCACCACCACCACCACCGGCGCCCAAGAACACCTACATCCCGCCTGCACCACCAGCTCCTGCGCCCGCTCCCGTTGAGACCTACATTCCCCCCGCAGCCCCCCGCCCCCGCCTACATCCCCCCCGCCCCCGTCCAGGCGGAGGAGCCCATCATCGAGGAGATCGAGCAGCCCGCCCAGGACGGATACCGCTACAAGACCGTCCGCCGTCGCGTCTTCCGCCACCGCAACTAGAAATCGGAAACGCATTTGTTGACTAATGTGATAATGTTATCTGGAATCTGTTAATGCTTTGTTACAAGATCGATGTTTTGAGGAGAAAATAAATGATGAAAAACAAATAGTTACTTGTTCATAATGGGAAGGAATAGAAAAAGGAAATATAAAAAATGATTAGTAAACTAGTTCATTAAATTAATAATTACCTATACCTAACATATTGAAGTAGGCCTTGGAAATGCTCCACAAAAAATACAAGTACAAAACATGACGTTCCAATAGATAAAACCATTCTGCCCATCAAGGGAGTCTTCCCAGAATGTGTCTAATCAGAGAGGACTCAGCAAGAAGAAGAGGTTCCTGTCGCGTGGTCAAATGGATCCCCTTCATCGTGATCCTGGCCATGGTGGTGTGGTCCTACTACGTGTTGGTCTACCAAATTTGCATACAGAAAGTGAAGGACTGGTGGATAATGGGGTTCCTGCTGTTCATCTACCACCTCCTGCTGGTCATGTTTCTGTGGACGTGGATCCAGTGCATCCGCGTGCCTCCCGCCAGAATTCCCGATCAGTGGAAAATACCTGCCGAGGATGTGGACAGGCTGAAAAGGAGCGAAGGCATGGAGGGAGCAGCGCGTCTCCTTGGCAACGTCGCACGGAACTTGCCAATCGCAACTTGTACACCCGACGGACTGGTTCGATATTGTAAGACCTGCTGGATCATAAAACCCGACAGGACCCATCACTGTCGAACGTGCCACACCTGTGTGCTCAAGATGGACCACCACTGCCCCTGGATAGTGAACTGCGTCCACTTCCACAACTTCAAGTACTTCATACTCTTCCTGTTCTACGCCGAGGTCTATTGCTTCTTTATTCTCTGCGTGATGGTCTACGAGTTTTACTTGATCTGCGGGTTCAATCTTGCCTACATTAAACAGGAGCAAACCTGGAGCTTCGTTTCCCACGTGGCATGCATCATATTCAACGCCTTTACCCTGATTATGTGCTTGGTTAGTGTATTTCACGTATCCCGAAATCGCACCTCCATGGAATCCGAATACTCTCCTCACTTTTTCGAGGGCGGAAAGAACAGACGTGGATTCGATTTGGGCTGCTGCACCAATTTTCGAGAGCTCCTTGGCGATAAATGGTACCTGTGGCCCATTCCTGTATTTTCAAGTCGCGGCGATGGATTATCATTTCCGGTGGCAGTTGAGCGACTGAAGGCAGTCCGAACCGACAACCAGAGAAAGGATAATGGGCCAACCAGAGCTCAGATTGTCAAAGGAAACATGACCAGGATTCTGGGAATTCGGCAACCAAGTTTCGAATATGAATAACTCCTTGTGAAATCATTCCACAGTAAAATTATCTTCCTTTGCTCAGGTACATTAAAAGAAATACAAACAAATCACATGCTCTTCGAATTCCAATCTACAACGACGACAGAGAATCGTAGACAGTTCGAGGAGGAGAAACCCCATCAACGTCTTAATTTAAGAGTCATTGGCAAGTGCATCAGCAATTGGAAACTCCGTCCCGCTGAGTGGCCAACATCGATAAATCCTCGGCATTCCGGTTGCTACTCCGCTTTTCCCACACTCGCTGCGGAGTCGTTTATAAAACGCTTAACATTCGTGACATATTTCGCATTTGGCCGCGCGTCGGGCGCAGAAATTTATAGACTTTATCCATTAGGAAAACAATTACGAGTGCAAACAATGGCCACTGTGCGATGTCCGATGGAATGGACTCCCCGGCCAGAGGCGATTCCTCGGGCACCGAGCATATGTTGGGATTGTCGCGCCCCAAGTTCATTGTCCCCGTCTATATTTTCTTATTATGCTGTGGCGACTTCTTGACTGCTGCAACACAAATCCAATTACCTTCAAAATAATAAACTTATGTACATACCAAAAAGGAAAAGAATGCCATCCAGCGCCCCCTCTTTCCTCCGCCCGCCGCACGCACATTCTGCTTTATCAACTGTTGATAGACTCCGTGGGGAATTTTCCGTATGTCACGACAAAGAAGATGCTGGAACTGGAAATGGAAATGGAAGCTGTCTGCCGTCGGGCGGCATTTTTCCTGCTCCTGTGCGCTGTGTCCTGAGTCTGAGTCCTGTACCCACTTTTTCACATGCACTAAGGGAAATCAAAAACCTAGAGAAACCTTAAAGGTGCTCAAAATGCAGCATTAATAATTCAAAGGGTTTTAAAATTTGAATCAACAAGTTATAAAGACATCACTATATAAATATTATTAAAAACAAATTTCAAAATAATTATATTCTTTACAGATTGTATAGTTATATTTCCTGTTCTCATAAAATGCTGTTAATTTTGGAGTAACCTGGTCCGATCTGATCAGAATTTTTTGCCAGTGTTTAGACCATGGCTTGCTGATTTCCACAGCTTGTTTGCTGCTCATTATTCGCCTTTGGCTGGTCCGGAGACGTGGTCGTTGCTGGTCGCCAAATGCACGAGCGCAAATAATTTTTGCCACTTGCATGTCATCAGCATAAAGTGAGTGCAAAATATGTGAACTCGACTTGGCAGCGGAAATTCGCCTTAGAGCGCAGAGTCAACAGCAATTGGCCAAATGACTTGTAAGGGTCTACTGAAGGAGCAGAAGAATAAGGAGGAGCAGAAGGAGAAGGAGGAGAAGGAGATGTCCTGCCCAGCCAACATGTCCATGTCGCAATCCCCCACATTCGGAAAGCTCGCAGCTTATTGAATTCGCATATTTTCCCATTTTGCATTATGGGCAAACATTTTTTCCATTTCGCCATCCTTTGTTTTTGTGCTCTGTTTGATTTTGTAATCGAGGATTTGTTTGCTTTGGCTGGAGCCAATCGATTCCCGGGAAGGGCGGCCACTTTTTGTCCCTGCTCATTGAATGTTTCAGCAATTTTTGGTTAAGTCAAATTGGTCTAGTCGTCGATTTGACCTTTTCACTGCCAGACTTTCAAAGGGGGGAAATCTATTGGAATGCCAGAGTTGGCCAGAACATGTGTTTGGCCTTGAGCGGTTTGTTTAGGCTTTCGTGGGGGGTTTGAGTTGAAGAGGGTTGGCTGACTGAAAAACGAGGGGAATGGTTATCGGCCAGTAAAAACCATTTAAATGGCGACTTCGGCATTGAGAATCGAACTTGGCGGTGATGGGAACCTGTTGATAAGAAAGATTGAATTTAAAAATTCCAGGATCTATTTTATGCATAAGCTTACTCGATGATAAGCATGTAAAATTATCAGAAGTATTCTGATTAAAACATATTTAATTCTGGATGCGAAACCAAACTTACCTCTTTCTAAAACGAAACAACAAATAAGTGAAACATTTTGTATGTTTTAAATACGAATATCAACTGATACTTATATTTTTCTGAAATTCTCCTGTTTACTAAACTTTGGTTTTCACCAAAGTAAATACAAGACAACAATTACGGGTTCAGTTACAATTTCTCTTCATTTTTTACTCTCCAAGTGAATTCATGATGATGGTTTTCAGCAATTACACTGGAGTCAACAAGTTAACAATAACAATTAGCTTTTCGCTTAGTTGCGGTGACGGAAGACGCGACGGCGGACGGTCTTGTAGCGGTATCCGTCCTGAGCGGGCTGCTCGATCTCCTCGAGGATGGGCTCCTCGGCCTGGATGGGGGCGGGGGGGATGTACTCGGGTGCAGGGGGTGCGGGGGGCACGTAGGTCTCAATGGGAGCGGGCGCAGGTGCTGGTGGTGCGGGGGGGATGTAGGTTTCCACGGGAGCAGGAGCGGGCTGCTGGTAGTCGTAGCCTCCGAGCTCCGAGACATCAGCGAAGGCGCAGGCCAAGAAGGCAACGGCAATGATAAGGAATTTCTGAAGGGTTCAAAATATATAGAACATTAATCAGGTCACTGGGTACTAAAGATTATCACATTATTGAACGGTTTCCAACTCACCATGGTTTCAAGTGTTTAGACTGCGCTCAACGATTGATGTGTGCTGTGAATGCGAAGATCACCTACGGCTTTTATACGGCCAAAACTATTTGGCCAACTCTAGCCGACGGCAACGGAAGCAGCAAGAGACCCAAATGACTTTGAACTTGATCTGCGGCTGATCTTCAACCGCTCACTCAGACTTGATCGATGAATCCGGCCAAATCGAACCGGTTGGCCAGCACTTTTGGATGCACAAGCCATAAATTGATGGAAAATTTGATCACGTTTCGTGTTCGCTTTTGTGAGCCTAATGCATCGCCCGTCCCATTGTTTTAAAGAGGCCGAGAGATGAGTTCGTTAGAGGTCGCACTCGAATTGAAGCTCTTGACTTTTGGCTTTTTGGTTGGCGCTCGAGGGGCAGAGCCCTTTAATTGATTTGCTTGTTGAACTCGGCCTTGGGCTTCGTCCCCCGCACGGAAAACACATTGGTCGCCGGCTCTGCTTGATTAAAACCAAATTTAATTTGCATCTCACTTTTGCTGGCTTACTTGGCTTTGTTGTTATTACTCGGTCGGGGTTTATTGCTGGACCTAACCCCAATTACAAAACTCGAAAGTGAACTGCAGTTGCGAAGTTTAAGTAGAGACAAATGTTCTGTGAGAAATAACAAGATTGCACAGTGGAAGATTCCGGGTTGAAAAGTGAAATTAATATTTTAGAAATAAATTTATCTTAACCAGATATGAAATTTTTTGCCAATTACCCTTCGTAATATGTTTTACTTTTGGCTAAGAATAGGAGTGTGCCTTAACTATCAACGAAACTTTTCATAAGTTCACTGTCCATTGTTCTCAGTTTTTTCATTTCCCTAACCAATTTCACCTTGATTTTTCCGCATCTCCTGGCATATTTTCATTCCAGTTTTTATTCTCAATCCGAACATTTTCATTCCTTCGTTTCGCTTTCCACTGTTGGCCGCCTTGTAACTTTTGTAGCTCTTGATAATATTGCAAATAATTTTCTTTTTTATGTTGATTATTTTTTGGACACCCTCCGCAGACACCTGAGATCCACCTGGCCGGGCCCTCCTCCCTTTACAACCTTTTTTATTAACTTCGTTTTCATTTGTGCCGTTGCCTTCACGAGCTCATCATATTTTAATGAGGAAGGGATTCGGCGGTATCGTCTTTTGGCTTTCCTTCCAGCTCCTCGGGTTGTTCTATGTTTCAAATTATTCTCGAGAGATTTGCAGTTCGTGATTTTACGGCAGCCAAAAAAGGGAAGAGAAAGGGAGTGTGGAAAGCCACCCCAGAACTCAAAAGGGGATGGTAGCCGCTGTGAGTTAAGACATTTCCCGAATGCAATTGCAGCTTTGGCTTTTAATTACCCCGCTTAAGTCCGTATTAACTCTGGCCTAAGCCTTTTTTAATTTGCCCCCACCTCGCCGCCAGCTGTCGTAATTGAATTAGGAGCCGGGAGACAATGCAGCGTCGCTGAACCTTTCACGCTGTTATCCTTGATAATTAATTTAGACGCCATTGTCCAGTGCACTCCCCTCCTTGCGGACCGGCTCCCCCTCAAAATCCTTTGCCATTTCACATCACGTGCGACGCTCTACTCGTCCTGCTGCTGTTTCTTTTTTCATAAATCGCCAGGACACACACAAAGTTGTCCAGCTGCAAATCAGAAAAAAAAAACACGGGGCTGGGGACCCCCGAAAAAATAGAGGAAGAAAATTCCCAGTTTTATGGGGAAAAAATGAAGCGGCAGTTTTGACAACGCACGTCCATCCTAGAAGAAAGAGCGCATGCACTGCAAGAAATTGGAACCAAAAGAAAAAAACAACTACATATCCATATCGACTTTTTAATTGGTTACAGAATTAATAAAGATGTACTATAATACCTAAATTGATTATTAATTTGCAAATAATAATTCTTCTATACTTCTTATAGAATATAAAGGACATTAAATTCTAAGTGCCTACACCATAAGAAATCCAGGTTATGTCAAGTATCCGATTGTTAGTAGTGGCTTAATTTTCGCTCAGTGTAGGGGGCTTGGCCGGGTCATGTGGCTTGCATATGGAACTACAATAGACAGGTACAAGATGCACACGTAGCACGCATCGCCAGAGCCCCAAGAAAGGAAATATGGAATCACCTTTTGTAAGTTCGGGGCCATGAAATCGAGTTTACATCTTACTCCTCTGTTGGCAACGGCCATAATTAAATGTCAAAAATGACGCTACGTGCGGAGCAAGCAAATCGGCTGACGAGTGCCGGAGCAAAGTTCACAAAAAACGGTACTTGCCATGTTCAATCGCATTAGGGTTTATGCAACTTTACCCAAAATAAACTTATTTTAAGCAATAGAATCGTAAAGTTCTCAACGCAGAAATTGTTGCATACTTTTGCTGTCACTTCTAATTGCTACGACGAACGGCCTGCAAATCGTGAGGTCCCGAGTTCGATTCTCAGTTGGGTAAACGAAATTTTTTTTTCGTATTTTTTCTTTTTTTTTTTGCATTGGCCCTTTACTTACCAAGACTTTCCACTTAGCCAACTTTTCTTGATATCAATTTATAATTTCTAGTACCAAGAATAGCCATTTGTAATCGCTTAATTTAGTGCCCCGAACTTTTACACAAAACGGAATAAAAAATAACCAAAGCCCTGCAACAAAAATTTGCCCAAAAGTAATTTAGCATTTTCGCAGATTCCCCTTCGCATCCGCCACATTTGCGAAACTCTCGAAAAGTAGCTGGAACTATTTAAAGTTTCCTTTTGCTGCTTTTCCCTCAATGTGTATCGTACTTTTTATTGCCATTCGCTATTATTTGTTGCCCCTCTGTTGCTGCATATGCATATTATGCCCCCGAGGCATAGGAAAACACTTCCCCCGCCATCTCTGCCCCGCCGAAAGCCAGACAACAGCAACGACTGCGATGGTTATGAAAAAGTACTTAACGTGCACAAAACTTATGTGCCAGGAGATTTTATTTTTTCCTCATAGTCGGGTAAAAGTTACAACGACATGCCAATTTTTCAAAGGACCAGGGGGGCTATAGGTACTTCAAGGGAATCGCAGGGTGGTCTTGGCAAGCTTATAAAATATTGCCAATAATACGTTGTTAGCGGAGAGATGCCTCCCCGAACGCAGAACGCATTTCTCCTGGTGGCCAAACTTTTTAATGCACTACCCAAAGTGCACAAACAGCATAACAGAGCTCGCAAAATCTATTCAAAGAAGCACTAAGCGTCCTCTGCTCCTACTCTAGCTTAATTTGCAAATTACTCGGTTACATCTCATATACATAAATATGACCCCCCACAAAACCCTAAAAAAACAAAGCGGAATGACATAAATTTTTTAGAGCACAACAAATCACTCAAAAAATAATGAATAGACAAGTTTTGTCGCATACCATGCTGAGTTTCACACGCTACGCAGTTTAACTCAATTTTGGATTTCAGATCTATTTGTAAAAAAGGAGCACCACTCAGAATTCGCTCTATCCGTTCTACCGAGCGATCATCGAAGCCCTGCGTCCCGAACGATGCGGAGCACCACAAAGAACACGGGGCAAATCCTCACGCTGCCGAATAGCACGATTCAACTCATCAACGCGGGTGCACTTGGCTTTCAGCTAGTGTGAAAGTATGTGAAGACTGACTACAGAAATGATCCTGTGAAGTATAGTCTTAACTTTTCACTGCCCGGCCTGTGGATCTAGATGCGATACCCGCCAGAACCAATTCGGAATTCTAACGAATTCAAAAGCAGAAAAAATGAACACGCGCTGTGAGTTTAGATAAGTATTTTAGGGTAGAAATACTCGTTTGTTGTTGCTCGAGTGATCGAAAAACAAAGCCAGCACAATTCGAAATCGAAAAAAAACTTGGCAGCGGTGGGATTCGAACCCACGCCTCCGAGGAGACTGGTGCCTTAAACCAGCGCCTTAGACCGCTCGGCCACGCTACCTACGATTTGCGCATGACAAATGCGCATGAACCACCAGAGCGAGAGACGCCAGTGACGTTTTAGCAATACTGACACATGAGTATCTGCGTGTTCGACTATTTTTATGGGCGCAACACCTTGCCTTTATTTTTCCACCCACACTGCAGCGCATATAAATGCTCTCATTTGGGAAAAGGGAAAATGTCAATCAAACGAAATCAATTTCTGGCACAAGCCTTCTGCTTCCGCTGCTCCTCTGCATTAAAATGTTTATTATATGTATTCTGCAAAACTGTCAGCGTTTTTGCCTGGCAGCGTAAGCTTAGAAATGCGTTTAAAATTCAAATGAAAATGCGAATTTATGCGTGACAGGCGGTGGTCGAGGTCCTCTTTGCTCACACATGCAACCGCAGCAACAATTTCTGGGCTGCCTGGCGTCCCGTGCTGCAAGCCATAAACTGAAGCCGGCGGAGTTGGGCAGAAGACTCCGCAATGAAATTAGAAAATTGCAATAAAAATCTTTGCACGGGACGACTGGCAAAACAAAACAAAGTCTGCGGTTGCCATAAGGGTGTTGTACGAGGCTAAAACGTAAGGGAAGCAGAGCAGCATTTGCGGTTTCATTAAAATGCCACCGAAAAAGGGAGCAAAAAGTCAGATGCCGTGTCAGCAGAGGAAATATTATGCCACACTCACGTGGATTTATTCAAATTTAAAGGCGAGCGGCATGGAAATAATTATAGAATTGTTCAATTTCCACGCCAGACAGCTGCTGGGAAAACACAAAAAATCACGTACAAAAAGAGCAGACACAGGCGAGTCACCTGAAACCGGCTAGGTAAAAACGCTAATGGAGTTAATTGTGGGCATTATCAGGAATGTTGGGCAGCAAGCTGCTATGCGGAATCAAATTAAATTTCAAACAATTGACAAATTGAAATGCTAGCGCCGGAAAGTGAACAATAGCCGCATTCCGAGAGCCGAGCGGTTTAGAAGAGGATAGTCGGATGTCCACTTAACATGCCCAGCAGCAAGAAGCCTTATATTAAATGAATGACTCGACGAAATAGTTTTGTCAAGACCGCAAAGTTGTGAAACTACTCGGAACAACAAGGAGCTGTGGAAAGAAAATATCTGCAAGCGGGAAAATGCTTAAATACCAGAACAACATTTTAAATCCAACTTAAAATTTTAATAACAAGTCCCAGAAGTAACAGCGACCGTCACTGCCCGAGCATAAATTAGCTATTTGACAAACGAAAAATGTAGGTAGCGTGGCCGAGCGGTCTAAGGCGCTGGTTTAAGGCACCAGTCTCCTCGGAGGCGTGGGTTCGAATCCCACCGCTGCCAAGTTTTTTTTCCATTTCGTTTTCGAATTGTGTTGGCTTTGTTTTTCGATCATTCGGAACAGTTGTCAGGCAAGATATTCAAGCAACAACAAATGCGAACCTATTTCTACCCCCAAATACTTATTTAAACTCACAGCGCGTGTTCATTTTTCTGCTCTTGAATTCATTAGAATTCCGAATTGGTTCTGACGGGTATCGCATCTAGATCCACAGGCCGGGCAGTGAAAAGTTAAGACTATACTTCACAGGATCATTTCTGTAGTCAGTCTTCACATACTTTCACACTAGCTGAAAGCCAAGTGCACCCGCGTTGATGAGTTGAATCGTGCTATTCGGCAGCGTGAGGATTTGCCCCGTGTTCTTTGTGGTGCTCCGCATCGTTCGGGACGCAGGGCTTCGATGATCGCTCGGTAGAACGGATAGAGCGAATTCTGAGTGGTGCTCCTTTTTTACAAATAAATTTAAAAATACTGCATGAGTTTAGATAACTGTTTCAGGCGTGTTGGGATTACTCTTGTCTCGCAGCGAAACTCTCGCTTCGCCACAAAAAATGTTTAATATTTTGAATATATATTACCTTCTGGCAATTATCCTATTATTTCTACAATAAATAGAACCATTTTAACAGCGCTTTAATTGAATATGCAGAACCGTTTACCTTTCCGTTCCCTAGGCAGTAATATTGTTGTTTCCGCCAGCTCTAAACACTGTTGCTGCTGTTGTTTTGCGAAGCAATTAAAACAGCACTTGAGGGGCGACCCTTTTGCCGCTCCGCTTGTTGCCAGTTTCAAGTGTTTTTGTTGCACGTTGACAGTCCGTTAAAGGTGACACAGGCTGGCGGATGGGGCACCACCCCCTGAGAATTATAAAACATTTTAGTGGGGAGCAGATTTCCGCTTTTTTGTTGCTTCAAGTGCGCTTCGTGCTCAAGACTTGGCTGTGAGTGGTCGAAAAAACTGCAAAATTTGTAATAAAATTTTCGCTAATGGGCGTGGGGCGGTGGAGCCTCTAATTACTTAGCGTTGCATATGAATGGCCCTCGAGCGAGGGCGTGATTTTTGGCTAAATTCAGAGTTGCAACGATCTCAATTAGTGGATGATGACTACTTGGAAGAGCCTTCAAGTGCCTTGTCCTCAGGGAACTTTTCAATGTTCGTGTTTTGACTGGTGAACTCCTCCGAAACCTCGAGATGGTCACATATAGTCCGTAAACGTAAAGCTGTAGTGCATAAATATTTGAGGAGCTTGTCTGCTGCACGCAACTACAATTAAGTGTTGCCTAGTTTTTGTCAACTGTCCCATTTGGTTCTGCTCTGGGGCCTCGTTTTTTGCCATTTGTGTTGCCAAACACGACACAACACGTAGTGAAAATTTATTTAAGCAATGCAAAGCAAATACGAGTGCCAGTTTCGGGACAGTGCGTGTCATGATAAGTAGTTCGGATCAAATGAATTAACTCATATTATTTTGCTCTCAGGATAAGTGATACTAGTATAGAAAGTTCCGAATTCTGAGGACATTGCTATAAAATTCTAGACAATAAGCATTCTTTTTACACTATTTGATTTCCTAAACATCACCTACAATTGTGATCCGCACTGTAACCCCTTCCGGTTTACTTACAATTGCCGTATTTTTTGAGTGCTAGCATAAAAACACATTTGAAATGCGGTCGGAAGGGAAATGGAAAATGGAGCCGAGGGAAAAAGAAAGGCAAGCACAGCACTCGGAGCAGCGCCACCTAGGAGCCCGAATTGACATCATCATCATCTCTGGGCCAATCGATGATGATGATGATGACGACGACGATGCTGATGGCAATGCGGCTGATGCCGTAATTGATGTCTTTGCGACATGCTTTCCCAAAGTGTTTACGTTGGGAATTACCCATGTGTGTCACTCGGTGTGAGTGTGTGTGTGTGAGTGTGAGTGAGGAGGGGTTGGGGGCGGTGGACCACGCCCCCAGCTAGTTGACAGCCTGCCGTTTACGTGCACTTAATGAAATGTGCCCCAAAATGGAAGCACGTACCGGGCATCTATTTAATGAGCCCGGCAAGAGGTTCTCTCGCAGAAACTTCGAGAGGGGTTACAAATGGGTGGGCGGAATATCTACTATTTGAGCACGGGTATTGCTCATGAAATTTTTAAATGTCGCAGCTTAAATTCAATTTAATTTGGCTGCAGAGGAGGCTGCATTATTCAATGGCACTCACACGTAAGCGGCTCAGAGTCCGCCCGCAAGTCCTCTAACGCCCGCCAAAGCCTCAGACCGAAAACCCCAACTCCAACCGCAGTTTAAAATTCATGTGAGCTTTTCAACAATTTCCCCAAACAAATGCGATTAAATGTGCGGAAAATGCTGAGCTCTTGTTCTCGCTTTCTCGCTTTTCTGTTGTTGCCGGATAAGCCACAATGGGTTAAGGCATCGTCTTGTTTGCACATGTGTCGCTAGGGGGCGCCACCCCTTAACCCCCCGCTCCCCAGTCGCCGGTTCGCCGTTCGCCGGTACAAAAGTCGGAAAAGTCGGGAAAGGAGTTGGGGCACACACATGCCGAAGGTGCAAAAATGCGTTAAACATAACATGCTAATTCCTGGCGCCTGCAGCTTCAATCTTTCACCTGGCCAGGGGGAATTCCCACACCCAACCAGCCACCAGAAGCCAGCCACCCCTCTAGTTCTCCCACCCCCTTCGGTTCAAGGAGATCGTCCTGCGGCAGGACTCGTTGGCTATGTAATACGAGCGTTTTGTGTGCCATTTGATGCCGAAGTTTTCCTCTATTTTCTGCCATTTGCCTTTCTGCTATGTGTGGGTTTGTTTTCCCTGCCAGAAGGTATTTTAATTTGGCTTATAAGTTAAGGTGGTACAAGGAGAACTTTGAAAACGGTTTAATGTCTGCATTTGCGAAACAGCAATGAACTACGTTAATAATAATAATAACATTAAATCCATCTTTTACTCCAAGTGGAAGAGTATACCATTTTCCCATCAAAGAAATTGCAGAATTCACTATATAATCGGAACTGATTCCATAGATCGTATATTCCGCAGCCCTGGAAATATATGCAGGAGCTTTCCAGAGCTTTTTCGCTCTCTCATTTATTCACGTGCTATCAGTTGATTTTCTGCACGCCGCCAGTCCAACTAAGTTTTTGTTATGGATGGTCCCAAAAACAGGGCCCGGGGATCTGCCTTCAAGTACGGACCGGCTGTTCGGATCGGAATCGCTGTCCTGGTCCTTCACACCGTCGGCTGGTTGGGTTGGAAGGCGGTGAATCAGGGGGCGGAGTCCAAGGAGGCGGCAGCGAATGCCAAACATGAGCAACTTAAAGCGGCCCTCGCCGAAAAGTGACGTAACGAGTGGTGATAAATCAATAGTTAATAGCAAACCGCCAAAGGCTGTGAATACGAAGTAAACAATGAAAACACTTAACGAGAATGTAAACACAAAACCATTTGTTTAGAAGTCTCTCGCAGAGAGCTGGTTTACTTAAAGCTTTTACCTGATTTTAATCGTTATTAATAAAATAAATACGTATAAAAAGGAAAAAACAAAAACAATACTTTCATTATAAATACTCGGACATTAATGGATAACTATCAAAGAGAACTTACTCCGTGTACATTGAGCTGCTGATTAGCAAATATTTACTGGGCAAGTTTATTAACTTGGTCAATATGCACATATCTTAAAAACGATCAGCTAAAGAGCAGCTTTGGCTCTCTCAATCTAAACAAAAGCCCTCCAGCTGAAAGCTTCGCTTGCTTTGGCAGAAGAAATCGAAAAAATATATTTCAAGCTCGAGTCAGTAGCGCAGTTCCCAAGCCCGAGGTTAGTGCTCGAGAAATCCGAAAAACACCATGGATATCTTATCGAAACTTCTCCTGGTCGCCGGCCTGCTCATGCTTAATTGGCAGTGGGTGGCAGCCACGCCACAGCGTCCTACTCCGCCCACCACCCCGAGAAGCCAAGCCGGCGGGGTATCCATCTCCCCACCGTTGATACCGAGTGTCAACCCCACGGATATTTTGGTCCAGAGTATCTTCAACATCTCCCCAAGTTGTCGGGAAGGAGAGATTCGGGCGGGTCCACGCGGCATGTGTCATCGCATCGCCTAGGAGATAACCTCTGCCTGGGAATTTAAAGAGGTTAAGCTATTTTGGAGTCACCTCGTTAGTTGACCAGTAATTGCCAGATGAAAACGTGCCACAAGCTGCGTTTTTATTGATACTAAAATGTATTAAACATACGAACAAATAAACTAATCAAAAATCATTTAAGTGCATTTCAGTACTTCTATTTATTTAAATTACTTATTAACAAAGGTTTGATATGACTAAGAACTCTTTGACAAAAGTTTGCTTAAGTGTATAATACATTGGGTTTGATTTCTTCTAAACTTAGCTAAGAAACATAAGTATCCGACAGGAGAATAAATCACTTTTCAGACTGGCCTCCGGCATTGTTCAAAAAACAATTTAAATCCTGGCCTGCATTTCTTGATGTCTTCCAGCAAAATTAGCATCGTCACCAAGGTGAGCAGATATAAAAAGTCTCTCATGCTGAGCCCCATTTGCTTGCGAAGCACTTTCTTCAAATTTCGATCAGAAACTGATTTTCCGTGAGACCTAGCCTACTAGAAAACTTCTTGTTATCTGCGTGCATCTCAAGAGCGTTTATTGATTGATAGCCGTTGATTGATTTTATTAGACAATGTTTATAGTAAGGGCCTCATAAGTTGAGGGTTGGTGCTTGTAAGTTACACAAGTTACTACGAGCAAAGTCCTTTTAGAAATGAGTTTGGTACGTCCATTATTTTGATAAAAATTTTTATTTAAACTCATTTAAATTTTAAGAATTACGCAATTACACAACCACTTCGAAATTTGGCTTCTTGACTTCTGGACATTCTTCTGTTATCCGGGTCTTTGGCATCAGGTTGAGATAATACCATGATTATTGCCACTATTATAAGCAGAGGATTTATGTTTTTTTTTATGTACTCCATGATTAACGTCCGCCTTCCTCAAATCTTGAACGTATATTAATGTAATGAATGTATTTCCATTTTCGAATTGATTTGCCGCGTGTTGAATCACATTATAAGCGAGTAAGGAAAGTGATGACACGTTGAAAAACCAACAAGAGTCTTAAACTCGTGGCATTGATAGTACTGTAGTTTGTCATGAATTAAAGACATTTTTACTAATTAATGATTAATGAGTATTGCGTATTAAAATGTATTTTGATAAAAATCTTTATTTTAACTCATTTAAATTTTAAGAATTACAGCCACTTTGAAATTTGGCTTCTTGACTTCTGGACACTCTGCTGTTATCCGGGCCTTTGGCATCGCTCAGGTGGACATAATGCCATGATTATAGCCACTTTTATAAGCAGAGGAATTATGTTTTTCGTTATGTACTCCATGATTAACGTCCGCTTCCCTCAAAACTTGAACGAATATTAACGAAATAAATGTATTTCCATTTTCGAATTGATTTTCTGCGTGTTAAATCACATTATAAGCGAGTAAGGAAAGTAATGACACGTTGAAAAACCAACAAAGTCTTAAACTCGTGGCATTAATTGTACTGTAGTTTGTCATGAGTTAAAGACATTTGTACTAATTAATGATTAATGAATATTGCGTGTTAATATGTATTTTGATAAAAATCTTTATTTATCATTTAAATTGGAAGAATTACAACCAGTTAAAGTTTAACAGTCATTTGGCTTCTTGACTTCTGGACACTCTGCTGTTATCCGGGCATTCGGCCAGGGCATCGCTCAGGTGGACATAATACCATGATTATAGCCACTATTATAAGCACAGGAATTACGTTTTTCTTTATGTACTCCATGATTAACGACCGCCTTCCTCAAATCTTGAACGTATATTAATGTAATGAATGTATTTCCATTTTCGAATTGATTTGCCGCGTGTTAAATCACATTATTAGCGGCAGGGGCGGACGCAGGGGGTGTTTGGGGGGTCCGGACCCCCCCAAAATCGCAGACTTTTTCAAATTCCCTTACAGCACACGGCCTTTCAACCATATAAACTAAAAATTTTTTTGACCGGACCCCCCCCAAACGAAAAATTTTTTTCGACCGGACCCCCCAAAATTTTTTTCTGCGTCCGCCCCTGATTAGCGGTTAAAGAAAGTGATGACACGTTATAAAAACCAACAAAGTCTTAAACTGATGGCATTGATAGTACTGAAGTTTGTCATGAATTAAAGACATTTATACTAATTAATGATTAATGAGTATTGCGTACTAATATGTAGTTTGATAAAAATCTTTATTTATCATTTAAAATTTAAGAATTACAACCAGTCAAAGTTTAACAGGCATTTGGCTTGTTGACTTTTGGACATTCTGCTGCTATGCGGGCCTTCGACATCGCCCGACATGCATTTGAAAACCAGGTGGACATGATGCCATGATTGTAGCCACTATTATAAGCAGAGGAATTATGTTTTTCTTTATGTACTCCATGATTAACGTCCGCTTCCCTCAAATCTTGAACATATATTAATGTAATGAATGCAATTCCAGTCTCAAACTGATTGGCTGCGTGTCAAATGACATTATAAGCGAGTAAGGAAAGTGATGACACGTTGCAAAAACCAACAAAGTCTTAAACTCGTGCCATTGATAGTACCGTAGTTTGTCATGAATTAATTACATTTGTACTAATTAATGATTAATGAGTATTGCGATGTTGAGAATCGCTTATACTGTAATGCGTGATTTCGCAACAGAAAACTGTGGCGCACTCACTTTTAATAAGTCACTTTTTTCTCAAGAGCGTTCTTAGGTAATCTCTGGGAAACTTGTACTTCCCGACTTTCATAAACAACCTTATCAGTGAAATAAAGATCACGACGCTGGCCCCGAAAATCCCTGTTGTTTTGATTACTCAGAATGGCACGTCAGATTTATTGGCATAATTAAGTTTGGGGTGAACAAAGAGATAAAAATATGTTTCTGATTGGAAGGTTTTCCCGGGCTTTTTCTAGGCTTCCTTTCGGCAACGTCCTGCCATGAGTTTGGTGCCCTCCGCGCACTTGGGATCTGTGACAAACAGGCTGCGCTGGTCCAGGGAATCCGGCTCCACTGACTCAGCATCCTGCTTGGGATTCCTGTATGATCCTGCCGCCTCGTTCAATTCGGGCGACAGAAAGTCTTGGGTTTTGAACAGTTCGTTGATATTGCTTCCCACATTTCCGGGGGACGAGCTTTGGCCAGGAACAGAATGTGGCTGCTGTCCAGGAAGTGCTTGGATGGTCCTTCCACCGTCAGTGCCTCCGGCCTCTTGGTCCTGACCAGGTCTGGGCTGCAAAGTGTTCGGTCCCTGGAAGTTGAACTGCGAGAAGTCATCTTCGCTGCCGGGACGAGGTTGGAGGGCATTATTGAAGCTCCCCGGGTTTCCTCCTTGGTTCCCTCCTGGCTGTTGGAATCCACCTGAGTTTTGGCCAGGCTGTTGGAATCCACCTGAACTTTGGCCAGGCTGCTGGAACCCACCTGCATTTCGGCCAGGCTGTTGGAATCCCCCTGAGTTTTGGCCAGGCTGTTGAATTCCTCCTGAACTTTGGCCAGGCTGCTGGAACCCTCCAGAATTTCGGCCAGGCTGTTGGAATCCACCTGAGTTTTGGCCAGGCTGTTGGAATCCACCTACGTTTTGTCCAGGCTGTTGGAATCCACCTACGTTTTGTTCAGGCTGCTGAAATCCACCTACGTTTTGACCAGGTTGCTGGAATCCACCTACGTTTTGACCAGGTTGCTGGAATCCACCTGAGTTTTGTCCAGGCTGTTGGAAACCTCCTGAATTTTGGCCAGGTCGTGGCTGAAAGGTGTTTCCACCGCCACCAGGTTGCTGGAAGCCACCGGGAAAGGATGGTGACTGCTCATTGCTGCCTGACTCCTCAGAGCCTGGCTGCCTCCTGTTGAAATTGCCCCCTGGTTGCTGATCTCTGTTGAAACCTCTTTCAGGTTGGTGGATGTGGGGTTGTGGCTGAGCTGGCTGAGTCTCTCCGAAATGATTACCGGGTCTTAATCCAAAACGACCACCAGGATGATGTCCTCGAAATGGCCCACCGGTAGGAGGAGGTTGAAACTGGGAGAAAGAGGGAGGTGCTCCACCGAATCCTGGACCGAACCCTGGACCGTGTTCTAATCTGTGCCTGTGTTGATGATCATGACCATGATGTCGATGATGAACCCTTTGAAAAAAAGAAAAATTAATAAAATGCAATAAAATTCATCTTAATAAGGAATTGCTGTACGATTACATTCCACAGATCTCACAAGACTGAATCGTGAAAGAGAGAGCTTGGGGTATTAAGAGAAAATGAAATGCACTCAATAATAGATTATATATTTCTGATTAATGAGGCACTCAGCTCACTCAACTTATTCAAAGTGAACATTTTAGTGTCTTCATTTTTTCCGGTTCTTGAACTTAAATAAATTGTAATACTCACTCGTGGCCGCCGCCTGTTGCATAAGAAGGATATTGGGGACGAGCTTCAGTCCATTGTCCACTGATTAAAAACACAAGAGCCAAAGTCAACCCCAGAGATAAGAGTTGGAAAGACATTTTTGAATCGGAGTCGCAGTACCAGCAGCGTCGAATATTCAAATGAGACTGATCAGTTCCTTCGTCTCAATAGAAATCTTGCTGGCTTGAGCCGCTGATAATCTGGGTTCACGACAACAGATAAGGCATCTTCAACTTTCAGAAGGGAACAAACTCACAGCCGTATGCACCGGGAAATTGTATGTGCTACTTACTGACTCAGAGTCTGGGACTCCAAACTACAATTGCATTGTTTCACAAGGCGGAACGTTTCACCGGAGGTTTCTCCAGCCAATTTGAAATTAGTTTTCTGAGGGGATTTTTCTGAGCGTCACCAAATGTTCTTGAGTAATCACCGAAAACTTTGCGACCATTAATCAGCATTAGTTGTATTCAAATATCACTTTATTGACTAACATCGATCTTAGAAGCTATGGAAGATTAGGCCGGCCTACGACAGCGGTTTGCACGAAGCTCGAAGCCCTCTTTGCATTTCGGGGAGGTCTCAAACAAAATCCGATTGTCGATGGTGGGGATCACGGTGGTGGTGCCGTTGGCCAGCTCCTCCGATCCACTGGAGATCGGTTCTGTGGCGTTTAAGACTTCCAAGGAGGTGGCTACTGTGGTCGAGGGTTCCTTTGTCGAAGTCGTCGTCGAGTTGATCGCAGGCAATGCGAATTTCGCCGGGTGGGTGTCCTCATCGCTGTCCTTGGGAAACACTATGCGATCGTCGAGACAAGGACGAGTTCTAGCCTCGATGAGGAGGAAAACCAGCGGCAGGCAGCAGAGCACCAAAGGGTTAATACGACTCGACATTTTGGGGGAGATGCGCACTTGTTTGCTTTGAAGAAGCTCCGAAGACTGAGCGTGGATACGTTTCACTGGCGATCATCTTTCCATTCGCGTTCGCATTCACCTTCCCATTCCCACAAAAACCAGATAAAAATCGGAGAGAATCGTTGGGAAAAAGCCAGTGGGAGAGACCCGCTACAGCTCTCCCACAAAAGCAAAACGTAAACAAAGCAGAAGAGCAGCTACAAGCTTTTCAGATATATCTCTGCTAGTCTACACTGGCAGAAATTTGCCCAACCAAGCAAGAAAACAATAACAACAGCAAGTTACCCAAACAGAAATGTTATGGCTTTTAGTAAGTAGTTCCACCACTAAATAGTTATTTACACTTGTTGAATTTTATTAGATAAATAAGATTTGCTTTGTGTTTCTACATTTAAGATCTTCATTGAAGGTTTTCACAAGGTTAGGCAATCTTGCGGCAATGATCATTGACGGTCAGGGTCATACCTTCCGGACATTTTGGAGAGGTTTCCAGGATGATTCTGGGTCCAATTATCACACCGCCGGGCTTGGAAACAATGGTGGTTCCGCTTTGTTCCCAAGGAGCTGGTTTGTCCGGTTCCGATTCTCTAGCGAAGGTTATCATCTTGGCTTCACTGGAGGATTGGGTTCGATTTTTCGTACTGTTTGGTGTATCTTCAACTCCGATCTCCTGCGTAGGTGAACTACTTGGGGTTTTGGTCACGTTCTTGGCCTCACTAGACGTACTTCCTGGTTTTTCTGACTCGATCTCACCACCCGAGGTTCTGGGCGTGCCCTTCTTGGCTTCTTTGGGTGCCAAGAGGGTGACATTCGTCATTCTGGTCACGGCCTCCAGTTCTCGATCGATTTCTTTGAGCCGGGACTCCAGTCGGATGGCCGTTGCATTTGGGTTGGGTTCCGAGGGAAACACAAACTGATCGCTGGGCACTCGAGCTGCCTGGCTTAAATTCAATGCCAGACACAGGCAGACAAACAAAAACAGCGGTTTTGGCCCGGAAAGCCGCCGCGTAATTGCCATTGTAAAGTGGGTTTTGTTTGTTGGCTTGCAATCGAAGCCCGGGTAAACACGTTCACACTCGCCAATAACGCACTCAAGACTGAGTCTCTAGTGTCTCAGTTTCCGGCTCAGTCTCAGTTTCAGTTTCAGTCTCAGTCTCAGTTTCAGTTTACGTTTCAGTTAGTGATTCAGTTTTGGATCCACTTCGAGAGACAGAAGTCGGGGTCCGAGAGGCATTAGCTTGTTAGTTCCACAATCTGCTGGCAAGTGTGCGAATTTGTTTGCACACTGATAAGGCGGACATGGCGGCCAGATTGAAACATCTTACACAATTACTGAATAGTCAGCGAATCGGTCGGGTAACCGAGCGTAATTATTTTCAAGAGCATACTCGTAATATGCATTTATTAACTGGAAACCGACTGCTATCAGTCTTTTATTTTATTACATATAGTACCCACCAGTTGTGATTAGATGTTGCCATTACGAAAAGTTCCCCAGTCAGATGCGCTTTTTAAAGATCGATATACGGCCCATATCTCATCCTGTAAGCGACTTTTTTCGAAGTAACCTGAGCCCCAGTCGTAACCTGCCTAATAAATGTCAGCAATTTGGGCAAATAATTTTGACAATTCTATTGTCAGCCACCACAAGCCACATAAAGCCCTCGATACACGCCCCTTTTCCACCCGGCGACCCACATCATCATCATCATCATCGTCAAAGTGCTCGGGTGGTTGGCATAATTTTCGCGAAGTAAAAAGAAGAGCAAACAGAAATTGAAACATAAAAATGTCATTTGGCGCGGGGAGTGTGGGGCGGGGCACCCAGGGTTAAATACTGGAACCTTTTTTTCGCTGTGTACTACATAAAAGTACATTAAAATAATGCCTGTTTAGGTCGCAGACAGCTGAGGCAGGCCCAAGGGCTCGTAGAGTCATTTATTTATGACAGCCGCCGTCTCATTCATGCGAATTTTATGCTAAACAGGAAGGAAGCCTCTAATTGCAGGGGTGGCTCACTTCTTTCCGTGGGGCGGTGGGGTGTCCTGGCAAAAGGACAATGGTCCTGCGCTGGCTGTTAATCAGTGCAAGTTTCGGAAAGTAATCAGCAAATATTTGCGCACTTTTTGTTGCGATTTTCTCAAGCATTTTCTTCATTTTCATAAAAGCGGAGTTTCTCTTCCGCCGCTTTGTTTGCCTGCTATTTATTTATTCCCCTCAGAAATGCAAACGGAAATCTATCAAGGCAGATCTGATTTACTGGCAACCTTCGAACGAAGCTATTTCATCATCATCATCATCGCAGTTTGGGATTCAACTTGCCTTATAAGCCACTAACTACTTTCACAATTGTCGGTGGTCAACGAGTCGTAATGGTCAACTGAAATCAGTGATTTTGATTTAGTTCAATTTAACTGCTCATCTGCATCGCATCATTGGAATTTATTATGGCATCTTGGCTTGGTTTCCTCCTCCTTTTCGGCATCCTGATAATCAACAATCTGCTCCTGGGAACCTTTGGCATGGACAGCGAAATTGTGGAGGCCCAAACCGGAGGAATCGTTGCAACTGACCTTAATGAAACCGGGAAAATAAGTTTGGAGAAAATGAGGAGCTCTAATGGAACGTTGCAAGTGCAACCGTACAACATTCTGGAAGCCAGCTGCCCACATGGATACGTCCTGACCAACAAACATTGTCATAAGAGTGTCTAGTGAAACATCCGAAATAAATAACACTTGAATTTCAATAAAAGAAATCGCATATTAAGTCAGTGGAAAAATTAAATGCAAACACTTTAAGGCAACTTTGCTGTACAAAATTCCACTTAACTAAACCACAAATAAATATGGTAGCTGGGGGTTCTTTTAAGTGCCTCCTAAGTCATCCAAACCCCTTTTTAGAGGAGTCTTCCACAAGGAGGATAACCGCCCCCAATCGTTTTAACACATTTGACTGGAGGTAAGGGGGAAGACCCTCGATTGCCTCCCCTTCCTTGGTGCCTCCTTCCACGCCTTGGTCAACTATCAACCAATATGTTGTGGTCGGCTCCGTGTACATCCTGGCCAGAGGCCCCTCCTCCGGTTCGGCCAGACTTTCCCCCGGGGACGAGGTGGCTGGGCTAACCGCATACATAATTTGCGACAGCAACCGCAAAATGCGGCTCCTGCCGGACAGGAGGGCCACATCCTCGGACTCTGACTGATATGCAACCCGGGGCTGTCATTAGTTAGAGGTCCATTAACAAAAATGCAACCGAAGGCTGCCCAGACGGTCGGACGTCGTTTACAGGTAGCAGCTGCATTGACAGGACCCCAAAAACGGCGAGATGCCGCATTAATTCATGGGGCGGCCATGAAATATGACTCCACTTGGGGGCTCTGCTCCGCTGAATGAGTTAATTAAGCGTCTCACGGCCAGAAACATAATTTGGGCTCATTTATCAGCGATGTTGGTGGTGCGCCGCATGTAAATTTGGCTTAGAGATGGGAGATGTCGACTGCTCCCCTCCGAAGAACATGACAGCTTCATTAAAGCGCACACAACAAAAAATTCAAATCAAGATGATCAGATTAAAGTTGCATATCAAATTTAGAAATCTTCTTCGCATGAATGCAAACTAACCTCATAGCATGTTAATCATTTCTAAAAACCAAAGCTTTGTATAGTAAAAACTCTCCTAAATTGTTTTCTGTGTACACTCTTTATTGGCGGAAGGATGGCGGGCCTACAGCTGCTCTCCGAGAGGATTGTCCAGCCAGGGATAGACGGCCGGGCACTTGTCGCACACGTTCATGTAGCGCTCCTCGCCGGTGGACATCTTTTGGACATGACACTGGACCGCGCGGCACTCCGCCTCCGGCAATTCGGGGCAGTCCTTGAAGGGAGCCCCCAGCACGGGCTTCCTCACGTACTCCAACATCCGCGAAATGCCCGTGAAGTACACGTCCGTATAGGTGTTCAGGTGGTTGATGAATCTGCGAGAATTTAATGCGAAATTTTGCTAAAAGGCTTAGCTATGACAATTAAATAAATAATTAAATCGGAACATTAAACCTTCAGAGGTTTGAAATTCTTTCCTCATTCAAGGTATTCCATTTCGTTTTTTATTTAATATGAATTAAGAAATGTTTAGATAACAAACCTTACTCACTTTTTAAAGGCTCCGAAGTAGTTGCGTCCCCGGGAAAACCAAGCAGCATGCAGATACATTCCAAAGGGAGCCCGGCTGCCCTCGTAGTGCCTGTTGAAGTTCTCCAGCATCCAGTCGAAGAGCTCGTCCAAGTCGTCCTCCGGCGGATACACACAGGCATCGATCATGGAGCAGCTGTAGCCCTCCGTGTCGGTCCACGTGACCATCGGGTTGATCCAGAATCCGGGGATGGAGGCCTCCGGACAAGGACCTATCTGGCAGTCCTGCTTCGACTTGAAGTCCAGGGTGTAGGGCCACATGGCGGGATCCTTGAACTGCTGTGTTGGCCAGGAACTGTCGTAACTCAATCCCAATCGCCGGGCAGCCTCGAAGGTGTTGTTGCCGGAAATTTGCAGGAAAGGCAGTCGCATTCCCTGGATCTTCTTGGGATCCACCTTGGCGAAGGCCTCCAGCATTTTCAGCTGGGCCCCGAACTCCTGCTCCACGGTGGCCACGTCCGCCGATCGCCAGTAGTCGGTGCCAGATCCGTGGGTCACCGAGTGCAGGGCGATCTCGTGACCCGCTCTGTAGAGGGCATTCACCCGCACGTAATCCGTGTATTCGTGCGACAGGAAGAAGGTTCCGGCAGCCGCGCAGCCATCCGGATTGGTCAGTCCCTCGAAGAGCAGCTCGTACTGGGCGTAGTTTACTGCATTCACTGCGTCATCAAAAGTTATGGTCACAAACTGGAATCCACAATATTTTTAAGGTTTAAGAAAGGTGTAGTAAAAATTAATTTGACAATTATCATATATCGAACAAAATCCTCAGATGTTCTTAGTTGCTCTTTGGGTATTAAATAGATTCTCACCTGGGGAATCTCGTTCTCCTTTCCCTGGAACTTGGACCTGGGCAGAACGGCATCGGAGCATCTACAGTCGGGAAGCTTGCAGTTGGCTGCTTTGCAGGGCTCCGCGAGGGGCAGGACCCCATCCTTCTGCTTATTTTTTTGCTTCTTGGACTTCGATTTGGCCTCTGCGCCGAGGGCCAGGGTCAAAATGAGACCCAGAACTAGCAAGGTCGAGTACTTCATGCCGGGCTAAGAAGTTCTATAATCAGCCAGCGATGCTCCGTGGGCCTCTTATAACCTTCGTTGGGAGGTGATATCTTATCGGTCGACTGGGGTCCCAAATATGATTTGCTTGTTCGACATAAGGTGTGTCTTGGATGGGTGGGGTTCCCTCGAGTGACCTTGTACAATAAGCAGAGTACCAAAAACTCCGGCCAACCGAAAAGAGTCAGAACTTTCAATTATAGACAGGCCAAACGATCGGAGTGGCCAAAGTTTGCCTCATTAGCATAACCATAGAACTTAGCAGCTGAGATTTGCCGAGTTGAAGTGGAAAACTTTTCACACTTGCCGGTGAGATCGCAACCGATGGGAGCAGACAGCAGCCCAAATTATGACGGACCCTCCCCCGTTTTCAAGTTTCCCCCTCTGTTCCTGCAGAAATGCACTTCAAATCGTAAACAAGTGCTTCAGAAAGTTTCCACAACAGCGACAGGAAGCTCTCAAAAACAAAGAACAAGCAACTCTCGGGCCATCACAGCCAATCACAGTGGGTGGAGGTCGGGAAATCCCAGCAGGCAGTGGCGAAAAGTCAATACAAGATTGAGGAAAAATCTGCAAGTCCTTCGGGGAAAGGAGTGGAAAGCAAGGAAGTACCAGAAGAGGAGTCGAAGGAGTGCGACTTCCTCCGCCTGATTATTCGGGGTGCACGCCCCGAATGCGATTTGGTCACGTTCCGGGGCGTTGCCAGCCCGGCTAGGAGCCGCAAACGTGGCCTAAACGAGCAGCCAACCAACCGCCAGGCAGCCGAAAGGACTCTCGGAAAAGCGGGCGGAAAACTGGGTGGTGGAAGGCCTCGTCACTCGGCTCCGTTGTAGGGGCAATGCAACATGTTTGAGTGAGTTCGAACTGCCAGGATTCCACTTTCGTCCTCTGCAAGGGTTCTGAGGAAGATTGAAGCTGCCGGCCGCTTTATTGAAAGCCCATTGACAGCGAGGTGAACAGGACTCGTTCATCATCTCTCATTAGCAACGGAGCACTATGGAAAGGCGCTGGGGCGTGAAATCAAAGGAAAATCCGGCCAACCCCTTGTCAAGGGCATGTGTGGCCTAATCAGACCGCCTCACGTGACTGGAACTGCTCTAAAATGCAAATTTCTCAGGGCTAATAAAAATTTTACTCATATGCGTGGAAGATTTCCCAAGTGCCACCGGCGACCAAAGAGAAAATTCTCACGCACGTCTGCAGCTGAAAACTATTGAGGGGTGGCGCTTTTCCTTCGCAGGGAGATGCCGAGGTGGTGCGCCGCCTCCTGTTTGCCAATTTTCGCGATAATCACACAACTAATTTGCATAGCACTGAGACCAGCAAATCTGGGCTAATCAAATCAGCCAAACGCACAAACCCAATTTGCGGCGAGGGTATTAATGCGTGCATACTTTGTATACAATTACTTCACTTTGAATTTTTTAAAAACGAGCACGAAGAAGGAAATTAACATAAGTACTTTTATATGAAGTATGCAAAATATACATTTATATAAAAATATATATTTATACATATAGCTACTTTATATGTATAAAAACATTTACTAGCATAAACTTATGGTATTTTACTTTATATTTTATTTAATTCTTAATAAATTCCCCTTAAATCCAACTTTGTGGCAGAGTATTCAAACATCACCAGAGATAATTTGGTTTCATTCCCACTCCCTGCAGATCTCAAACCTTATGATAGCCCTCAGTTCCTTCGCATCCATCTGTTATTGCTTTGATGGGACTATGCAAATCTCGGCTTACCAAATTTTCTCCGCTGACATGGCCTGGCATTACATTTCAAATAATTTTGGTTGAGCAACTAGGAATCGAGGCGAGCAGGAAATTCCAAAGGGGGATAGGCAAAATTCAAAATTACCGAGGGATGACGCACAGGGAGCGAGGAGGCGGAGGAGGAGGAGTTGTGAGGCTCAGTCCACCGAATGACTGGGACGCTGCGAGGACCGCTCGTTTCTTCGGGGATTTGCAGGAAAATGAGGTGCGAACGATGCACTACTTGGGCCTGGCTTACTTGGTTCTGTCGCGTCGCCCAAAGCTACAGCTAAAGGTTCCGCTGGCCACCCAGAACTACGAGGACGGAGCGAATGTGGGAGCGGGGGAGCGAGGAGGCTTTGCCCTCCAGCTGGTCTTCACCTGCCCCTCGAAGTATCCGCTTCAGGTGCCGCAGGTGGACATCGTCGAGAAGCGCAACATCAGCGAGTCCTTGGAGCAGGCTCTTCGCGATGAGATTGCCCAGACCTTGGAGCAGCACTTGGGCCTCCAGATGATTGTGCCCGTGGTCACCAGGCTGCAGATGTTGATGAACACCGAGGTGAGGAGGCAGCCATCGAGGGAATAAGTCGACGTGCCACTCAAGTGTCTTACTAATTTATGTCTGGTCTGGAAATACCTCTTTGATTTTGTTTCTAATTTATTATGGCAAATAAATGGTATCCCTTGTTATTATCTGATATGTATTTATTTTTCAGCTTTTTTACCTAGGATAATTAGTCTACCTTTTAAAATATTCTGATCCACTTATGCAAAATTATGTATTTTCTTATTTCAATAAGTAATGTTTACTACCTCCCCTAACTCCAAAATAACTCCTAACCAAAAACATATTGGTTCTAGAAGGAGTTTTTGGTTTACTTTTATGAAAAACAAGTGGCCACAGGTTCTTATACTTTGGACCCCCTGCTGTATCTTAGATCGTCGTCATAATGATTTGCGACTCCAGGGGGTCTTATCGCCCCAGGGGAATTTTTCACTTATTATTCCTGATTAAAGATAAGTAATCAAAATTTCGAGCAGACGTATTGGCTGGCATTTTTCCATAGATGATTAATAAGCCGGCTTATTATTGTTATTTGCGTCAAAAGTATTCATTAGGTGAATGCATTCCTTTGCAATCAGCTGATGTTTTGGATTTATTGGCCACTTGATTTACACGCTGCTTAAAGCGTGATCAATGAAAACTTATGATGTATTTATAACAATTATATAATTGAAAATCTCCCCAGTTGTTTGTTCTTTTATGTCCGGAATGTGCATATGAAGTTGATTAAAGTTGAAATTTAAATTTGAAGTCGTTACCTTTTGCGTATTTTACCTTTTGGGTGCCAAAATTCCGAGACCATTCACAACTCACGCAGGAATACGTGACTCCTGGCCTTGACTGGCGGCCACTTGATCCTCGGGACTCTGGAGTGGCGGGATGTTAACACGTGCAGGAGGACGCATTAATTGGGGACTGCTGCTCGACTTATCTCCGTCTATCCAGGACCTTTTTGGCTGTGCATGCTCACATTTCCTTCCTGTCGCAGTGCCAAATGAAATTTACAGCGCAGCGGAAAATAAAAGAAAAGTGCCCGAGCGAAAGGCAAAGGCAAAGTGCAACACATGAAGCTAGTCAGACTCCTTGGGGCGCTTCCTGTTGATCCTTGAGCGAATAAGAGCGTCCTGCCAAGCCGGATGTCTCTGGGTAATTTAGATAGCTGCAGTTCTTGTTGCTGCCGCTCAAAAGTTGCATAATGTCACTTTGCAAGTGTCGCAGGGGGAAGGACATGCGAGCACCCACAGGACATGCAGACATCTTAAAGCTGCGATAAGCCGGCAACGATTTTTATGAAATTCCTAAGACTGTCCTCCCCTTTCGCCTTTCGCTGTTTGCTTACATCGCTCTCCTGCTTTTTTTGGCCTTAGTCAACATCCTTTTTTAATGGGACTGTGTATGCCCGAAGGATTTGTGCGTAATGAAAAACTGTCACGAAGGGCGAAGGATGAGCCTAAGCCATTCCGCATTCCGCAGGTATGTGTGGGGAAATTGAAAAGCGCTAGCCGCGCTCCGGAGGAGCATTAAAATGGCAAATTTGTGAGCAGGACTCGGGCCAGGACATTTATGGCCGACAGACGGCGACGACAGGGACATAAAAACAGCGACGCCTGCGTGATAAGCGCATAAATCAGCCAAAGGACGAAGGTATCCCTTTCCCAAAGCCGATGGCTTAACCCCAAGCAACTCCCCTCGCAGACACTTTTTAATATTGCCTTATACCTTGACTGCGGTTGGCGTTTCTCGAGCAATTCATTCCCCAGTTAATTGTGGCTTCATTTGGCTTAAAGCTGCACAAAGGTTGGGGAACAGAAAAGCGAGTTAACTACTGGATTGTTTTGGGATACAAGAAGCTTGTCTAAAAACAGCTTAAAGAAGAAAATACTAAATGGATTATTATTTTATTTAAGCCAGCATGTTTATGCTACTTAAATATTAGACAGAAATCCAATTGTCCTGTTCTGAAGATTCGATTTAAGAGCTTTCGCCGTAGCAGCAATCACAAACCTCGAAGAATTATTTGCGCCATAACCAAACGCGGGCGGAATCAGTGATGTCCTACAGAACAACTTCGAAGGACATCCTCTGGTGGCTCATTGCTTATGCTCCAACACGAAGCAAATTCAAATTACAAATTATGTTTTCGTCATTGCCCCGAGCTTTACGAGACTTCCCGCCCTTTTGCAAGTCCCATCTCATCCCGCAACCGATGGTCAATGTCCGCGCGGTGTCAACTATTTAGTTTCCGGTTTTAACTTGCGCCGTAAAGCGGGCGTTATGTGTCCGCTTTTATGGCTTCTAGCGACGACCCGGCTTCATTGTTTCTTAATAATCCGACGAGCGTCTTCGGAGTGCACACGTTCTCGCATTAAGGATGTTTATGGGCCAGACTCTGTTTCCACAGGGAGGCAGTGGGCGTAGTGCCACCGGGGGTGGTGACCCCGACTCGTCTCCCCCGCCGCCTAGTTGCATGCCACACATACTTCCGCTGCGTTGCAGTCATAAATGCGCTTAATTGGCAATTTTTGTGTAAGCGTGTTGAAATTTTTACACCCCGCCCGGACTCGACCGAAAGTTGCAGTCATAAATAGGAAATATGTTCCTGGAGTGCCGGCTCCATTGGCGGAGTGGGGTCTCCGCTTTTATGGGTCATGCATGAATTTGCCGGGATTTATATGCGGGCTACATGACCTGGATTCTTATGGCCCACAACCATTGCCTTTCCTTGGGCTAATCAAAAGATATTTCGGCAGCCGCAATAAACGAATTCGCCTCAACCACAAATGGACATTATCATTTTAATACTTCGGACAATTTATTTTATTATTCACAAAATCTTAGCTCTGCTTTGAGGTTACCAAAGCACAATGTGCGAAAAGGTGAACAGAATATTTAACTTGACACAACCAAACGATTTCACAATATTCGAATTTTGGGATCGAATTTTAGAATAAATACAACAGTTCTTCAACGAGTAAATCTTAGAAGGCTATAAAGTCGTACAAAACTCCTCGTCTTCCCGGAAGTCCTGCAGCTCCTTCTTCAGCCGCCTGGCCATCTGCTCCACCAATGCTCTGGCCTTCACAACCATCAGCAGGATGTGCAGGCTGCCACGCCCCGAATTCCTCAGTTGTCTGAACTCCGTCATCATGAAGCCCTCCAAGAAGTCGGGAATGTTGCACTTTCCTCCGAACCGCACCTTGGGTGCCCTCAGGGGGTTCCTCCTCGGGCAGATGAACACCAGGGAGCACCCAGCACGCGGATCCGACGATGTCACCCGATCGTAGTTGGAGGACTTCACGAAGACCACCACCTTGAGGCAGGGCTCGAGCTGCAGGATTTCCAGGCGGTAGCCCAGAATAGCCAGGGTTCGCAGCTCAGAGCTGCGGAAGCTCGCGTCAATCTTCTGATCAGTATTCTTATTCATGATTCGTGGAAAACTAATATCAATTTTACTTATAAACACTACTAAACGTATGAGTGTTTTGTGCTGTTATATCGAAAACTTTGACGGGTATGGAAATGGTATAAAATAGAGAAAGTGAAGTTTTAAATTCTATATTTTATTTCTCAAATGTTATCACGTGGCCAGCAAAGAATATCGATGAATTGTCTATAATATAAAATGCAAATGGATGAGTGGCCAAAAAGTATTTCTCCTCGTTAAACGTGTGAGTCAAACTACCATTGCCTAAAAATTGATTAAAAAAAAATAAAATATCTTAGCTATTTTAAAGTATAATCCATATTACCAACTGCGGTTCTTGAAGGACCGATTCCTTGCTCCTGAAACTCGAAGGCAACCACATGGTGAATTCCATTGATGCGGAAATTTGTATTCCTTTGCAGCAGCGTTGAAAACGACTGGCTGTGGTTAAACAAAGAAGCGGGTTACGCTCTTGGCTACTGGGGCATCCTGCCAGCTCATGAGAAAGATCTTCTCGGAATCCGTCTTGTAGTCGGAGAGATGGGTTCCTTGGTAGTGAAGGGCCTTTTGCATTTGCTCGGACTCATCTTCCTCCACCCCCACGTAGATGAACAGCATGCTGGACCGAATCATCTCCGTGGAAAAGATTATGTTCTTATCCGGAAAGCTGCTCACTATGGCCGCGTAGAATTCATCTCCCTTGAGGAGGCTTTTCAGAGCTGCAGTTCGTGAGATTCCGATGAGCAGAGGAACGAGCAACACCACTTGCATTGTAAGTGTTTCTGTTTGGAACTGGTTTGTTTGTACGACTTACCCACTGGGAACCATGTAATTGTACCTATAAGCGGAAAATTGCGTTTTATAGAGAAGGTACGAAAGCGTCACTCTAATCTTCCCCAGAGTAAAACAATCTGTGTTAATAATCTCATCAAGTATATTATTTAAGAAAGTAATCTCAATTGATTGGGCTTGAAGTGCCGTAGCCTTTGTCCCTGTCCCAGTTGCTTACAACTTGGCGTTGACGTGGATGGCCAGCACTCCATCGTCCTCGGAGTTTCCGAGGTAGATACTGGCGCGTCCGTCGGATCCGACGGTCACGGTCTTGCCGGTGCAGGAGGATCCGCTCTTGTCTCCGGAGATCACGTCGCAGTAGGTTCCGGCGGGCAGGCCGGTCTGCAGGGAGCTATTCAAATCGTAGTTGTCGTTGTTGAAGGCCACGAATCCCCGGCTGCCGCGGCTGAAGGCGATCTGGTTGCTGCCGTTGTCCCACCAGTTCTGGATGGCGTCCGAGCCGACGGCGTTCCGGAAGGCCACCATGTTGTAGATCTGGCGCCAGCGGTGCTCGCACACCCATCCGCCGCCGCAGGACATGTCGCTGTTGAAGGTGGGCGAGGCGATGTTGTGGCCGTCGGTGGTGGGCGGTCCCTGGTCGGTGTCCGTGAACGAGAACGAGGACATCACGCGCGGTGTGCCGAAGGGATGGGCCAGCATGAAGGCCGAGGCCATCTTGTACTGCTTGGGCACCTTGTAGGTGAGCACGTCGGCGCCGCCGGCTCCATGGCCACGCTGGTTGTCGTGGTTATCCACAAACACCAGGGAACGATCGGAGGCGGCGAAGCCCCAGCCGGTGCCCCAGTTGGTCATGTACTGCAGCTGGTCCTTGCCGCGGAACAGCTTGCCGATGGAGTCCGAGTGGCGGAACTCGGTGATGGCGCCCAGTCCGGTGTACTCCGACTTGCTGATGGCCTCGCCGCCCATGTCGATCACCTCCTGGGCGATGTAGGCCCTCGATCCCGAGGCGAATCCGTGGTCGGTGTTCAGGTTCTTCAGGCTGCCGTAGATGGTGCCCAGGTCGGCGGGCCACATGTGCTTGGCGGCGTCCACGCGGAACCCGGCCACTCCGAGGTCGATCAGGTGGTTGAGGAACTCGACGATCTTCTCCTGAACGTACGAGTTGCCCTGGTTGAGATCGCGCAGACCCACCAGCTCGCAGTTGCGCACCTGGTTGGCGTCGTTGTAGTTGCTGATGGCGCACGTGGGGTTGAAGTCCAGCGAGGAGTAGGGCACTCCCGGGTAGCTCTTGCTGCTCGGACTGGCGGTGCTGCCCGCTGTGCCGTAGGTGCCTCCGTCGGCGGCCATGTGGTTGAAGACCACGTCCACGTAGATGCGCACGCCGACGGCGTTGCAGCGCTTCACCATGCTGGCGAACTGCTCCTCGTTGCCGGATCGGGTGGTCAGCTTGTAGGAGATGGGCTGGTAGCGCTCCCACCAGGGGCGGCTGTCCTTCACGGCGTTCTCGTTGACGGGCGAAACCTGAGAGCAAATCAGATCAGGGGGGTGTTCCTCAAGTATGAGGAGGGTATATAATGTTACCTGAACTCCGGCGTAGCCATAGGGTCCCAGGAAGTTCTCGCACTCGGCGGCAATGTCGTCCCACTTCCACTCGAAGAGGTGGACCATGCCACTCCTCCCGGAAGCGTAGTTGGTATCGAACTGGGCACTGGCCAAGGCCACGAGTGCCAGGCAGACAATACTCCTTGTCAAATACATGATGATGCTCGGTGGAAACTAAGTTTCGCTCTGATTGAATTCGATCCACCCGGCTCTTTATATACGGCGTCTCCGCTGACATGCCTCATCGATTTTTAGAGAGTGATTTGTGGCTCGATGGCATCTTATCGCCCCCATAGGCGCGATTAAGTCGCGATTAAGAGCTCCTATCGAAATTCGGAGCAGACGCACTGACTGGTGGCTAATTATAATTACTTCGCATTGAGTAAACAGCGGGACAATGCATTCCACTGATATCGGCCGCCGTTGGGGATTTATTGGCCACTTGACTTGCACGCCGTCAAACGCGTGACCACTTTGAACTATGGCCCTTTTGGCAAATCTTTTTCGTTTCAGGGAACAAATATATCGAATGGGGTGATTTTAAGATTAGTTAATATATTTCTGGTATGTTCCTCATTCAGTTCGAAGTCGTATTTAATAACCCTTCTTATAAATACTTCTGAACACAAGTCTTTTAAAAATGTTTGGCGGATTTAAGGAGCACACAGCTTTCAACAGGTTCAATGCGAATTTGAATATTGATTGTTGACTTTGGCTGTACATAAATCACACTGCCCTTCCCCTTTCCACATCCCTTCAAGGACCTGCGACTTGCTCGTAGGCTGGTGGTGCAAATTGAAGCTGTCCTGGATGTTCATGTCCTCGCAGAGGAGGCCAGGACACGCACCAAGTTAAGTCCGCAGCCCCACTCCCGCCGGCAGATTCTATTAAAATTGCCTGTCATTGCCGTTGCCGGCATCGTTATTGTCCGCATCTTTGGATCCTGGATGGGATGGGATGGGATGCCCCTCCCCTCTCCTCCTTTTTCGGAATGGCAGACATGCTTAGTCCCTTGGACGACGATGGCGACGTTGTCTTCTGGCAGGACCATTATTCTTCAACAACGTGCATTATATTATCCTTTGGCTGAAGGCATTTGTATGCTGGTCCCGGGCGCGAATTGCATTTGGGATCGGGTGGTTCCGGTGGCTCCCAGTTCCCCCGTTCCCCGGCTTCCCAGCTTCCCGGCTTCCTGGTCGATTTCTGGGAGGACTTCGGGTGGCCCGGCGCAGTGGCCTTTCAGCTGTCGTCGGTGCAATTTGTATTGCCGCCCGTCTGTGGCGTCTGTAACTTGTTTTTTATTGGTTTTCCCGTTTTAAATTTCAATTTGGCGCCCTGTAAGCAAGATGTATGTACAAGGCCTCGTCGGCCATCCCCCGTAATCCCCGCCAGAAACGTTCTGCATTGCATATGTCGACGGCGTCAGGTGCGCCAACGATGGGCGATTTATTTGCGTCACCGTGCCAGGTTGACAGTCTCAAGGTGCTGCGACTTGTTGTCCCAACTGCTAACTGAACTGTCATTCAGTGGAAGCTGGCATTTCCCCTTTCAATTACACCCGGAGAAACAGAAACCCCTTTTCAGCCCGAGCTATCTTATTTCAACTTTAAAAGTAATACATTACTAATGGAAATGTTTATATTGCTGACAATCGAATGCTTTTTTATTTCCCATACTTATTCAAACCCCGTATTGCTGTTGTTTTTCCCAGTGCCTGGTTATTATGCCATTTGGGGTTAGGGGTTTAGCACATTTTACACCGCATTTAACCCAAAACATGCCACTTAACGGCGGGCATTTATCAATGGGAGAGGGAGATTGGCAGAGTGGGTATTTCCCTAACTCTACGTGATTCGCCGCCCGCATTATCAGCCATCAGGAAGCAACCTCATCCTTGAACGTGCTAACCTCCAACCCCACCAGCCCCCTCCTCCCACCTTGTTTTACCACCCACCCACACATGACGATGCACTCTGTGCGATTATCGAGCGTTTCCGTTTCCGCTGCTCCACTCGTCCTGTGGCTTTGGGCCATGCCCCGAAAATTACATGCCTTTGTTTTTTATCTAATGCCAGGCGGTGGCATTATGCCTAACCCGGGGTCTTAAGGGTACTCTTCCTTCCCCTGCCCCTGCCCCATCTCCTTGGCCATTTTGCGGAACGTGTCCTGGAACTCTCCTCGGGATTCAGATGCGCAATTCGATCTTTTATCAGTTGTCATCGTCGGCAAATTCACACATTCGCATGGGCATTTGTCGCTCTGCTTGATTTGTGCCACCGTAACTGGAACAGTGGGGCTAAACAGGCTTTTCACTGATAAAATAAATCTTACATAGTTGTAAGGAACTAGAAAGCTGAATACGAAATTCAGTAAAATTACTATTTTGAGAGAATTCGAACAAAATGTTCCATCCAGAATTTTATTTGTTTTCCTAAAACAATTTATATTTTCTTGTTAGTTCAACTCTCATTCTTCCAACTTTCTACCCCACTGTGCCACTTACTCCAACTCCGAAAGCGAGTGGCACATTGTTTCACGTGCCATTTCGCAGCTGAAATTTGAACTTTTTCAAGCACCCGGAGCGAAGGAACTAAACGAATCCACAAATCCGGAGACGAGGCGGCAAATGTCGGACGGATGGATGAAGATGTGGCTGGATGCGTGCCTAAGTGTTGTGTTGCATTTACATGGGACGGCCGTACAATTGTGGGGCAGATGGGGCAGGGATATCGTGGGATATACGAGTATAGTCGATCGATTGGGAGACAACAACTGAACAACTGGCGCCGAGGCGAGAATTGGATACGCACAAATCCCAAGGAGCAGCGGATGGAGGATGGGGGCATATTAAGCAAAAATTAGCAACAGTTGTGGCCCGGAGCAGAGTCTGTTCTATATGCTGCGAATATGTCAAGTTAATTTAATGTGGCATGAAAAGAGGGAGTGGGGCGGAAAGGGGGCGGTGTCCTATCTGCACAGTGCCATCTGTGGCGCCCAGCCATCATGTGTTGCCCGCCTACGTGCAATAATTCGTGCAATTACTTGGCAAATTCGCTCGACATCCTCCCACCGAGGGGACGTGCCCCGAAAAAAATGCAAATAAATTATGCCCCTGGCATTCTACAATTCTATTGCCAAATTCCTCTTTTTCCACACTTTTTTGCGTTCGAAATTATGCATTTAGTTTAAAAAAACATGTGGAGCGTGTAGGACAGACTACGTGAGGGGCATAGACAAAAATTAGGAGCACTTCGAAGCTCCAAAGCACCAAAGCCCCAAAAGCCGATGGCCCAGAAATATTGAAAGCGAGTAGATCCTTCGCCGTCTCGGGGAATTTTGTAATTTTTCAGCTCTTGCGACTTTTTGGCTCATAAAAACGTCAAATCGTTTACATACACGTCACTTTTGTGACAACTACTTGACAGACATTAATACACTTAAGCTGCCTGGCAAGAACACGGGCATTATCCTTCGGCCCGCTCCTCTTGCATGGTACATCCTTTATCCCTTGAGCAAACGACGAGCGGATGCGATGGCGGCATGCCAACATAAATGACATAATATAATAAACCAACGGAGAGCGACCAACAAAATGAGCACATATACTGCGCAGATAGGAAAATAGCGACCAAAATTTGCTTAGACAGCAGCTCGCATGAAGGGAAATTCCTCCTCCGCAGCCAGATGTCAAGGGAGTCGCGTTTTATTTTTTGCGCCCTTTTAACAAATTGCTTTTGTGCAAATTTTGTCACATCCCCGGCACAAACACCAATACACCCCCGCCCTCACCACACACCCGGGGACATGCAGATAGAGCCAGATGGGGCACCCAACCCCCGTTTCCTGTTCGACTTCATTAGTGCACTCTTGGTCCTTTCGATTTACTTTGGCCTGCCCTTTGAAGCTGCAACGAAGTCGCAAGGCGAATTACGCTTCAAGTATATGATTTTTTGGCCATCGGTTGACCGGATAATCAGGGCGTGTAATGTGGGAAATCAGTTTTTGATTTGATTGCCAACGAACGTCCATCATATAGTGGTTGGAGGCAGAGCCAACATTATCTACATTTGACAAAAATACTCTTTTGGGCTTTTAGGAAAATATACGCACATACATATGTAGCATATTTTCAGGATGGTTTCAGTTTAAAAATTGTAAATTAATTTGAACCGTAATTTAATCTAACTACTAAGCTGTTAGTAGTAATTCGATTTTTCCAAATTCTCATAGTAACCAGAAACTGAACTTCCAGAACCCATTACTTCCTCAATTTTAATCTGATTTCAAAGTAGCATACCTCTAAACGTTTTTAATCGCATTCTTAACAAATCTGCATTTAAAATTTTTCATTTTTCGATGGTAAAAATTTTGACCCCTGTTCATGTCAGTTTTTTCCTAGTTTTAAATGGTTACCCCAACTTCCAAGACTTATGGACTTCCAAGAGCCATAACCTATAAACTGGAGATCGGGTAATGAATATGTTTATTATCGTTCAGTTTTGTACTGAATATAAACTCTGAGTAAAATGTAAGATTCATCGCACTTTGCAGGCAAACAAACTAGTTTTTAACACACTTCCTGGGCCGTCAGCATCTTGAGCAGTCAATATTCACATCCTTGGCCATGGTTCATTAGATTTCCGTAGACCGTGACTTGGCTTTTGGGGGCCTTCTGCATCGTGCCGTCATAAATTCTAAATAAATAGATTTGTCATAAATTTTTCGGTGGCTGCCACACACACGCTGCACAAGAAGGAGGCGAGGAGCTGTTTACATATTGCTGCAAGGACAACGAGGACGACAAGACGGGACTTGGCCACTGCAAGGCAATTTATCATGAGCATTTGTCAGGCGACTGCAGCAGCTTATTTTACGCTCGGGCAAGCAGCGTGAAAAAAGGAGGGAAAACGAACCAGGACTACGAAATAACTTAGCTTTATTCTTAGATATCTACGATCTAGAGTTGTGAGTGGATGGGGATTAGGACGTGGTTTGGATGGGATTCCTACAAGTACTGCCAAATCAGCCAGATGGCCCCGATCACTCCGAGCACCAGGTCCATGGGCAGGCTGAAGGTGTTCCGCCTGGCGTGCTCGTGCCGCGCGATCTCGATGATCTTGTGGGTGGCCTGGAGCCATTGCTTCACCACCGCCGCCTCCGCGGCCACGAAGGAGTACTCCTCCTTCCTGCCACCGCCATCCTTCGATGCCCCCTCCTGCTGCTTCACCAGCAGGTTGATGATCTTGTTGGCGTTCCCCGTGGCCGAATCCAGCGGCCTCTGCAGCTCCACGTGCTCCCAGTGGTAGTGCTGCCGGTAGGCCAGCCGCTTCTTCCGCACCTCCGTGCACACGAGGCACCTGTCGAAGAGGAACACCTTCGAGCGATACTTTTTCCGGGTGGGAAAGTGCTGGGCATCGAACTCCGTCGACCGCCGGAAGTTACCCAACTGCAGGAGGTCCAACTGAGGAAGGAGAGAGATTAATTTCTGGTTACTACTATTGGTTACTAATGTAAAATGACCCACCTCATTGAGCTCCTCGATATTGGGGATCTCCTCTGCCTGGTTGACAACATCCAGAGCGCGTCGCATCCGCGTCTCCAGTTTGCAAACGGCAGTCAGCACAGGTTTGCAGCTAATTCCACTTTTGTAGAATTCCTTAAATATAACTACTATCAAAATTGATTTCTTTATCATAAAATATAATGGTATCTTACCGATATGAATTGCTGCAGGAGCAAGGGATATCTGGTCAGTCTTTGGATGGGCTGAACTAGGAAGCTGTCGATGCCCAGCTTGTCTTTTATTGTGGTTTGATAGGTCTGCGGAGATTAAAGCTATTAATATCATTATTCATATAGAAAGATAACAAGCCCACCTGCAACCACATTCGGTTGTCTTGTCGCAGTTGCATTGAAGATTTCTTGCCCATGGTGAAGCTCACATAGCAGTAGAAGCGGTTTTTCTGAAAGAGCAAGAGCAACAATATATTATAGAACATATTATAACCCATTCCAACCCCACAGAAACTGAGAAAGCCTTTGTGTCTGAGCACTCACATTTGGCACATCGTTGATATATATTTTGTGGCAAACAAACTCATGCGAGTCTGCCTGGTGGCGAAATCATAATTTCTTAAGCATTTAAGTCACGTAACTCCCGACTTGTGGAGAAGCCTTGGCAAAGCCAGAGCGCAAAATTTGGAATTCCTGTCGCTATCTGTGGCCAATGCCAATGCAAATGTTTTCCCAAACCGAAACTAGTGCAAACTGCAAAGAAAATTGCTTGTCTAACGATTTCCTTTCCATTTTAATTTCATTAGCTCCGCCTGGCTGCGGAATCAGAGCTCGAAGTTCTGCATTTAGATTATATGATAATCATCTCCCCGGGGCTGAGCCATAATATTGTATATCCCCTTCCCCTATCCCTCCAGCAGCTCAAGGTTTTGCATGTCTAATGCGATTTAGTCGGACAAATGACTGCCTCAAACAATTGTCGCCTCGTCTGGCGGGCGAAAGGTGACAATCTATATTTTTGCATACTGTAAAATGTTCTGTGGTGGGCGTGCTTTTTATTAGCATGAAATTTCTATTTGCAGTGCATTCCTCCTAATTTAGTAATTTGTTCTGTTTCTGTTTGGGAAGAAGGGTACCCAAAAGTGTGGGCTATTTATAAAGTTTACAGTCTTTCCTATAAATCGGACCAAATTGTCAGTGGGTTTATGGGGTATAGCTTTTGTTGCTCTTTATTTAGCTATATATAAAATATAGAAGTCAAAGCAGTTGCCAATATATACAGCTGTGTCTAAACTAATAGTTTTTGGTATGATTTATACTAATTACTTGTACATCAGTATCTCTTGTTGGTTTATCTTTAAATGTTGATTTTATGACTTTGTTTACTTTTACAATTAGTCAAATTTAGCTTCTAAAGTATTATTCTTTTGAGCACAGCTGAATAAATAGAATTTATGGCCGTCAGAGGCTTCCCCATCAACATCATCTACGTTTGTTTATTTCGCAGCAAACATCTTAAACGATTCTGATCGCCAAATCGATTGCATCAATCTGGATTCCCCGTCCCCTGAACCACTCAAATATCCATCCGAATGTGGTAAAACTTTTAATTGATTTTGAGCTTGTGGTTGATTCGATTTGATGGTGAGAAGTCAGATCGACACGCTTGTCACTTGGTGTTTTTGGCCATTTAAAGCCGATTAATAAATGAAGGCGACTCTATTTACGGGCAGTTCTTCTGGGTTTCTCAAGTCCAAAAACCGATTCAAAATTTCCAGCTGGACAAGGTGGCATTAATCAATTCTAGGCCTCTCTAGAAGCCACATCAATTGATGTCAGAACTAATCGATTTGGCAATTGCTTGCGAAAAGCCTCATTAATTTGCAAATGACGACGAGTCTGAGAGGAAATTCATAACATAAGTTTATATTTATCAGCAATTTGCCTGCTCGTCTTTTGTTTATACAGCATGCTGCCAAACCAGAGCAGGGAAAAGTAAAATTTTAGAAAATATGTATAAACAAATCTGTGAACGTTTTTATGATATATTTAGCCAAGTTTTCGCTTAACGCTGCTCCTGTGAGTCAGAAATGTTTGTTTGGCTTGAGCGGAAAAGAATGCAAAGTGGTTGTGGGGAAAAGCGAAAAAAGAAGGATAAAGAGCATAAATCAGATCCCAGGGGTTTAGCATGTCTGTCGAACATTAAGATGCCAAATCCTCGGGCAGCTCGAAAAAGAATGTTACCTGCTTTGAAGAGAGTTTTTTGGCTTACTGTACTCCTTCCCCAATTTATATTCGGGATTTCTCGGAACGAGGGAATGACATAAGAGCACTGCGACGGCAAAGAATTCCACAGGCCTCCGACAGTCTCAATTTAAATTGATCATTTGCCTTGTCAACACTTAACTCGACATGGCCACATGGCCACTCTCTAGTGGCCCGAAAAATCATTCCGAAATGAGTACTTTGAGCGAGATGATTTGGGGATTTCTATAGCCATGCATATCCGAGTGCTCGAGCGCCTAGCCCCGGACAATTGTCGGATTGTCGAATGGTCGACTCTCCCCAGAATCGATGACGTCAGCTGCCGGCAAATGAACCTCAGCCCCAGACGCAAAATACAAAATAAAGTCTGTTGTTTGCCTTAACAATTTCTAACCGATTTTCGTAACTGAGTGCGAGCTTTTGTGGCGCTGTGTGGTTTTTATTACTAATAATGGCGTTCTGCTGATTACTTCAATCTTATCAGGGGACTTCAGTAAGCCACCCATTCGTCATTCTGCAAATGATCTGCGGTAAAGGTTTCTAGTGAAAATCATTAATTATATTTGAGCGAGACACGCATTAGAATATCAATGAATTCGGTGACACACTTGTAGCGAGGTGTGAGCCAAAATATATTACAAGAAATTATATAACAAGCACAACAATCAATTGAAATTCTCGCAGAGTTGGCATAACCCACATCGTTAGGTTCATTTGCATTGAAACACGACTCTCGGGCTTTAAATAATAAAATAAAAAAGCTCAACAAAGCAGAAGGCAATAAAGAAACGAGACCCCATCACAGGTGTCAGAGTCAGCAAAAAAAAATGCATAAAAAAAGACCTATCAACTCTGTTATGTGTAAATATTTGAGGTTGAAATTAGGCACTCGAAGTGCCGACGGAAGACAAAAGAATTTTGATAGATGAGATGTCGGAACCTGTCCAACGGCTACTTGACAAAGCCTCACGAGTTTGGCTAATGGACCCAGCCCACGCAGCACCCTCTTTGTAAATATTACTGGTATGTCTACTCCCAAACTCACCTCGAAGTGTGCGGCGAACTCGTCGAAGAGGCCTTTGAGATCCCGCTGGTTGCGCAGCATGAGGGGCAGAATCTCCTGCTCGTGGAGCTCCAGAATCTCCTCTATGTTTCCGATCAGCAGTTTCTGCTTCGCTTCGCCACTCAGTCCCTCTGGCAGATCCTCCACGTCCTTCAGTTTCCCATAGTTCACCATCCCCTTCTTCAGATTGTTCACGTAGTTCACCTCCGTTTGGATGAGCTCGTCGATTATGAAGCTGATCTTCTTGGAGGCGTAGATCTCGGTTTGGTCGCACGGAAACAGATTCTCCAGCGACAGGGTGTCCTCGTCTTCGTGGCTGCGTGGATTGCAGGTGGGTGGTCAAGTATTAATTACCGCCCAATTATCGGTTATCTGCTAACAGGGGTGAGTGTGGCAATTGTACTTACTACTCATCGCCCAGGGTCTCGAAACTGAGCGTGTGCGAGGGGAAAGTGTGGAAGCCATTGTGTGTTCGGTGGGTCGGAGATGAGTTCGCTGCTGTGGTGCCACAGGTGTTGATGGAGCTCAATGAGATGCCGCTGCGAACAGAACAGTAGCACGGAAAACACGAGAACAACAACAAGCCGTGAATGAGCAACACTTGAAAATGCGGTGGGTTTATAACACAGAAGTATGGGATTACAAAATTAATTACAAGTCCAGTCAAGTATACTTTTCTAACTTTGGGAATAAGATCCCAGCCATAGAGCTTATCAAATTTCAGTATGATTCATTGTCAATTATAGAGTATAGATCTTATTACTCAAATAATAATAGCTTCACTTATCGACACAAAAACCACAATTGTGCAGTACAAGCTCAAGTGCAAAGTAAAAATAAAATGATTGACTAAGGGAATCCCAAATATGACTTAGATAACCCACTTCCTCTGTAAAACTCTTTAGAACATGGAATCATTTGACAACTTCCTTCCCGTGATAAAAACCCCAAAACCTTTAAGATAAAAGCACTTGTCTTATCTGCAATCTGTCGAGTGCATTAACTTGGTAAAACATATATACATTATAATTCACATCACAAGCATAGCCACTCCCGACGGCAATTACCGTGAAAAGGCTTAAAATAACCGGGGCGTATGCGTTATCTTATCACGTATACGCACGGTGATCGGTGTAAAACAGCCAAAGGTCGGACATTCAACAATGGGCACTGAGTTCGATGGAAAAACAGCGAACAGCTGTCGGATGGGGAGGCACGTTCAAACAAACCGAGGGTAAACAGGGAGTTGAACCCAAGCCCTACCTATCGTTGTCCAGCAGGCTTATTTGCTTCTCCAGCTTTCCGTTGGCCAAAGTGGGCGATTTCGGGGGGTGGTGGCTAGGGGGGAGCTGGGCGACTCCACTGGGGGAGACTCTTTCGCGGGGGCCCTGTCGACCACATCGATCGAGGTGGCATTATCGGCACTATCGTTTAGCAAATGCAAATACACGTTGAGAACTTGCACTAGGAAAATCACAAGAAATGTCAGCGCCACCGAAATCACGTCGAACCAATTTAGGGTAAGTATGGTAAACTCCATAATGGCTGACTTGGTTTTTTCACAGCTTTCTATAGACTCAACCGCCGACGAATTCGACGCATATCGATGGCAAACTTGTACTATATATGGCCAGAAATATTCCGATACCGATCCGGAGCGAATCAAACGAGAAACTCGACTGAGCGGAATTTTCGCTAAGCATTCGCGAAGCGTAAAAAAAGCTTCGAAAGCTCCCAGTGATCGTTCTCTTAACTCCCGATTCTCTTCAATATAAAAGACTATAGCTGACCACGCGCCAAGCGATTTGTTTGTAAACATGGAATACAATTTGAAACTGTGAAAACCATTTCGGTGTCTGGCATTGGAACAGAATTCAAACAGAGTCTGTAACACTTTTGCTTTCGTCATGCGGCTGTAATGCCGTTTAATCGTTTATGATTTCATATTTGCATACCAAGTGGGCTGGGGGCTTTGGCTAATGGCCGGGCAATAACTGTTATTATAGGTAGTGGCCTATAATCAGGGGCTTCGATTTCGCCTTGAACTTTCGGGGGCAACCGAACTGGTTGGCTTTTGTTTGGGTTTATCAGGTTTCGGCAGTCTCCGAATTGAGTTATAAATCAGAAACCCAATAGTTGTTGGTCAAAAACTAAATGGTTTTCCTTCCTATTTAGCGTTTAAGAGCACGAGTACTAAATTCTTCGGTGATGATCTCACACAGATTACCGGAAAACGGATAATTGTCATTAGCATTCGCGAAATTCACAAGTAAATTGCTCACATTTCATTCGTTTGATTATTTATACAATTGATTTTTTAGAGACAATAAAGCGCCGTCCAGCTGAAATCAAAAGAATTCCCTGATGATGCTACAAAGAACAGAGGGAATTATAAATAAACATCGAGCACTTCTGGGCGCGATTGATGAGCTGCAAGCCAAACGATCACAGAGGGGCAATCGGGGGGCAAACAATAATAATTTATTTATGTGCGCCATTTGTTTATTTTTATACATTTTCTCAGTGATGTCACAGGCGACTGCAAGTGCCAGTCAGAAACAAGTTCGCCGCGTATTGCGTGTCGTATCATTAACAATATAAAGAGTGATGAGGTGGATGGAAGGTGGATGGAAGGTGGGGGTGAGGGGGTTTTGGGGATCGGGGGACAGGGAGGGGGATCCATAGCAGCTGCTTCTCATGACAACGCCGATGGCGTGCGACCTTTCGTGATAGATTCATTTGTTTTGACGTCTGCGAGCCGTGTGATTCCGCGGCGGAAAGTGGAAGGAAGTGTCTGATTTTCTAAAATATCGCACACAAATATTTCTATAATGGGTGGCAGTGGGAAATAATGCTACAATTAATATCAATATCACGAGTTGATTTAAATGAGACTGAAACTAACAAATATTTTTTTCCTTTTATTAAAAACGTTTCCCCGTAGTTGTTTTTAAAACAACTACAGTCCGATATTTACACAAAACAAAAAAAGCTTATGAAGCTAGGCACAAGAGAACGTTCGACGAATAGCAATTTGTGACAACAATAGTACGGGAATATATACAACTTATTTAAGCGACTAAACTTATAATTCAATATTTGGTTATTTAGCTTTCGAATCGAAACACTTTCCTTCGATTTCTCATCCCATTTGGAATATTGACTTGGCTCGGCTTAGTGGCCCTCGGTAATTGGCCGCCCTGTCAGCTCAAGATAGAATGGGTTCAGGTTCCCAACGAATCACTATCCATTCACCATCCATTTTCCATAACCCACACAGGTTGTCTCCTTGCGATCTACGAGGCGGCGTACCAGGTGGTTCTGTTGCTCATCGTCTCCTCGTCTGGCTTGGGCATTATCCAGATGTTTCCGATTCCGCTGTCCGAACTGAAGCGATTCGAGTCGCGATATAAAGAGAAACTGGGCGCCTTGCGGTGCAGGTGGTCGTTCTCCCGGGAGTATCGCTCCTGCAGCTTCTGGCGCTCCTCGTTGGCGTAGTTGTTGATCATGTCCCGGATTAAATCCAACCAGGCGGCGATCTGGACGGGATCGGCGGTGAACTCGCACTCCTGCTGCTTCCTGCGCTCGTAGTAGAGCGTGAAGGACTTCGTCTTGGCCGAGATGCCGATGTGCTCGCAGGGATAGCGGCCGTGGAAGAGCAGGCTCTTGCCCTTGATCTCCGTGTAGATGATGCACTTGTCGAAGATGAACACCTTGCCCCGGTAGCTGCGCTTCAGCTTGTGGTCGACCACCTGGAACTCGTTCACCTTGCGGAATTTGCCCTGGTAGTAGACATTGAACTACAAGCGAATAGAATAGCGGAAGTTAGAAAGTCGGATGAGGTAATCTCTGAAATTATTCCCCACCTCATGACAGTCCACTATGTCGTTGATGATCTCCGATTCGTTGGTGGTGGTTAGCAGGGATCTCAAGCGCTTTTCCAACCGACAACATGACTCAATCAGCGGTTTCATCACTATGTCTCGGTTCTTGAAGAAGGTCTAGGGGGGTTTTAAATATTATTAGATTCCTTTGTGTGATTTTTAAATAGATCCAACTCACATTGATGAACTGCGTCAGCAGCAAAGGATAACGAGCCATGCGCTGAATGGGTTGCACCAGAAAACTATTAATGCCCAACTTATCATCGCGTTCCAATCGAATACTCTGGATAATTAATTAAATAATATTATTTACCTAGTATTGAATAAGTTTTTAGCAAAACTCACAGTGAAGTAATTTTTGTAGAGATCGCAGAGCTTAAGGGACTTTTGCTTGTTCATGGTGAAGATAACGTATCCATAGAAGCAGTTTTGCTGTAGAATGAAATTGCAAATCAGTACTGAATATTAAGTAGCTATCTTATTAGTAACTCACATCTAGGAACTGCAGGAACTCATCGAACAACCGCTTCAGATCGCGTCGGTTGCGCTGCAACATGGGCAGGAACTCGTCCCGATGGAACTCGGCGATCTGCTCGATGTTGCCAAAGAGATCGTACTTCTTGCCCCGAAGACCCAAAGGCAGATCCTTCCGCTGGAAGATGTTGCCGTAGTTCTCGATGCCCGTGAAGAGGTTGTTCACGTAGGCCTCCTCGGTCTTGATCAGCTCCTCCAGAATGGGATGCACGCACTTGTCGCTCTTGTCGCGCAACTCGATCTCCACTTCCTCCTCACTGAAAAACAGAAATTATATATTAATGTTAATTATTATATTAATGTTATTAGTTAAGTATATACTCACTCATCTTTCGGCTGGTAGACCGAGTGAAACTTGCCCACGAGAAGCTCGTTGGTGGTGCCAATGATTTCAGTCTTTCGTCTCGGCGTGGAGCGATAGTTTCTGGGGAGAAACAAGATTAAAGGTCATTAAGCAAAATCAGAACCCTCGCTATCTTCGGCTGGATGGAAATAGCACCCCGACAATAACAAAAACAAGCGCAGCAGTGATAACTGTTTAGATAAACCCCCGCGGCGGGAGCCATCGGATGAGTCAGTGGCCCGAGTCCCGTGATAAGACCAGTGGCAACCTTAAGGCGGCTAAGGCGGCTAGAAGCAGGCCTAGATAGTGTCAGAGCATACATGTTTGCCCAGAGAATGAGTCAGCGACTCCCCCTTTGGGAGGCCTCATCCCATGAACTCCTGCGATTGCTTCGGCGGCTCCACGGCCGCCTTCCTCCTCTTCGACTCGAAGATGCGCATGGCCTCCGAGAGGGATCTGGCCACAGTGGTGACCGAGATCAGGATGAAGTCCATCTGCGAGATGATGAACCAGGAGATGAGGATCAGCAGGAACATGGCCACGGCGGTCACCAGGAAGCCCGTCAGCTGGAAGAGGACTTTGCAAGGTTGGCATTTGGAGCGACGCGACTCGAGATGGAGCTACTAACCCCGGCGATGCAGCCGTCCATGGAGTGGACGTGGAGCGAGTTCTGCGACAAGCGCCAGTGGAAGGAGGAGCTCGTCGGCATCTGGGAGTCCGGCTCCCCCCTCCTTGAGCACCTCGGTCGTGCCGTAGTCGATGTGCCGGTCCTGTTTCTTCCTCCTGCTCCTGTCCAGCAGTGCGCTATTCCGATCCAGGGACTTGCTCTTGGCCTTCTGGTCTTCTTGGCGGGGAGAGTGCGTGCCGGTGGGGAACTCACTGCTGGCGGATCTGAGCAGCGAGCGCTGCGACTGGAAAATACTGTCCGCACTCTCGGTGGCATCCGTCTGGGATTCGTTTTCACCCAATCCTCGCTTCCGCGGCACCGCTGGCGGAGTTTTCCGCTTCTTTTTCCGCGGGGGCAGGGGATCGTCCTTGGTGTCCGTGGCCTTGGAGACCCCAGCTGGCCTCGAGTAGGTTATGGAGCGCTGCTCGCGCTCCTGCAGAACCTCCTCGGAGATTTGGGCTTCGAGCTCTGGTGTCGACCTCGCCTTGGAACGGGCCTTCTCCCCGTCCTTCTTGGGATCATCCATTGTCGGGCTTCCCAGAGATTCATTTTTCACTTTTTGGCATAGTTCTCAAAACCAGAATTGACGGCGCTGCCTGCTCCGCTTTGTAGCTCGCTATCCTCCGTTTGGGTAAACGCCTCTTTTTATTTGGCAAACCGGTCGGCCAAAAGTGCTCCAAAACGCAATTAACACTCTGCCAATTAGGTTTCCACAGTGCGAGTGCCGTGAATAGTTGCGTTTTTTATGGGTAAGCTCGCATAATTTGATTTTGACACCGAAAAGGAAGCTCAGTGACCGCGAAATCCAGTTAACCAGGGTTGAAGGAAGGCCGGCTTTCGATGGGCTCGAATTTGCCCTATATTCATCCAATTTACTTCTTCTATTTGCTTTCAATGCCACTTGCTAGTTTATCAGTTCAACAAATACTCGTATTTACACACAGTAGTGAAAGCAACCCTAAGTAAAGTCTGTCAAAATGCACTAACAAAAACTATTTAAGTAAGAACTGAAACTATTAACAAATAAACATTATAACATAATTCTTTTTCAAATGGAGTAACACTTCATTTCAGGAACACTCTTTTAAATATTTTCACATTAATTATTGAAATGTTAAAGCAATATCACACCTTTACTGGAACTCTTGGAGTTATAACTCATCCTCACCCTCAACTATATTTCCATAAATATGAATTAAAGAGAACACTGCTGCACCTGTTGGTTTTCCGCAATGAAAAGTTCATATATATGATATAGTATCTTCCCTCCCCGATAAGTTTTATCACCATGCAAACATTCACCTGGGGAAATCGCTGCGCATTTTTAGCGGCAAGGTGGCCTCTCCCTTGGACTGATCAGCGCTAATGGATCGCTGCACGTGCTGGCTCTTCGACTCCTCCTCGACCTCCTTGGCTGTAGCTGGAATGACCTCCGAGGTGGTGTCAGAGATCACGGCGTGCAGGTCCGTTTCAAAGTCGGATATCTGATCCACCTCGTCCTCGGATCGCACCTCGTGGATGCTCCCGCCGCCTTGGATACTGGGAATCGAGCTGCTGCGACTGCTCCCCAGCCCCGGGAGGCGTATGCGGCGAGGGGGCGTGGCCGGGGGCGTGGCATTGTCGCCGGAGAAGTCGTCGAAGGAGGGATGACGACGGTTCTCCAGCAGCTTCAGACTGTGCCGCTCCTGCTTCAGGAACAAGATGTTCGACTTGAGCGTCTCGAAGCGGTGCACCTTCTGCCGGACGTCCAGCAGGGCGGGATCGGGCACCTGTGGAGAGAGGGGTGACCCCGGGGTGGCCTCCACTCCCTCTCCCTCACCCTCTCCGCTGTGAGCCTCGTGCATCTTGAGCAGGGAGCGGCGGTGGAGGGCGCTCTCCGAGTCGGAATTCACGGACAGCGTGAGCTGGAACGAACTGGAACTGCTGGTGCTGGCGGGACTGCTCCTCCGTGCGGCGTCGCCGGACTCCGGACTGCTACTGGCGAGCGTGGCGCTGGAGTGGTGGCGCTCCTGCTCCGCCGCCTGCTGGCTGATCCGGCGGCGCGAGTTCCGCTTGTTGAAGTTTCGGTTGCTCAGATTGCGCTCCCGGCGGAAGGGCAGCGGGCTGAGATCTTCGTCGGCCATTGGAAGTTCCAGTTCTCCCGCCCGATAAGTCTTATCTAGTTGGGGGACTCTCTGCTCCGAATTTCCTCACTCGCTTTTTCACTTCGACATAATCATACGGGGAACTTCTCTGAGCGAATTTCTCGGTTCTCCCCGCTTTGGAGCTCCAGTTGAATTAAATGTTTACGACCAGCTATTTGCTTTTGGCTTTTTGTCACCGCCAAGTGTATATATTGTTTATCTTGCTTTTAATTTTTTTGGCTTTAGCTTTTTTGCGTTGGAACACGTATTCGAATCTCTCCGCTTGTGTTGGCGTCGAATGTTGCGCTTTTCGCCTCGCTTCCACTCTTTTTTCGTCGCTTTATTGCGCTGCAAAACAGAAATTTGTAATTAAAGCGATTTATCGCCAGAGCATTATAAATAAAGTATTAAAGTATTCAACTAATTAGACATGTAGGGGGCAAAACGACAACGGAAAGCGAATGCAAATTTCGACAAGGGACTTAAGTCATTAATGACTACTAGGAAATCCGGATCGTAACCTTCAAAATGATGTGGGAAGCAATCAAACATTGAACAGTTCATCAGTAAGAACTAAAAATAACCAAGCGCTTGAACTCTGCAGATATAATAATATCTTTGTTAAATAATAAATTGGTTAATTGCTTCTTTATAGAGACATACCATTTCATCTTTGAATTAGAGCAAGGATAGATTTAAATCTGAATGATAACGATGATTGGCAGTTATGTTCTATATAACCCAACTGAAACGACAGATAACACTAACCAAACATTTTGTTTAAATACTAATTTTAGTCACCCGCCTTATGCAGATGCTCAAATATTTGCATAGAATTTAACTATGAGATACAACGATTTATTTTTATGGCAAATGACGTCAAGTTGTCGGAGGTTCGTGACAGAGGGGGAGAGCAAGAGCGGATTGGCTTTGGTGGGAAAGAGAGGCACTCTGTGTGTAGTTAATTATGTGTGACGTTTGGTTGTTGTTTCTGCTTTTTATTTGAACAAAAAACAAGTACAAAGCACTCGAAACCGCAAATGAGGCACGACAAAAAGCAAATGAAGAGTGAGCGACTTGATAGAGGAGGAAGTACGAACTTCCCTTGAACAAAAGAAAGTAGAAAGAGTCGTAGAAAAAGTCGCACTAGTGCAACATTTTGATTCCGGAACAGATTCGCATTTGCATGTGTCCATATCAAAAGCAATTCAATGCGCACTTTTCCATAATAATCAAAAACCAAGTGGGTATACAAAATATTGCAGGATTACTAAAACCATTTTGATTGCACTATTTATTTATCGGAATAAATTACGACCTTTCATAGGAACCAAGTTTTTCCGTAAATGGAGGCCTTTATGACCCAGTTAGATAAGGTCAAACCCCTTATTGGTTTTGGCTTTTGCAAATATACTCCCAACTCTCTTTGGTCTTTATCTAATCAGATCGTTCCATGTTGTACAGTGCATGTAAAACTGTTTTATTGCTGCAATCGGCCAGTGCAGCTTTACTGAAAGGGTTTTCCCCTAAACTTTTAAAAGAACCCTTTTTATCAGATGTGATTCATTCCATAGTGACTTTTCGTTACGTGACCCTTGTTCAATATTTTGACTACACAGATAACGATAATGGATTAATCTGCCTTAGAACTTATTGGGGGGATTTTTCAACTGTTATTAATAGATTGCAAACTGGTTATAGCCGCCTAATTGGGCATTTAGCGTCGTCACATGCACAACTTCTATTGTGTTTGGCTTTGTGTACCTTTCACCTCCCATTTAACAAAGGGTATACTGTTTTTCTGGTAAGCCTGAAAAGATTCAACTCCTTACTCACATATAAATGCGATCATTGAAGCGTGGCAGCTCTGAATTTTCAGTTGAATTGTCTGTCGATCATTGTCAATTATTTTCTGATTCATACTCTTATCTTATCGCACTTTCAAATAATTTGAATGGGTTTTAAAGCCACTTGTAGGTATTTCCGGCGCACATTTATAAACTTTAGTGATCAGGAATGGGGGAGTTCTGGTTATGCTATCTAAACAAAGTTTATCAAATCGAATCGCTGGAGGATAGGTAAACAAATAGATACAGGGAACCTTGAGTTGATGATACGTTTTCCAGCCATTAGCAATGTCAGCTAACAAAACAGAGTTTCTAAACTGTTTAGTCAGCCGATTACAAAGATAAAGGCAAACAGAATAATGGCTAAAAAGTGGGAAAACCGCTCGTTACTGACACGACTCAGTACGAGTTAATCCAAAACAGCTTTACAGCCAAACCGAATCGAGAGAAATGTCACTTTTTTGCGTTTGTTTGCTTGATTTAAATTAGAGTTTGATTTTCAGGTTTCGCACAGTTCATAATTTGTGGGCACGTGTTAATGAGACAGTTTTGTAAGCGCGTGCAGACGTTTCGCTCATTAGCTTCATTTATTATTATTTTTTATTTCCTCACTATCTGGCATTCGAGTTCACCTGCCAATTTTGGCACTTACAGTGTTGCCTTTTCATCGGTTTGCTCGGTTTAAGGTCACGACACACGCTGCGTATACGCAATGCTGATTTTATACGGGCTCAAACCGTTCTTGGCAGCGATCGCCGTTATGGAGAAGTGAGTTCGGCAACTGGCGGTACGTTCGCTCAGCTGTGCTTTTCAATTCGCACTGACGGCGGAATTCGCAGTGCAGCAAGTGCGGGAATTATCGCCTCTCCGATCGGCCGAGCTCTCCTCTCTCCTCTCTCTTCCATATCTATATCTTTTCCGCTCCCGCCGTCTGGTTTTAACTGTTTGCCGCCTGGCAAGTTAGTTATAATTTTTTATGCGCTCGCTTTTTTATTATTTAGATTGCTCTCTCGGCTTAGCGGTTCCGTTCTGTGTCGCATTTTCCACAGCAAATTATTGTCATAATTCCGCCAGCTCCGCCGACTTCCATTCCTTTCCTCGCTTTTTGTTTCTGGAGTGCAATCGCAGGCGGCATAAATTCTTAATTAGTCTAGGCCACACGGAGAGGAAATTTATTGTTCGTAACCTTTCTTATATAACGATTAAAAGTATCTTTGTTCGTTCTTAGGAAAGAGTTATTCAAGTTTTTATAATTTGTTACGACTTCTAAAATTATAAAAACATTTCCTTTGTTTTTTTATTCAGTATATAACATCTTTAACATTTTATTTAGTTTAAACTTACAAAAAAAAATATGACTGTTGAGCTTTGATGTTCTTTTTTTGACTGTGCAGAAAACCCTGCTCTTCATCAAAGAAAAAACAGCAAAAAAGAATGCGGAGAAAATTCCCGCACAACCAAGCAGTCTGGCACACCAACTTCAAAATCGAAAACGAACCAAAAATTTCCCTGACTAACTAGCAGTGTGCCAAATAAACTTCAGACTGTTGAATCCCAGGAAATTTTTACTCGGTGAGTTCGCCCTGTCTTGTCATATATTTCTCACCTGCTCCACTCGATTATGCACTCGTCAGCGAGTTTGAAATGACTGCGTTATCGGCGGTGATTGCTATATCTTATCAAACGAGGTCTTCTCGCAATCGAAACAGCCAAAAAGAAAAAAAACTGAGAGCTGAATACACGCTGTCGCATTAAAGGCCACAAATCGGCCACTTATTGTGGATTTGGCTCGATTCTCGCAGAATTCTGGGCTCAGTTTTCTGGGGGCTTTTTCTGTTTTGTTACTTTTGCACCGTTTCGCTTATCTTTGCACATTTTCGAACGTACTCCGCCCCGCCAACACAAAAGCGGCCCAATCGCATGGAATGCTTCACTCCCAGTTGTGGGAGTCCCATGGCTCTGCAAGCAGGTGAAATCGATTGCGTATAATTGTATATTTTTGGGTAGAACCCAAAGTTGTGTAACAACCAAGAAAGTGTGGGAGTCCCATCGGTTTTCAGTGTTTCATCAAATATTTGAATAGCTGAATACTTATCCAGATTTCTTAACATTTTTATTTGTTAGATATGTACTGTTAGTCTTAAACCAAAATCAGTCCTTCAGCTATTGGTAGATCCTTTAATCTGTGAACTGTTCTAGTGATTACGCGGGTAATTTTCAAACCTCTTCAATTTGCCTTCCCAGTATTGAATTCGCCGCATTTCGGCGGCTATCTATTCGAACTTATAACCAAGTAGGGTTTTTCACCCACTATTTTATTACCGAATTCCACAACCATGTGCCAAGGTGCTGCCAGATAGTTGAATTTTTAATAAATATCCGTTAAGTCAAAATTATCATTTCAATATTTGACTAAAAGTTAATAAACAAACAGATTTAAAATAAACCATGCTTACATTTCTACTGAGTTTTTATTTTAAATATTTGTTTTAATATTATACGATATATCCGTAACATGTGAACAGTTAATATAATAGTCAGAGGCCGACTATTTTTTTAGACAAGGTAAGATTTTGGAGGGAGGGGCTTTTATACCGTTAAGAATCGGAATATAATATATATTTTTTGAGTTAGCTGACAACCCTTCCAAGTGAACCTGATGCTTCCCACATATGTAAACACTATAGATCCACTCGAATTTCGTCGCCAGGCACCGCGATTTGAGATCGAACTGAAGCAAAGTCCAGGGAACCGCCATCGGATGGAGGCGTTTCAAATTTCCTGGCAGCTTTAATTGTCGATGTTGCACTATCTGTTTATGGTAATGGAAGAATTATTTTGCCTTAGTGCAACGGAAATTCCTACGAATGTGGGAGGAGGATAATCCGTTAAGATGTTTTCCAATAAGTAAATACATGATGGGAAGCGATTAAAAGATTAATTCCTTCGCATTTAATTTTTGTATACTTAAACTATCTTTAGAGCAGGAAGCTGATATACTAAGTGCTCTAAATTAACGATAAAAAATAAACAATAAGCGGAATCGTTATTTATGTTGGAAAATATTTGTCAAATTTTTATAAACTGCTTTACTAAGTATTTATTGTTTAAACTATCTTAAGAGCTGGCAGTGCACAAGCTTCAACCACTAAAAGCGCGAACAAATATTTGCTATCTCTATTTTTTGCTACTATAATTGGTTTATAATTGAACTGAGAGTCCGTTCCAAGCTTTCCAAGAAGAGGCAAAATATTTGCATATTGGAGAATGGGAGAGACTACTAAAAATAAGAACAGAGAGGCAATTTCGTAGCCTTGCTTACAAAATGTGATTGCCAAATTAGGAAGCTGAGCTTGCTTGACATTGCATTTTAAAAGAGGATGAAAAGAAGCAGAGAAGACTGAACCAAAGACCTGGTTAAATAGTTAACTTATTCATTGCCCGCGTTTCCTTTTCAACGCCCACTAAAACTAGTGAGAGAGCCTTAGTTTGGCTCTCTCTCTCCCTGCCAGTTAACCGGCCGGCTTACACACACAAGCAAACACCCACAAGCTTGAGCTCCCAACTGGAAGAGAGTAAGATTTTGAGAGAGAGCGCCAGTGGGGGAGCGTATAAAAGCAGCTGCTGGCCGCCGAAGAAAGTCAGATTCCCTACAATTGTTGTGTTGTGGCGATCGTTCGGTTCAGTGAGTGAAAGTGGAGAGAGACCCAGTGGGTGGCGAGAGCAACGGAACGAGAGAGTGCGGAACCAAAGCTTAATTGGCAAATCGAGGAACTGAGAGCCCAGTGTCACAGCTGATTTTGATTCTTTTTTCTTGAGGTAAGACCCTGCATTCCTGGAACCTTCCAATTTCGTATAGCTCTATGATGTAATTTACGCATTTGGCGGCACAACAACACAAACGTTTTACCCTTGCCAAAAGTTTGAAAACGCTTTTGCGAACTTCGAAGCCGAACGGCGTTCGTCTTGATTCGGTTCTAAAATTACACACCACACGTTGATTTTTTGGCTTCGATTGATTTTGATTTTTGGGTCAATCGATTCGAAATCGAAAAGTTTTGAACTCGTTTCGCTGAATCGCAGTTCGCGCGGATCTCTCGCCCCGCTCGCAAGCAAATATGTGAAGGACAACGACGTGAACCGACCGACTAGAAGCCCTCTTCTTCTGCCTCTTCAGAGCCGATCAGATCGGAACAAGATATAGAAACGACCACCGCACCTCCATCGATCGTGGAGTGCGTGAACGTATTTCGAAGCGTGAGGTACTCGAATCGGAAACATCTTGAGTGCAGTGCATATTTAGAACGCAGCCTTATATAACCCCAATCATAACCTTTCCGAAAAGAAAATATTGAAATTGAAAAAAGTCGGGACGCAAGCAATCAGTAACATTTCTGAACTGATAATGGGACCTAAGGTGCCATTCATTCGAATTCTAGTGATAACCCATCTCGGAAAGCTGCCCAGATGGCCGGCTGGCGAACGCGATTCCACTTAGTGCCCATTGACGTACTTTGCGCTTTCCCTGGGTCCTTGACCCACTGTGACCCCTGCCCTTTCCCATGGATTGGATAATCTAGGCGTCTGTGGGCCGCCCTAACCTTTTCCCACAATTAAAGTGAAACCGTTTCCCTCGATTTTAGTGCCAAAGTGCCAGATCAAAGAGCCAAAATAGATCAGCAAATCGAAATTGAATTAAATCATGACACCGAAACACAGAGACAGACTAAATTAAATTCAATTGAAGCTGTCATGGCAACAAGTGCCAGGGAAAGGGAGAGCGCTACAGTCGGGACGAAAAGATAACGCCGAAAAGTCGAATCGATTGTTGCAATTTGAGACCCGTCTCTCCGAAAGCGAAAATTGCAGCGGAAGAGGCGGCCAATTGGGCAATACTCGAGCGGGGAACTTAGTGACTGACTGGGCTCCCTGCCAAATCAGCAAGAAGTGCCGAGCAAAGGCAAAGACACACCGATACGAAAACTGGTTTACGTTCCACATGGATCCTATCCCACGTTTAAATATTTATCCATCCAGGCAAAAAGTGCCGACGACAATGGAAACAGGGGCGTAAAAGCCCGGTACCTCTTCCCCCTTCCCTCTTCCCCCTTTCACCTCTCCGATTCTTCCAGCAGCGCCAACGCCCCAAAAGATATTGAGCCTGACTTTTGCGCGACTCGGCAGAAAAAACGGAAAAGGGGGAGAAAAGTGGGCAGTGGAGGAGTGGTGTCTCTTTCTTTGATGTGCGTGGGTGTGTTGTCTGTGGGACAATCAATGCATTTCCGCTCGGGTCTATAGGGAAATACTCTTGCATACAAGTATGCATTTCAAGATATATACTATGTATACATATTGCAGTTTTATGGTAATTATCATGTCAGTGTTTGCCTTGACTGCGCTTGATTTATTGCATTATTCTTGAGCAAACACCCAATAAGGCAAGCAAATAAATAACTGTGCAGAGCCAACATGGCTACCAAATTAGAGCGAACTAAGCCCACTTAAATAATAACTACCAGATTATAACAGCGAACCCCCAGCAGGTTTAAAATTATTTTGTTTACTCTTTTACGTGCGATCTAGGCCTTCTTTATCGCCAAGTCGTATAACGTATACGTACCTTTATTATCCTTATCTGTCACGCACATTCTGGCCCATATCAGGCACAAACATTTGTCACGTTCCCTTATCACAAAAAACGGGCTATCGGCTGATCAACCTATTTCAATCTTCCAACAAACATAAACAAAAATTGGGAAAAAGCTAGAAAGCGAACCGGGCTATTTCGTCATAAAATGAAATTTGTGAAACTAATTATTTTACTGGATTGCTTAAGGTCGAACCAAAAAAACTATATATGAAATCAATAAACGACTAATACGAATATTAATTTGTACACCTAGAATAACTTTACTAATCTTACCAAAGTATTGTTTATCAATATTACAACATCGATAAATAAAATGTATTATTTAAAGAGTGATAAGAACACTATTGACTTTGATAACATACCTTTTCCATGACTAACTGTTGCTCCATTTTTATTATTATTATTCCTGCAGGGAATTGCATTGAGAAAGCGCAGAGATGGCCGATGAAGCACAAGCACCACCAGCTGAGGGCGCACCACCAGCCGAGGGCGAGGCGCCACCACCCGCCGAGGGGGCCGAGGGTGCCGTCGAGGGCGGTGAGCCCGCTCCTCCGGCAGAGCCCGCCGAGCCCATCAAGCACAGCTACACGCTCTTCTACTTCAACGTGAAGGCGCTGGCCGAGCCGCTGCGCTACCTGTTCGCCTACGGCAACCAGGAGTACGAGGATGTGCGCGTCACCCGCGATGAGTGGCCAGCCCTGAAGCCAAGTGAGTAAGCCACACCTACAATAAGGATAACTAGTTATTAAGTGCATACAGTGTGATAAAAATGTAATAACCCTAACCCATTTACCCGTTCTCTTCGAATAGCCATGCCCATGGGACAGATGCCCGTGCTGGAGGTCGATGGCAAGCGTGTGCACCAGAGCATCTCGATGGCCCGCTTCCTGGCCAAGACCGTCGGCCTGTGCGGCTCCACTCCGTGGGAGGACCTGCAGATCGACATTGTGGTTGACACCATCAATGACTTCCGTCTAAGTAGCGAACAATGTGTGCCTCAGTTTCATGTTCAGTGTCCTTGATTAACTCTGGAATTTTTAATGTATAGAAATTGCAGTCGTCTCGTACGAACCGGAGGATGAGATCAAGGAGAAGAAGTTGGTCACCCTGAATGCGGAGGTCATTCCATTCTACCTGGAGAAGCTCGAGCAGACCGTCAAGGACAACGATGGTCACCTGGCTCTGGGCAAGGTGGGTGAAATTAGACCATTGGTCAAGTAAAAGTAGATGGGTGTTGTATTTCCAACTTCCTTTCAATATGTCATAAAAATAAATTAAATTTTTTCTATTTCAGCTGACCTGGGCCGATGTCTACTTCGCAGGCATCACCGACTACATGAACTACATGGTGAAGCGCGATCTGCTGGAACCCTACCCAGCTCTCCGCGGCGTCGTGGATGCCGTCAACGCTTTGGAACCGATCAAGGCCTGGATCGAGAAGCGCCCCGTCACCGAGGTCTAAGTGGCTCGCATTGAACTTGGGAGGAGGGAAACCATTGCACACCACTCAAGCACCACAGCACTGCAGACATGCAGACACAACACCCACATCTGTTCACATTTTGTTCCTTTTTGCGGAGGATCCGAGGAGCAGCGGATTTTCGCACGGGGTCATAGACGCGTAGGAGTTTAGCACGTATCACTTTGGACAAATCAGATTTGTTATACTTTCTTGGTTATAATTCTCTTTGCATGGCGCTATATACATATTTTTATCGGGGTCCACCAGCGGATCGCCCTTCGTTAGCTTCTACTGAAAAGATGAAAGATAATACTTATTGCACAGTTTATAATATTTTGGCCTACGTTTAGAACTTACATTTAGCGCATCTATGCAGATGTTTTCTGTAGCTACACACACAAAATCTACGAGTGGTTCATCTTTTAGATGTATTCTATTATATTTAATTCACTGCGAAGAGCTCAACAAATATTTAAACAAATACAGCGACAGCTGACCAACAATTACAAACGAATTTTTAGTTTTTGATTTCTAAACCCGTGATCGCGGCCCCAGGAATTTTCTTCGTCTCATTAAGTACACCATTAAGTAAACATCAAAAAAGACTCAAATCAATAGCCCCGGAAACCTTATAAATTATACATAACATGAAGATACGGAAATTCTCTGATAAGAACTGACTATAACTGCCAAAATTTCAAATGCACCCGATCACACACATCAATTTATACATATTATTTATTCAAATTTGTAATTGTATTTTTTAAATATTTCCACATCACACTTTAAATAAACTAATCACCTAAAATGGAATGAGCACTTTTTGAAAGCACTTCAACTCGTTTTATTTTGGGAGTCCTAAAAACTTTAAAAGATTACATTCTTGATTTAGTAAAGTACTACCAACTTTTTAAAAAGATTTATTAACAAACTTTTGTGTCGCACTGGACATGAGGCTTAAAAGTATAAATGCACGTTCGGCTTTTTTTTCGTATGTAGTTCCATATCGTTAGCTCCGATTAATTGTGCTTCCAAATAGGTGGGCGTTTTTCAAAGAAGCTAGCAATACCCTCTTTGGTATCGCCTAGCTGGAAGTTCTCGCACATCTTATCCTGAGCAGCAGAAAAGGCTTCTGCTTGGGACATGGCTAGTTGCTTGTAGAAGAACTCCTTGCCAAGGGAGATAACCGCCCGACTTTTGGCCTTAATAGCGGTGATAATTTCCTGGATTTCCTTATCCAGTTCCTCTGCTGAAACTGCTTTGGTGACCATTCCTGATATATAGGCTTCTTCGCCCGTGATTGGAAGACCAGTCATTAGCATATAGGCGGACTTTGGACGCGACACAATTCGGGCAACGGCCACACCGGGAGTCGAGCAGAAGACACCTACTCCAGCTCTAAAAAAGAGGGTATATTTATGTTGTTAGTAGGTTGCTTAACAGGATTCCATTCTTACCCTGGAGTGGAAAACTTGCTGTTCTTGGAGCAGACTACCATATCACATGAAACCACGAGTTGACAACCCGCAGCGGCCGCATAACCATTAACTTTTCCTATCACAGGCACCGGTAGTTTTTGGATATCGTTAATTACATCAGTAAGCTTCTGGAATACACATGCCTGTATCTTTGGGTCATTGTGAAGCTCCTTGAGGTTATGACCTGCTGACCAGATTTTTCCTTGGGCCGTTAGGACCACACATCTTAGGTCCACGTTGTCTTTATCTTTGATAAGAGCATCCTGAAGGGCAGTCATCATCTCAAGCGAAAGGGAATTCAGGGTTTTTGGGTGATTTAGAGTTATCTCCCGCACTCCCTGCTTCTCCTTGACAAGGACCAAATCGGTAGATGCATTGCTGGCGTTTCTGAGTATCAGTGGCGTCCAACCTGTTGCATACTTTGATATTTTTTGCACAACACGCAACATTTTTGTTTTGGTTTTGCAGCCAGTGTTGTTGAGGTCCGTCCGCGGACAGCTGGCCGGCTATCGAAACAGCTGTAAGTCAATGGCAGAGACCAACAGTTGGCGAACGGCCACACTAAGCCGCAATGAGTTTGTACGATTAAGAAAGTTTTAGTTAATTCGCGTTATTCAAAGCTTCACTGTTTTATAGCTGTACCGCTGTACAGGTGAGTAACTCGCTCAGGTGCGTCAATAACCGCTGCCTTTGTTTTTCGCATCAGCTGAGCGGGCAGACACAACAACAAGAAGCTCCCGCCGAGTTATGTACTTATTAAAGTCTATGTGACTACTACACAAGCAGAACTTTATCAGCCGCCAAAGCCATTTGTATTTGTCGCCTCACATTCGCTGGCCCACAAATCAGTTAACGATTCGAACCGCACGAGTGCGAGTCCCCCAATATTTCAACTCGACTAAGGCCTTATCCACAAATATTCCAGCTCCCGCAAGATGCGTCCATTCTCCGGCAGCGATTGCCTGAAACCCGTCGCCGAGGGCATCAATCGCGCCTTTGGCGCCAAGGAGCCCTGGCAGGTGGCCACCATTACGGCTACCACGGTTCTAGGAGGAGTATGGCTCTGGACAGTTATCTGCCAGGATGAAAGTGAGTTGGGGGAGTTAAGAAGCAAGATCTCGTTGAATATGTTCCTGTGAGCCTAAAAACCATTTTGGATAATTTTCATATATACATGACTAAATAATCACCCCAGTCAGTCGATTCTTTCGTGCAGGGTAAGGCACTTCGAAAAGTTAAATCCATCAAACTATCTTATCTTGTGGGTGCGTTCCTTCGAATACACCTAGAATTAAATATGTAGAAGGTACATGTGTACCTATTTCTAAGTAACTTGTATTGCAGGCAAATTAGATTTCATTTAATAAAAACATGTTATTCTGTATTATAACATCCTTTGTTATAGAATATATAGAATGCTTTGCTTTTTAGAAACTTTACTATGTTCTTAGTGTCCAGTCTTATATAAGCTTAATCAAATTCCATGCACTCGGGGGGTGCTCTCCGCGAACTTCTGACTTTAATCTAACCATAGATTACGATAGATTAGAGTCGAATTGTTTGTTAAAGCGTGTAGCAACTTAAAATCAATGAAATATGCAAAGTTCAACAGTTCTTAACTTAGGAAATCGATAAGATTGAGATATATAACGGAAACCCCTTTAAATTACCTACTTGGAAACGAAGCTTTTAAAATTAGCGATAGTTCCCGAAACCATGACTAACATGTTACATTTAGAATGTTTCGGGTTAAAACATACTTCCGAAGGGGTTTCATAAAAACTGACCAGAGTTTCGTCAACGGAAAACATGCCATTGCTGATAGCCAAGAATGGGTTTCTTATATCTTTTATCACGCGGAAATTTCTGCCTATAAATGTTCTTTGTTTTGGGTCTGTTCACCTCAAGATAAGCTCTTAATGTTGATTTTTTTTATTGTATCTAAAGGTTACTTACTTATCCTATTTCTTTTCTGTTCTTAGGTCTTTACATCCGCGGAAAGCGTCAGTTCTTCAAGTACGCCAAAAAGATCCCCGCCGTGCGTCGCCAAGTGGAGGCTGAGTTGACCAAGGCCAAGAACGATTTCGAGGCGGAGATCAAGAAGAGCAATGCCCATCTGACCTACTCGGAAGTTCTGCCTGAGAAGGGCCTCAGCAAGGAGGAGATCCTCCGACTGGTGGACGAGCACCTCATGGCCGGTCACTACGACTGGCGGGATGGTCGTGTATCCGGCGCAGTCTACGGCTACAAGCCCGAGCTAGTCGAGCTCGTCACTGAGGTGTACGGCAAAGCATCCTACACGAACCCCCTGCACGCCGATCTCTTCCCGGGCGTCTGCAAAATGGAGGCGGAGGTGGTGCGCATGGCGTGCAACCTCTTCCACGGAAACTCCGCCAGTTGTGGCACCATGACCACCGGCGGCACAGAGTCCATTGTGATGGCCATGAAGGCGTACAGGGACTACGCAAGGGAGCACAAGGGCATCACCAGGCCGAACATCGTGGTGCCCAAGACGGTGCACGCCGCCTTCGACAAGGGTGGTCAGTACTTCAACATCCATGTGCGCTCTGTGGACGTCGATCCGGAGACCTACGAAGTGGACATCAAGAAATTCAAGCGTGCCATCAACAGTAACACTATTCTGGTAAGAGTTTCCCTTTGTAATTTCTACCATCTTCTAATGCTACAAATCTCTTTTAGTTGGTTGGCTCTGCACCAAACTTCCCCTACGGAACCATCGACGACATCGAAGCCATCGCCGCTCTGGGCGTGAAGTACGACATTCCCGTGCACGTGGACGCCTGCCTGGGCAGCTTTGTGGTGGCCCTGATCCGCAACGCCGGCTACAAACTGCGGCCCTTCGACTTCGCGGTCAAGGGAGTGACTAGTATCTCCGCCGACACCCACAAATACGGATTCGCACCGAAGGGATCGTCGGTGATCCTTTACTCTGACAAGAAGTTCAAGGACCATCAGTTCACCGTCACCACCGACTGGCCTGGTGGTGTGTACGGATCGCCCACCGTTAATGGATCCCGTGCTGGAGGCATCATTGCCGCCTGCTGGGCCACCATGATGAGCTTCGGCTACGACGGTTATCTGGAGGCCACCAAGCGCATTGTGGATACGGCTCGTTATATTGAAGGGGGGTAGGTTGGTAATCACACTTATTTAAATGCTTTTTAACCATTAATATCCTTTCCAGGGTTCGCGACATCGATGGTCTCTTTGTGTTTGGCAAGCCAGCAACTTCAGTGATTGCTCTGGGCTCCAATGTGTTCGACATTTTCCGGCTCTCCGACTCGCTGTGCAAACTGGGCTGGAACCTGAATGCCCTGCAGTTCCCCTCCGGGTAGGTGACTCAACTTTTAAATTAGCGAGTCCATTCTAATGCGATACTCCCCCTTTCAGCATCCACATCTGCGTGACGGATATGCACACTCAGCCCGGAGTGGCGGATAAGTTCATTGCCGATGTGCGCAGCTGCACGGCGGAGATCATGAAGGATCCCGGACAGCCCGTGGTCGGAAAGATGGCTCTCTATGGCATGGCCCAGAGCATACCCGATCGCTCAGTGATCGGAGAAGTGACCCGCCTCTTCCTGCACTCCATGTACTACACGCCCAGCCAGAAATAGACCCTGAAGAGATCCACATACTCTTTCTCCCACCCCACGGAGCTATGCATTTCCTGTGCCGTATTCAAAACCACCAAAACTCCCTGTTATTGAGCCTTCCTCAAGCAATATATTCTAGCCTGCAATTAGTGCTGTAATCGAGGGTACAAAACGTCGTTCTAGCGAAAACTATTTAGATGCATCCCAACTGTCAACATTCGTCGCTCCTGGAGCAGTGTTATTGAAATGTGTTTTTCTGTGTATCTTGCTAGTGAAATAATTAAATAATATAAATAAATTTTCATATACTCAAAAATTAGCTAATGTTTAACTTTGAAACTTGTACAGGGCAAATATAATTTCTTGCTATTCACTTGTTACCATCTTCAAAGTTCCTTCTTAATTTAATAAATACTAATCGGTAAAATGCATGCTGTTCAATGAAATTGCTTACTCACAAATGCTTTAAATTGATCGATTTGCTGCCATTTAATTTATATTTGTTTAGATTTTCCCCTTTAGCAATTAACAATAATTGCAGCTGCGTGGGTATATCCAATCCGGTCTGATCTGATCTGGGTTGGTATTTCTTTTCTAACATTTTGCCACGCGTCGGCGTGTTTTTAATTTAGTTGATCTTCGAGGCCCGCCCGACACGCCCATTTCCTCTTTTGTAATTTATGTAAGTCTTGAATGGCGTGCACAAATTATTTCAAATAAATTTCTATGGCGGAAACATTTATTTAAATATAGGGAACGACTGTTTTCGGGGCACGCGTCCCATGTCATTTGTCGAGTAACAAAAGTATTATAAATAGCCGAAAGAGAGCAACAGGTGTCGCACAAAGGTGACGATCAATTGGTGGCATCCATTTGAGACCACAACAAAGGCGAAACCTGTCACATTATCGAGGCGCCCACGCATCCAAAAGTTTCCTGCCCCTGTCTTCCAAACTTTTGGTGCACCACCTCTAACCTGGGCAGCCAGAAAGATTCGGCTTAAACCGGGTTGCCAAAAAATGTATAAAATATATTCACTTTTTTTTAGTGACGCAGACCCAACGACTGCGCAGTCGCCGCCGACGTCGACGCCGACGCAGCGCTGAGCGAAGGTGGAGCGGTCCAAAGTCGGCGGCTCATTCGCTTCGCGCTCGTCGAACCGCCGAGACGTTCAAATCGCTGCCGCCTTCGTCGCGGGTGTGAAAAGTTACCCTCAAAGCAAAAAAAAACGGAGAAACAAATATATATACAAATATCGGGGAGAAAACCTGATTTCTTCTAAAAAGTTGCAAAAATAACAAAACTCAGAATGCACTTTTTACTGCGGATTTAAGCAGTTCTCGCCGAATAAAGGTGGCGCCCCAAAGGTTAAACCGCTATTTCCGTTTCGCCCATCGCGGTGGTTTGTGCTATTGTGCTATGATATATATGATATGATATGGAGTGAATTAACCCATCGTTCAGCTGTCTAAGCAGTTTTCATTGGGTGCACACTACGGAATTTCAATTACTTAGCCACTCGATGCGAAAGGAGCGCACTTCAAGGTAATTTTCAAGCAAACAAAATACAGGTGAAACAGTAACTCAATTCCCCACGGAATCCGCCGATTTGAAAGCGATAAGTTAAATGCCATAATAATAGCCAATTAAAGAGTCACCAGCCACCACATCATCATCATGAATTCTTCATTAGCAGGTTCTCAGTATCGATAAGGTAAACATACGAGCTCAAACATACATATAGCAGGGTAAATAGGTGGAGACCTTAGCTATAGGAAAGTAAACAGAACTTTGTTTTAACAACCAACTTGTTCTCAGGCGAAGATCGCATTGCTTGCAGTTTAAACTGAACCGAAGGTGGGTTACAATTATAGTTTACTTCTATTGATTGGAATTCGACTCATGTAATTATGGCTAAGGGAGTAGTCGGGTTTATTCCGCATAAAAACAACTCATATTGTATTCAAATATACATTTTCCTCTGGGAAATAATCTATTTTTAATTAGATCACCATTACTCATTAACCATCCCCTGCAATATTCTTAATTATAATAGATTATATATCTATCTACTCCCTCGTCAGACTTATCTTAGCTTCAGTTTTTACTTATCGTATAAGAGTTGAGTAAATATTCAGCGTTTATCGGAATCAACTTCTAATAAAATGCGCAAAATATCTATATATTTGAAGAGCGCTCAAATAGAAATCCCATTTCATTCCCAAGCATATTCAAGGCTCGTATTATGTTTACATCTTGATATTCCAAGCCAAGTGAGATAAGGGTTTCTTTATTTTTTCGATTTTTGCCTACTATTATGTTTTTTATCTAGCAGATAAGATATGAACGCGTATATATAGCTCTAGGTTATATGGTCTGGTACATATTATATATCTCTAGGTTATATGGTCTTGCTCCAATTTCGCGCGGTAATTTTTGATTTGGCTTGACTTTTTGATGGGTTTCTTTGTTTGGTCAAAAGTTGGCATGCAATGGGGCAATCAATGGGGCAGCACCCTTTTACATATTCCCGCTTTTGGTCAGATAAAAAGTTTGGAGCCCTCGTGTGTGCATTTTTCGCTGGCTTCCCATGGCAACCATTCCGCCAGCCGGTCACAACAAGTCCGCCACTCCGGCCGGAGTTGTTTGCCACCCAACAACAATGGAACTGGCGATGCCTGCCCGGCAACCCCCTGTCCAAAGGACAATTGTTCCGGCGAGTGGCCAGCTGGGTGCGGCTTTAATGTCTGGCGTCATTATACCATTTATAGCCCATGTTTCCACAGAACTTTCGCTGCTCCTTTCAGTGTTTAATCGATAAAACCCGAAACGAGTGTAGGAAACTCTTTGGAATTTCCCATTTTCATTTCGCCATTTGTGTGCTAATTGCAGATCGAGGCTAAGTAACTGATTTATGGGGAGGAGAGCGCCAGCAGGGAGGCTTCACTGTGGCTGCGGAGGCGGCAGCCCAGTCACTGTTTACCATTTGTTTTGAGCTCGTTAAGTTTGCTGTTAATTATCGTTTGGAATTTCGCGACGCAGTTTGTACCGAAAAGTGTTGGCTTGGCAGGTGAATATCTCGTAAATAAATAGCCTTTGGTTATAATTCAACAGTGTATAAGCCACAAATTTGAAAGCTTGTAATGAGATATAACACTTAAAATGCAAGTAAATCATTCGAGGTTTAGATATAGGCGTTCGACTTAGTTCCTGGCTTTGTTTTCCTTCTGTACCTTTTTTCAGGTTAAAAATTAAATTCGATCGTAGTTACAAAACCGTAATTAATTAAATCCATATACGTTTTCAACCAAATACTTTACCAGTTTTTTCGCAAATGAAACTCTTAATAATTATTTTTCTTTTTGCCTGGAAATTAACTAATTAATTTACCCTTCACTTCCCAAACTCCCCTTATTTTTTTTGGGAAAAGCAAAAACGCAAGCTTACGAGTGTTTCACAGTTGGTAAAGCTATTTGCCATGCATATTTGCAACGCTCCAAAAAGTCCAATAAACGGCAATCACAAGAGGCAGCTGAAAACGCTTTTCTATTGCTTTTGGCGATGGCAAAAGATTTGCATAAATAGCACATATGTACGAGTTTACTGCTGGAAGCGGCAATTAACGTGAAACTCGAGTACTTTACATGCTAGTACTATTGACAAAGCCCCTCGTTCAGACTCGGTTCTAATTTGAAATTGAGATCCGAACACGCCTCTGAAAAAGGCGCCTCGTTTTGTTTCGAGATTCTGGGCAACCTTCACGCGATCGCCAGCGACTGGAGTGACGTGTTGACGACTTCTAAACAGACTCACCAGCCGAGAGATGATTGCCAAATGACATCAGCGCGGCTTGCCAGGCAGAGTCAGAACAGCCCGACTGTGACTACGTTTTCGGCTTACGGCTTTCTTCTGGCCCAGCGAAAGCTTTCAAATTGGCCAAAAACGTAGCGTTAATTATGGCGACTAACGACTCCATCGATGATCATCTGCGGTTAATAGGTCTCTGGTAACCTGAGCGGAACCTGCTCGCTAATAGTGCGGTTTTGGAGGGTGGCAGGTTTCACATTTCCCCGGTTACACTCAACAAGTCGAGCTGTTAAAGTGCTGACAAATTGCCCGACAATGCAGCTGCAGAGACAAACAACTTTAATTGATTCCGCTGAAAGGCAAATGCTCATGTCGATCGATTAACTCAATTAGCCATCGATTTTTCTAATGCCGAAGCTATGCAAATAGAGATCTACTGTAAATAATGGTAAAAGCCTGTAAAGTAGGTGCAATGGGTTAATCAAACGATTTCTTTGCGGCACTGATAATGAAGTGGGGATATTAAAAACCAGTTTTTGGAAAATTTTATTTAAATAAAACAGAGGATGAAATCATCTTCGATATACCATTTCCCGTGTAACATTTACCCATCAAATAAAAGGATCAACATACCGTAACTTTTCTGCAGTTGCCCTAATCAGAAACAACAAGAACTGATAAAAATTGAGAAACTGAAAAGAAAACAAAACTGAGGGTCAACACACATGTTCGATAAAGAACCCCCTCCCCAAAGAGCTGTGTAAACCGACACCTTCTCGCAACGAGATTGCGACCTTCACCTGCAACAAGACAATCCGCTCATTCTGGGCCCTCGCATCCATTTCTGTGCCAAATCGAAAGTGGTGCAGAGTGCTTCAGTACACAGACGTGTATAATAGACACCACATATACAAGATAGGCGTTTTGAAGGTGAGCTTGTCCAAATGGAACGACAGTGTTGCACTTGTTGGCCACCAGACTTGGTGACTTCTAGACTTCTAGAATCGGAGGCGACTCGCGACAGCTGTCGCAGCTTTGGACAAATTCCAAAGTGGAAACCCAAGACCCGGCATTTGTTTACATTGCCTCTGGTTCAATGCTCTCATTTTACCTAGAAGCCCTTGCAGCACATGTGTGCCATTTTCACAACTCTCGACTTTCCGAGACTTGGTTCAAGAAACCCCCATCGCTTGGCCATCTTTTAGATTGAAATGTGCGAGCTTTAAGCTTGAGTTTTCAAGCGTGGGAGCTGCATGCGAGATTTATATGAAGTAAGATCAAGATAAAGTTCGTCAACGTCTTGGAATGACATGAGTGGGTGGCGAAAACGATGATGAAGATGATAATTTGGCTGGGATATTAATAAATAAATAAATTAACTTTATAAGGAAACCAGTTTGAAAGAGTCGCGCACGACTGGGGTTTTTTTTTTTTGGTTATTTTCTTTGTACTCACAACTTAATGTCCCGAAAACACTCTCAAAATATTTATAAGCACGGAACCCCAATAAATGAAATCTCAAATGCCATTAGTCACTTGATTTTCCGGGGGATTCGGAGCACGTTCTCGAGCCGCTCAGCAGCCCTATCCCAATATGGTCGAAATGAGTGTTCCAAGTCACTTCATATGCACAACAGAATATCGAACTCGAACTGGAGAGGGAGCGGCGAACCTTTCAACTCAAATTATGCACAATAATCTTACATAAATTTTGAGGTCTTATCTATGCGTAGAGCCCGACAGAACAGAAACTGGTAAATTGTTTGGGATGGGGGCATAAATTAACTCGGGAACATGTAAAAATCGAAACGAGTTTATCGCTTCGCGTAAACCGAACAATTACCCAACAACAAACTTGTTCTATATACAGCACATGGCGTCTGTCGTCGGCTATTAAGATTTATAGATTTAGTTGTCGCCCAACAAAGATATAGACAAGCGTGTTATGAGATTAGCTTATCTGGATATATAAAGACATCTTCAGGTTCGAGAACATTGTCTGATCGGTCAAGTGTGGGCAGGAATGGCAGCTCGGTATAATGACTACTTGATTGCTAATGAGATAGTCATTATAATAGATTTGGCCTTGGTCAGTTGCAAATCATCGATTATTTCCACTGGTTTATTTTTCGCCTCTCCTAATTGATGTACCCAATAACCCCCAAAAAGTTTCTCTCTCACTTGGCGTGCGATCTTGGAACTTGAAGATTTCGCGGCTTGTGGGAGAGCTTCTCACACACAAAAGATCTTCAATTACTTTTAATGTTCACTTTCATTTCGCAATTAAGAGGGGCTGCGAAAATGTTTAGTTCTCGCGGTTTTTATGTTTTCCAGTCTCGTTTCGACTGCGCAACAAACCGGGAGACATTCGAACCGAAAGCGAACCTTTGTGGCTGAAACGAAAAGTTAACGGTAATTAATTGGCTTATTAGGAAAACCAATTCAATCACCTTACTCTCACCCTACTTCCCCTTATTTTGCGATTGCGTGAGCCGAGCCCCGAAAGCTAAATAGCCCACAAAAAACATTCCGTGAAATCGCAATCTAAGTTTAGACGATTTCATCATATTCTCTGCTTTGCGTATTCATAAGATACACGCTCCTGCAGTTGTATGTATTTTGCTGTGGACGTTGGCAAATTAGCTAATATGCGCTTAGCCCCGTTGGTGAATGTTTGGTTGGTACTTCAAGTTTGTTTGAACGTTTCATTTTCCTTAAACTAGCTATCTAGGTTAATTTGAATAAACAAAAACAAAAGGAGCTATTAGGTTATAACGTCAGTCCACCAGATTCTAAGTTATTTATTATTATGAATACGATAATAAAATTTCCTTTAAGATCATAAATATTGGCAACTCCCTTGAAAACAGGAAAAAATCCACTTTTTAAGAGATACATTTACAAAGCTTAATTTTTGTGGCGTCACCTAAGACCCAATATCGGGTTATAGTGAATACATTTTACTGCCAAACAACTTGCTTAAAATTCATATCTCGCGCTCTGACCTTTTGCAGATATTCATAAAAACAACGACAACGAACTTTGAGGTGGGGAAGAAGAGGAAACCCAGCGCCAAACTCCAATTGCAACTCTCGGATACCCAACAGCAATTGCGGTCCCAAAATTATATGCCTGCCACCGCATTTCCATAGGATTTTGGTGGAAACTTGCGACTAACAAAGCGAACTTCAAATGTGAACCAATCATACAATAAAAACGCGAAAAAAGACCGAAAATAACGTGCATGGAAAAAAAGATATTGTGAAAACAACAACAAAAGAAACATTAGGCAAAATTGTTTCCAAAGCCTTTTTGTATTATTTTTTGAAAGTGCAGTGAAAACGAAATATGATTAATTAGCAATGCGGCAAAATCATTAATGAATATTAAGTAAAGCCCCCGAAAAACACGAACAAAACGGGAAAAGTTAAGAAAAAACTTGCATGTGGAGCAAAAGAGAGTTTGGCGCGCTTTTAAACGCCGGCGACTAAAGACGCGTTCGCGTTTTAACTCAACCAACAAGCGGAAGAGTGATAGCCAAATTAAAATCAAGTTCGTTGCATAAATCTCGCGAGTGTCTGTGTGCAAATGGCCACTTCGGAGCAGAGTAGGCGGCCCCTGGAGCCGATCTTCATCGCCACTCCCCCCCAGACGCCCCTGCTGCACCACCACAGCTCGATAACGCGCACCACAACGCCCCGCGAGATGCCCACCATGTACCACTTCGATTTCGGTAAGCCATTAAGACGCTGCTCAGCCAATTATAACTGTAAACAGCCCTTGCGTTAGGAGCTTATCAAGCGATTTATTACATTGAAAAAAATCTAGATAAGTCTGTAAATGTATCGAATTTCTGAATGAAAAGTGCATTTCAATGTTTAAGAGATTGTGATAGGAATAAATTGCATTTAAATACAAGCTTTATTGTTTTCTGTGCAGCTCGATAAAATGCATGCAATATAAATGCAAACAATGTGCGGCTAATTCAAAATACTCAAATATTCATGCCACTTCCGCGCAGGCGCACAAATCTCCGAAAAGCACTTGGCATGCAGCCCCAGGCGAAGAAACTCCAGCTGTGTTAGAGGAAGTGTTTAGGAAACCACTTAAAGCCAATAACCAAGAGGGGGATCGGGGGGCGATTTGAATTTATAATGAACTCAATAAAGCATGAAGTCACTTTTTATGACCAAGTAAACATGGTATTCAAATTTAAAAGGCAAAGAACAATAAAGGCTTTTAAATTTCTTGTAAAAACCCATAAAATTCTGTATTGTGAACGATTTTAGGGGAACTATCCGCCGGATATAGAAAATATATTTTGAAAGAAAAAATCATATAAAAGTGTAGAAAATAACAAATGACAGAGAATATAAAAGAGGCATTAATCATGTTATGGTCATTATAAACAAAGTAACGGATGCAAAAATCACTTTTGGAACCCCTATAAAACCTGCGAACTCTAAGAGTTATGTTCAAGCTTCTCTGAATAAAAGAAACCGCTTGAATATAACAAAACCACAGCTTTCTATCACACAATGACATCAGTTATTATTGCAAATAATATATAGTATGTATTGCAAAAAAAGAAAGCAAAACGCACAAAAAGCTCTCAGCCAAATCAAACACAGAAAACGTGGAAGGCATTTAAAATCTAAATGAAAATAAACAAAAAAAAAAACAGAAGCCAAGCAATTGACAACAACAGCAACTGACATATCTGTGTCAATTTCCTTTTGCAGTAAACAGCAAAAGACCCAAAAACAAAAAGAAGAATCGAATAAGTTTTAATCAAATTAAAGACAAGCCCAAATCAAGAAATTCAAGTAGAGTTCTACCCAAAATGTCTTTTGCGCAGCGCAGCAATCGAGAATAATTCAATTAGAGATTGACAGAAGCAAAAAGCTTAGCTCGAGTTATAGCCCATATTTATATGGCAGATAAATGTGCCAGCTGCTTGACAGAAATCGGGCTTTGCGACGGATTTGAAATCCGTTTCAGCCATGTCAGTCACGTCTGGCCGGCAGATTTGCGTGCCAGTTTTAACAAGTTTCCGATAATGCCAATAAATAAGTTCGAAACACTATTCCATTGTCGCCCTACCAACTGACGGTAATGGCCTGGGCAATATATGGCTTAAACGACGGCAAGTTGGCGGCGTTTGACCCACTTCCCTCGGCCCACTCGAAAATGAGTTCCCTCTCTCTGCTAATCCGATGAATTTCCTTGACATTGAACCACATTAGTGGCACAAGCTGTGTGCGTTCAAACATAGAATCAATTCCAAATCCCAACCAGTTTTTGTATTGGCATTTCATACAGAGGTGTTAATTCTGCCTTACAAAAACCAGTTTCTTTACAAACTTTTGCAAGTCACTGATCTGTTAGGGATGATTTCTGCCATTGACAAATTTGTCTTTGATGAATTGCAGTTAAGCAATTAAATGTCCAACTGAAGCAGGTTCAAAATTATGGCCAAAACAAAATAAACTTCTTCAAGCCGACAAAGTCCAAAAAAGCTTCAAAAAGCTTTGAAATCGAGCAGTGTTGCTGTGCATCAGGCTTACTACTATATTTTATTTTTCGTAGAATTTAGTCTCACCTTTTTAGTGGATATATTATATTATACATATATATATTAATATACTAATAACAATAGAACCAAAGCTGTTGCTTAAAAACAAATTAATTACAAATTTATTTTAACTTAAAACACTTTAACTTTCTAAAAATGTGTTATGGTGCAATTAATTTTAATCACCTATCACAAACTAGTCAGACCCTTTCAAATTTTAATTTGATTTGCTGAAACACATTCGGAGCCCAAGCCCCAAACAAATTGAATTGCTAATCGTTTGGCTTCACCTATCGATCGAATGTGCTCCAAATCCAATTGAAAATTACCTACCTCAATTAACGGCCCAATTCTACTCACACTCCAAAATGCAAAACAAAAGATAGAAGAGCTTGAAACACACAAAATCGTATTGGATACAAACACAAAAGTATTTCACACTTTCTAAACGGCAATCAGCACTGCCAACAACAAACAAATCAACTTCAATTTGTTGCAACAACATCGAATCACCGAGTTACAAACAGAACCGAAGACAGAAACAAAAAAAAGACAGAAGAAAAATGAAAACAGAGGGAAAATTGTGCAATCTGCGAAATGCGTTCGGTGGAAACAAACGCAAACAAGAAATAAAACATCCAGCGCCAATGAACTGAAATGGTTTCATTAGATGATCGAAGGGGAGATAGAGGGACCCATTGGACGACTGACGACTGGAAGAAATAGAACTTAATTAGTTGAAAATACGGCGGCCTCAGGCTGTTGATATGTGAAGTGTGCTTTTCTTGGCAGAGGAAGAGAGAAGCTCGGGGGGGAAAGTGGGAGAAAGAGGGGCAGGTAAACATTCAGGGGCCAATGAAATGTCGCCAAGAGTGCAGTATCGAAAAAGTTCTTATATAGCAGAATATTTTTAGATCTTAGAACTAGATTTTCGATGAGTAATAGGATTAGCCTTTCTTTACAATTGGAGATACGATAGGATCATCCTGGGCAATATTGTACAATTGTTATCTTTTTACCTTCAAAAGGAATTATTTTGAGCAGTGCACGGGAAACATAAAGTTTTTAAGTTCACTATGAAAATATAGTTCTTCGGTCGTGTCGCCGCCTTGCCCCCAAAATGCCATCCGCACATCATCTCGATTCTAGGTTCTAGAACTTTGACTATTTTTAAGCACGCGCCCCTTCAAAACATATTTCCCGAGGGCTGGTTGCTGCACCGTGAAAATCGGCAGAGCGAGATATATGCAACCGATCGCCCCATCCACTCCCAACGACCATATGCAACTGCAACAGATTTTCTATTTTCGTTGGCGCTCTCGAAGCGTGACAATTATAGGAGATTATCCAAGACTCAAAGTCGCGACGCGTGGGCGACCACAAACGATGCCGCCTACACCCCAAAAACCACCCATTCCCCCACCCAGCACTCAGTCGAAGGGAAATTTGTTGGTTCGATAAACCAGATATAAATATAAATAACTGGGAATGGGTCGAGACTCAAGTTCATGACTCGCAAACATGTTTCTCCCTCGCGTTTGGCACGTGCAAATATCCAAATTTCGGTCCCAAGTCAAGGCAACTTGCATAAGAGAGTTCCACGGCCTGGTGACGTCAGCGGATGGATGCTGCAATATATGTAGCCAGATTTATAGCATCAGCAAATGGGGATCGTTTGGCCCGAGAAGAGCGATACTCAAAAGTGCATTCGCATTTCAATTAAAACCAGAAACAGCGCAAGGAGATGGAGAGTAGAGACGAATGTGGTGAAGTTTATGTGGGCGAAAATCGAATGTGGAATGCACTACAAACGAGTGTCACTCGATCACCTTAAACATAGATTAGCCTAATTTATATTGTAATTCAAATCAAAATAATTGAGAAGTTATCTGAAATGTTATCATCTCAAGATAAAAGTTATGTCAACAAAATTCCAAATCGATCTTGACCTAGAATTATGCAATCGCCATGGTAAAATACCATACATATCTAGTTTTTATGACTTTCAAAGTGCTTTTGGTTTTTGGACTCACATTTCTGATTCATCGACTATTATTTTCAAACAAATTCCTTCAGCTGAGATGCCCCTGATTTATATTAAGTGCGCCAAAAGTGTCTCCAACTCTGCGGCCAGCTGTTTATTTATGTGAAGCGCCTGCAACATCGCATGTTGCTGAGCTGCCGAGTTGCTGAGTCCGCCAAATGTTGCCGCCGTCTACCTTTTTTGGCACACTTATGCAACCGCTGGTGGCAGTAAGTGGATGTTTTTCATGCCCCAAAAGTGGACATAATTGCACATGTGTGGGGGCTACACCCAGATGTCGTGGTCCCGATTCCCCGTTAGCCAGGAAATGGGCGCTCTTTGAAGTTGCTCAACTGACTGACTGGCGATGGTCGGCGCGGGTGAGATTTCAATTCGCGAACCGGGACAGGGAACTGGGAGAATTGGCAGCCGTTCCTCCGGAGAGTGAATAATGCCCAAGTAGTCGAGGGTTCAGCAACATTTGACGTCGCCGGCGGCGGCTTTAAATAAATCAGCCGTAAAGACAGACAGTACAGAAGAGCAGAAGAGCAGAGGAGCAGATGGGGGGAAGGGGAAATGGAAAAGCGGGCAGTAGACAACTGGAATCCGGGGAGAGCGAGGAGGAGCGAGGGGGAGGGGGAGTCGGAACAGAATCGTGGCCTTTGTCGATGGCAGCAGGGGCACAAACAACAACACCCACACTCGGCCCAAAACTGGAGTGCAACTATTTTTAATGCCATGCAAAACGCGCACGGGCAACATGTTGCTGGTGGAGCTTTGTGGCGATGTTGCTGGCGGGAGTGTTGCCGCTGTGTGTTCAGTTGAGCACGAGAAGCCGGCGCGAGAAGTTCACTCGGATTCGGGGAGTCGGTGCGGGAAATGCGTCTGAAGTTGCCCAAGTGAATAAGTCCGAAACAAACCGCCTTGCAATGAGCAAGAAAATGTGGCAGAAGATCTTCAAATCGAAGGCCCAAAAGCCGCCGCCTCTGGCCAAAATCAACAAGCGGCATAGTCGCATCGTCTACGAGGAGTATCAGCAGTTGAGCGATCTGCTGGCCGGTGGAAAAGAGCAGCTGAGTTCCAGCAACGAAAAGGAAAACGAGCATGAAAATGGAAATGGAAATGGCCCTGCCTGTGGAAATGGCAATGGAAATGGCAGCATCAACGTTTTCGAACAGCCTCCGCCGCAAAGTTCTTTCAACTCGTCGGAGTTTGGTGAACAACATCAGCCGAAGCAACAGTTGTCAACGTTTTCTCGCGTTCGAAACACATTTTCCATCAGACGAAGCAGCAACAGCAACAGCAACAACAACAGCAACAGCAGTAAAAAGCTGGCCAATGCCACGCCAAGTGAGTGGGATGCAGCATCAGAAGCGGCAACAGTTGCAACTGCAACATTAACAAACAATCAGCCAGGCAATCAACTGCAACGCGTCGTGATTGTTGTCAATACGATCGATGTGGCCACTAACTGTCCGACTAACCATTTGCATGCCAATTCAACAGCAACGACACACACAGCTACAGCAATTAAACCAAGTAATTCCGCTGCAAATTAACAACTTATTTCTGCTAAGTGATCCGTTTTCGCTTCCCCACAAATTACCCTTCGGCGAAAGCTTTGGTGAAATCCCATCTGCTGCCCACATCTGCTCCAATTGTTTAATCTGCCTTCCCAGTGACCCCTTGGCTGACTCCTTCTGCTTATCAATTCTCGGCCAGAAAATGATGTCACTTTCGATTTCTCTCAATGAAACTGAAATTGGAGTCGTTGATTAATGGCTGGATTTGTTTGAACCAAACAAGTTAACTAGGAGGGAGTAGCAAAGAACTACCTATATTTTATCTTGCCAGGTCTATTAGCAATACGTTAAAAGTAAAATTTTAGTTCGAAAGTCCAAACAAAATGTCTGATAATTAAACAAAAATTATTCATTACAAAAGATTCTATGACAAATACAGAAATTGTTATTATTCAAACGTATTGAAGCGATAAGAAGAATATGAAAAGACATGAACTTGAATTTGTTGAAAACAATAATATTTAATCTTCAATGCTTACATTAAGCTTTAAATTCTGTAATTTTGTCGAATGTATCATTTATATTTTTCACTAGATGATAGATAGTAGCTACTTCTTTATTCTCCAAGTGCAAACAGGTTCGGGTTCCCAGCTTACCCGCTCCGAGGTGCCAAATCCTCGGTTTTAGTTTCCTTGGCCATTCTTCTGGGTGTCAGAGAGTTGAAAGTTCAAAGCGTAGCCAAGAACCTGAAAAGCGCTCCGTCTGGGAACAGAGAAACTGTTTGTATTACGCTCTACCATATTGCACACAAGACGGCATTTATGGGCCCGCTGAGGTCTTAAGTGGCTTATGGGGATTGCCCAACAGCCAGCCACAAAGACAAAAAGTATATGGAAATGCTTAAGACTAGACACCGACTAACAAAATAGAAGATTGGGCAAGCAGGAAAACCATATTCGACCAGATTTAAAGAGGCATTCATCACTCGCCTGAATGGCTTTCAACTTTTGATCTAGTAAACTCTTGACCATTTGAAAATCCCTTCGGCTCCATCGCTTGATGTCTGCTAAAGATCTAATGGAGACCCCGTGGCTTTTATTTTTAAATATCTCAAGTGGATGCATATATTGCATGTGCATATATCTCATATTCGGAGCATCATTACCACAAGACAGATGGATGGGTAGATAGACAGTTCAGCTCACCCACTTCTCATTGCTGGGGATTATGCTTGTTTGTGAATAATATGCGTAACACACAACTTTGCATTGATTTGAATTGGAATGAGATTCAGGGGTCCCAAGATGTTGCGGAAACTCTGCTGTTTTCCCTTGTGCGTGTCGCTGATTGATGTAATCGCAATCTGACTGCCAGTTTGCGGGTGATGGCCCCGCATTATAATTGGATTTCCTCCGCCTCTGTGATTAGTGGCCGCCTCCATTGATGGTTCTAGCTGCTCTTCATTTGCTGCCTGGGCGCTGCTTCTAATTAGTATTCCTCAAGGCCCACACAAAGTAGCGGGAGATCGGTTTCTGTAGCACAGTTGCAGAATCGTTTTCATTTTGCAAAACATTTGAAGAGCAGAAATTAATTACTAACTACAGTTAGGACAATATCATAAAAACAACTGAGCCACCAAATACATTACAACTTTAAAAGGATCTTATCCCAAAACCTTATAAAGGAAACAAAAGACAATAACAATATAGTTATATTCAATGTAGTGGCTCGTGGGCAGAAGCTGGCAGAACCACCTGCCATCCGAGAGATACAAGATATTCGCTCTTCGAGATACAATTCCCGCCCACGCCCGAAAACCAGAAAGTTTTGGCCGAGACCAGCTGCCCATTTTGGACATAACTACATTTCATCAGTCTGCGGCCAGCAGATAAATAACAATTTATAGGCTGATCCTCAAAGACAACCCGAGTAATAGCCATAAATTATTTGGGATTGGTACTGCTCCATTGTCTCTGCGTTTTTGGGGAATTTATTGGTGGGCCAGACAATTTGTCGCCCAAAAAGACAATCGACCGTGAATCTGCCAGCGAGCGTTTTTCACTTGGCGCTCAGCCATTTACACTGGGAAAGTGACTGGGTTTTCCTAACGCTGAACTTTCTCTTAAAACACCAAGCCCTTTAATCTAGATATGGGATTCACGGGAATCCCCCTAAAGTGAAAGATTAATTAATGTGGTATGGTTGATTTTACAGAGATTTTATATTTGAAACCATCTCCGATCGGTTGGGTTTTGTGTTAAATTGATTTTGACACTCAGTTTGCTGCTCGTGTCGGTCGTGTTGTTGTTTCGTTAACGTTGGGAATTACTTCTATTTTGTACTCACCACCCTTTCTCACAAACATTGCCAAAGCGCTCGCAGTTGCCTAAAACCCCAGCCCAAAATTCGATTCTCAACCTTCAACTCCGTCTATTCCACACAGCAACCAGCAGCACCACGGATCGCGACCAGGAAGACTCGGGAAGGGGCGCGGAGGACGAGGAGCCGCTGCCCCCGCCCCCGCCGCCACTGACCTCCGGATCGGCGCTCCCGGTGCCGGAGCACGTGCCCGACCAGGCCGTCCAGCTGACCCCGTGTCCCTGCTGCAGCCGCACCTTCGTCGTGGACGCCCTGCGCAAGCACATCGTCATCTGCGAGAAAGCCTCCAAGAAGCGCAAGATCTTCGACTCGTCGCGCCAGCGTCGCGATGGCACCGCTCTCTCCACCTACGTGCTGCCCAAGAACTTTGGCCTCCCCAATGCGGAGCGCACGGCAGGAGTGCCATCTCCTCCGGCCAACGCTCGAGAGGCTCCACCAGCTGAGGTGAGTACATCTTAAAGGGTTAGGGGTAAATATGATTATAGGTGAGTGAATTCAGAAACAGGCTAAGTGCTTTTGGCATTTTGTATTTACTGGTTTAAATAAATATATAATAATTAACAAAGCCTAGAATGCAGATTAAGTAATATGCACATTTAATCAGTTATACAAATTAACTAATAAGTATGTATATTTAATACCCTTTCCAGCCAGTGAACTCCCCGCAACCAGTTCGTCGGAAGTCGCAAACCGAGTTGGTTCGCTCCACCGCACGAGCGTCTTTGCGGAAGGCGGCATCCACACTGTCCAATACGGCAGCCAACGAGGCGGCGGGATCTGGAGGCCCAGCCGGGCCACCTGCTGCTCCTCCGGCCCGGGAAAAGTCGCTGGCCGAGAGGATAAAGCCGCCGCCCGGCGATCCCTGTCCCCACTGCGAGCGCACCTTCAACCCGAAGGCCTTCGACCGCCACGTGGAGTGGTGCAAGGAGAAGACCATGCTGGCCAACATGAAGGGCGCCAACAAGCAGGAGACCAGCAAGGCCAAGGAGCGTCTGGAGGCCAGGAAGAAGTACAAGCCACCCAATCTAAAGTAAGCCTCGTTTTAGTTGACAACCGATCCCAATCCGAAGTAGCCTTGACTTGATTGCCACATGGAGTTCTGTCCTTCTGATCTTACAAACTTACACACACTTTTTGTTTTCCTTCTCGTTCTTGTTTTTGTTTTTGTTGCTATTACCACTGCGATGTTCGCCAGGACAAAGAGATCCGTTGCCCGAGACAAGTACTCCGGGAACCACGAGGAGCTGCTGGAAGCGGGCGAGATGGCGGCCCCCAAGCCAAGTATGATGTCCCTCTCGATGACCTCGTCCGTGCAAAGTGATAAGTGAGTAGCCGGTTTACCGATCGTATATATCTCTATTAGATAGTCCTAACCCCCGATGCTCTTTTGGCGTTGCTTTGGTCGTCTTTGATTAATCCTGTAAAGAAAGCGTACAAGTAAACATTTATTAGACACCGTCGTGTAGTTCGAACACCGAGTAGTTAGTCCTCCGATCAGCGATCTTCACTCATCCCAGAAACGATCCCCAGCCATCAAGCTCAAGGAACAAGAAGTCGCGCCCCTGTGCCACCCGGAAGTCGCGGGAAGCCGGAGACCAGACCAGCGGTCAGCCAGAACCAGGTGAACCTGTACATGACCCACGACGAGGATCCCCCCTCCTCTCCACCGCCGCCCAGCGATGGAGCTCCACTGCGGCGCTCCAGGCGCAAGCAGCCGGAGTCCTGCTGTGAAATCGACGATGCCATGGAGCGACTGAGGCACAACGGCAGTGGAGACGGGTTCCGTTTGGCCAAGCTGGACTGCATGGAGGCACCAGCCCTGCAGCCGGCCAGACACCGCAAAACCACAGGCAAGCGGGATAAAATCGGAGCGGGCGACAAGGATATCCGCCTGCCCAACCTTCCCCAAGTGACCATGACATTCGACGAACTCAATGGGTTGATCAAGCGTAAAGGTATGGGTTGTTCCTTGTAGTTTCTCAATGGGCAATCTCTCCGTAGCATGTACTCCTCCAATTAATTTGAGACACTGCTGCTCATAAAATCTAAGAACCCGGAACCATTTCATGATCGTTAATTAGTGCGCGCCGCATCAAAGCACTCGTAGGATCAGCCAAGCATTAAGCTTTCGAAGGTGTTGTCCAGGTGCAAGTGCAACCAGTGGGTTTTAAATGTGATTAGGAGTCTTAGGAGATGAAGTCAAGGGCATCGAACAAGAAATACTAGTTGGAGGGAAGGCAAATCATTATTAAATAAAATTAAACAAATTACAAAGCGATTAGAATTTTAGAAAGTTAAAGAAAGGAACAATTAATTGATTAATTAATTTAAAATTATAAGTAGCAGGGGTATTGGAGTGAACAATATGTAGATTTTTAGTAAAGTATAAGGTAATAGAGACTTGCCTTTAGTTAACCAATCCTAACCCAACAACCTCCCATCCTCCATGCTGCTGCACTTCAGGCGGCACTCCTATCTGCAATATGGAAATGGAAGATCAGGAAAAGCATCATCATTCGAGCACCTCCTTGGTGCGCCAGGCTCATCGCCGCACTCGCACCCGGGAGAACCCCAACTTGGAGCTAAGGGCCTTGCAACAGGGATCAGTGATGTCCAAGGACGTTCAGTTCGCCTCGCTGGACTCGAGCTTAGTGCCCCTGCAGCGAAAGCAACGCAAGGTGGTGCACTCGGGATCCGAGGAGGACTCTCCCCGGGCGGAGATCCAGATCAAGATGGAGGCCACCACCATGCGCACAGTTTGCCGACCCACTAAGAGACCGGCAGTTCACGGAGGACAATTGATCAGTAACCCCGAACCCCTGAGGGCTTTACCAATGCCCGAGTTGAAGCAGAGTTTGGAGGCCATTAACAAATCGATGGGGCAGGCGGTCCTGCCAAGATTGAAACTGGGAAACGAGAGGGAGGACTTGGAGTCGGATGCAGATGAGCAGGATAATTACACCAGTGAATTGGATGACGAACCAGAGGAGGAGGACGATCTTATAGCGAGAGCGACGAAGCTGATCGAACGAGCTCGTTCTTGTCCTAGTCCCAAGCCCAATCCCTCCGCGGAGGATACCCACAGTGGGGATGAGGAGCAGGAGGAGGAGGAGGAACAACCAGACCTAGAGCTAGAAAAGGTCTTGAAACTGCCCCCCTTGACCAAGCAGAACAGCAATGTCAGTCGTCGTTTGGTGGTTCTTGAGCAGGATGAGAATGGCACCATGTACATTAAGTCGGCTACCAGCTCCCAGCGTCGTGCAAATAGGTTTGTATACCACATAGGTTCGAAGTAATCCCAACCAATCCTCCCCAGACGACAGCCAGACAGAGCAACTTCGGGTGGTTTTAATCGAATGTCATTTATAACATTTCTCCTAACCAATTTGCCATTTCTTTTTAACAGCGGCCTGGGGAATAAGTACGATCCCTTCCTCTCGGCCAAGCGGCAGCTGGAGGAGCTCTGCTCGCCCAGCACGCCGCCCCCCGAGGAGGAGGAGGTGACCAGCACCACTAGGAACACCAAGACCCTGACACCCTTACCAACGACCACACCTACAGCTACACCCAACATCGCCATGACCACTTCTCTCAACACAGCAATAAGCAAGCCAGCTCAGATGGCCCTGAAATCCACGCCGGCCTCCAACTTCCGACGCACCTCATCGTTGCGGGGTCCCCGTCGCACGCCCATGCTGAACAGTCGCCCCCTGTTCGCCACGAACTACCGACCCACCATCCAGCGAGGCCTCTCCGACGAGGGACCCATCTCCACGAACTTCCTCAAGCCGGAGGAGTTCGACGAGATGCCAGTAAGGGCGGCCTGCGGCAACGATTTCCACAGTCCCCGAGTGGTGCGTCGCGATACGAGCGCCTCCAATCGGAAGCAGCAGCTCAAGCTGCCAGTGGGTGGAGCCGGTGAAGCCAGCAACGCCCCCTCATCCCCGCAAGCGGGACGCAGTGTGGCCAAAACGGACTCGCTGGCCGTGTTCCTGAAGTACGAGCACGAGCTGGAGCAGTTGAACGCCAAGGCGGCGGAGTTGGCCGCGGCCAGCCAGCTGACCAGCAAGGAGCAGAAGGACAAGAGCAACACGCTGAGCAAACAGAACTCGGCCAAGAGCCTCGGACAGAGTACTCCGACCCAGCTGCCACCGTTGACTCCTGCGGCGGTTCCACCCTCACCTTCCGCGGTCAAGGAGGTGAACTATCCGCCGGTGGCGACTCCTCTGCGGTTGGAGCCCATCAGCCGGCCAGCGATGAACCCCCTAGCTCCACTCACGCCCATCCGGCTGGAGAGCATCTTCGGTCCCAGGAGGGAAGCGGCCTTGGGTTCAGGATCGGGATCGGTGGCAGGCGACTTCATCGACCCCAAGCTGATAAACGCCTGCGACAACCTGCACGTGAGCAGCGGCATCTCCTCGGACGCCAGCTCCACGCCGCAGCAGTTGTCCCAGAGCCGGAGCCGCAGCAGCTCCCAGTCGACAATCACCCACGAGCGGAGGCAGTCCGGCGAGGCCAGGAACCTGCTGAAGCGCAAGATGCGCTTGGGACGCAACCAGTTTCTGTACGACGCCTCGCCGGAGGACGCGGACGCCTCGTCCGGCTGCTCCGCCGACGACGAGGCCAACCGCTCCTCCATGGAGTACGACGAGCAGTGCTGGCAGCAGCAGCAGAAGCAGCTGCTGGCCAACCCGCTGCCGCTGGTCATGCCCATGGTGCACAACGCCATGCCCACCTTCGACGACTTTGACTTCGAGGAGTTCCTCTCCTCATTCGAGAACGAGAATGACGACGAGCAGTTCCCGCTGTTCAAGGACTGTCGCGAGTTCCTTCTGAATCGCTCGACGAGCAGGCAACGCTCGTTCCAGAAAGCGACTTCGACGCCACAAGCGACAGCCACACCGAGCACACCGCACACACCGCACAGCATCCACAGTGTCCAGTCGAAGATTAAAGACAATCACGCCCACAGGTCCGAGGCGAAGGCGCCGGAGGAGCGGCTGCAGCGCCAGCGGTCGAACGCCTCGAACGCCAGCAGCCAGGAGGAGAAGCAGAGCCGCCAGGACATGGAGAAGCGGATGGGCGCCGAGGACCAGCAGAAGCGGGAGATATTCATCAGCATCGAAACGGAGGCCAATGCCCAGGGACGCTCGCCCATCTCGCCGGACTCGCTGCGCCACATGGTCGGCAATGCCCAGACGCCCATCGACGTGCTGCACATCGAGAACGGCAACGAGCCGGAGCACGCGAGGTTCAGCAAGATCAGCGACACGGAGGATGCCGGAGACGAGTCCGGGGATCGAACCAGCCAGGCCACCGCCACCGGCCGACTGGCCCCATCCCCGAGTGGCTCCGCATTGGCGCCCAACGTGCAGCTGAACAACGCCAAGAACCTGATCCAGCAGATGCAGAGTGACTTCCGGCAGCTGGGCGAGGAGGCCAGTGCCTCCATGCGGCGCATGTTGATTGTCAGCGGACGAGGAGACGAGCAGCAGCAGCAGCAACAGCAGGCGAGCAGGGAAGTCAGGGATCCAAATCCGATTCCAAATCTCGAGCAGGAACAACAACATATTAAGGCCAACGCCCCACTGACGCCTTCGCCGTCGGCGGAGTCGGATGAGCTGAGCAGCCTGGATGGCTATCCCATGTCCTCCTCGCACGGCTCCCGGCGCGGAGCCAGCTCCAAGATGAGTACGGATTCGGCTTACGGCAGGTGGGTTCGTCTGGAGCAGAATATAAACCACATACTAATATCCGATCTACCAATTGCAGCAGCAACTCACCTTACAGCTTGTCACGCCAGCGCTCCTCGGAACTCCAGCCGGTGGCCTCACACTCCCAGGGACTCCAGCGTCCGCATACGGCCAGTGCCATGTTAGCGGGCGGCCTGACCGATTCCAGCCCCCAGACGCACAGCGCCCACGGAGGCCTTAAGGCTCGCAAGCGACTGTTTGTCCCAGAAAGTGGCAGCAATGGCGATGGAGCCGAGTTGTCCATCAGTGGACCAGATCACTTTCTTCAGCAACATCAGCAGATAAGCAACTACAACTACCAACAACTGCAGCAGCAACAACTGCAGCAGCAACAGCAACAACTGCAGCAGCAGCAACCACAGCAGCAGCAGGAGAAGCCCTTACCACAATCTCTACAGGATTACAACGCCAACAACAATCTACCGATAACACCAACCATTTCGGAGCACTCGCTGAACAGCAACGAATCCATGTCGTCAAGTATGAGGATTTCGAAGTACTGCCACGAATGCGGCGGAAAGTTCATCTTGGACACCGCCAAATTCTGCATGGAGTGCGGAATGAAGAGGATTATATTCTAGATTAACCCCCCACGTAGCCATTGTTGTCAGTAGCTCACACCACTCACAGAATTCAGAACTCAGATCTTAGAACTCAGAACACGAAACACAGAACACAAAAGCACCCGAACAAAGCCGACTCCGCTGATGAATCCTGGCCAGTTCGATCTTTGGGGTCTGAAATATACCAAATGTAGTTGTTAAACGCAAGCAGTTTGCAGGGAGCGTTAACACCGCTTATATACGAGATAATAATAATATATATATTTTTTAATACGAACCAAAACCAGTAAAACACAGGTGTTTATTCAAGCAAACTTTAATCGAACTAAACTTGGCATTTCTTTCGCAAACATGTTTATCATCTTCGATGGCTTAAAAAATCGAACAAAAACGAAACTCAACGTAAAAAGTAAACACTTTAACAAAGTTGTTGATTAACAAAGACTGAACGAATTTAAACGATAGAGCGTTGAAAAAAAATTGAATATGTAATATGACAAGAGCAAAACTATTTTTAAACATTTTTCAAAACCTAACGCAGCAACTTCATTGTATTTGTATTTTGTAAACGTTTTACTAATTATATAGACACCGCTTAAATATATACGTATATATGATAATGCATACACATCGATTCGTATCAACGATTTGGTTTAATATAAAACTTGGCTTAAAACGTCGAAGTTGACTTAACACATTCATGATAACTCATCCGTTTGGATTTGATTGGTCCATTTCTTACACAAATCTTATTATATTGAATTTTTCTGTTTTCATTTGCAGGCTTTTAAATGGAGTGTTAAGGTTGTTATTCATCGTAACGCAGTCCTAGACGGCGCAAACCGAATATTGTTATCAGAAACTCATATTAAAAGAAATACAAAAACTTCTGTTTTACAGATGGGGAATGCTTACATTACAAAGTGCTGTCAAAGCAGCTAGAAAATTGGATCTTCTTGACTTCAGTTCTTAAGGTTTATCCTAGAGGCACACTATAACACTATTCGCTTAATCTAATACTTTTTCAAAGTCTTAACACAAAGTTTCAGTTTCATAATTTCCGACACAATGTGTCTTTAGTTTCTTCGGGTCTCTAAATTGATAACTGACACAAATGATTCCTTATAGCCTTTGTGAGCTCCTCTGATACGGAAAAACGCTTTTCCATTTTGTCCGTAGTCACACTTATATCCTGTGGCATCCTGGCAAACCAAGGAGTGTCCTCCTCGTCCTCCGACTCACTGCTCGACTCCTCATCGGACTGCTCCTCATAAACATCTGGAAGGAATTCCGGTCTCTGTTGGGCACCCTTCTTCTTGAAAACGTATGTGCCTTGATTCTTGCACTCCCTAATGATCGACTTGAAGTCCCGGTGATGTCGCAGCGTGACCGGGTTCCCAACCAGTATCAGCAAAGACTTGGCTCTCGACAGGAGCACATTGACTCGGCGCGGACTGCGCATGAATCCCATGTTGGCGAACGATCGCACCAAACTGGCGATTATAATGGGCTTCTCCCGGCCCTGATAAGTCTCGACGCTGCCCACCTCCACGTTGGGGTGCCCCTGGCTTTGAAGAAGTTTGGTAACAAGTTTGCCCTGGGCCGTGTACGGAGCTACTATGCCGATATCTTCCTGGCTGACTCTTTTTCCGTGCCCCAAGCCGTCGTTTATGAGGCGTTTTACGTACCAGCACAGGACTTGGGCCTCCAGCTGGTTGAACGAGCTGGTGGAGTGCTGCTCTCGTTTGGTGACTCCATGTGTGGCCTGGAAGATGATGGGAAACCGTGGGTTGGGCAGCAGGGCCCAGTTCTCCGCTAAGTTTACATCTGCATCGGGGGCCTGCGCGATCAGCTCTCCGTTGTAGTACAGCTCGTTGAACAGGCGCACAATTTCCGGATGGGATCGATAGTTTCGGCGCAGTCGCGTCTGCAAAGAACGATCGAAGTTCCCATTTGCATCCACCTTGTAGCAATCCGAGCGGAGAAGACGCTCCATTAGGGAATGGCTCAACCCAAGGGACGCTGCCCGATTGCTCTTTATGACGGCGCCCAGCTGCTTGTGGTCGCCGGACAAGATGACATGGCAGTCCGAAGTCTGTTTGATTCCCATTATGCCGATCAAGGCCTCCGGCTCGGTGGCAGCGCCCGCCTCGTCGATGAAAATGTGGCTAAAGAATTTGTGCTTGCCCAGATCGTCGCTGACCAAGCGTCCCACGGTGCACAAAGTGGCCACTGTGATGCCGTACTGGAGGATATGTGAAACTCCAAGGTGCTCGTAGATGTGCTTCGAGCAGTTGGAATTCTTCAGCAGCAGTGGCGGCACGGTCTTCAGTCCCTTGTGGTGGATGGAACGGGAGAATACGCGAATCAACTGCCGATCAGGCTTCGGCTGCTCCTGCTGGGCAAAGTGCTTCCGGAGCCGCTCGTTGCTGGAAATGTACTCGCACAGCTTCAGGGCGATTGTGTCGCAGGCCGAATTCGAACCGGCGGTTACAAGAATGCGGCTTCTAGGTTGCAGAAGGCGCAGCTGTAGAATGGTCTCCACAATAGTAGTGGTTTTTCCAGTGCCTGCATCAATAACAATATTGGATTTATATCAGAAAATGAAGTATAGTAATGCCTCAAATCATTTCTACTTTACTTGAACCGATATTTTACTTTTGATGCGAATTCTTTTGTTACCTTAAATGCTTAACAGATAAATATCACTTACCTGGTGGTCCGAACACGATGTAGGGTCCCTCAGTGCTTGGTCCTGCGACGATCCTCTTCACCGCCTGGAACTGCTCTGTATTGGAATAAATGGTCGGATTGAGGAGCAAGATAGCTTGCGAAGGAACGGTCTCTATTTTTGGCTTCGCTTGCATCCAGCTGGGCAAGGTTCCGCAGTCACGCAGTTGGATCTTCGACTGGTCCACCATCTGGGTCAACCAGCCGGGAAACGGAAACAAGTAGCGGCGCACCAATGGACTCTCCTGGAGCAGTTTTAGCGCGCGATACATGTATCGGAAGGGTGTGCGCCTTGAGCGAATTATGGCGCAGAAGCCTTGACCTTGCAAGATATCGTCACCGGGCCAATTATGGCGGCCAAAACGGAAATGAACAGTGGTGCGGCTGACCTGGTCCACATTAGCCACATAACGACGCTGCGGATCATTCTTTTCCAAAAATTCGTTGGCGTGGGGCAGAAGGGCCATCAGTAGGTTTTTTGGAAGCGGAGAGGCTATCAAGCTGGACTTGGGCACCAACACTACTTCGTCCAGGTTGGGGGCCACCACATCCTCAGCATTCACGCTCGTGGTTTTGAGAACAATCTTATAGGATAACTTTCCAACTCGTTGTACAGCCACGTCCGGTTGGAGCAGTAGGGCGTACAGCTGCATGGTGGACAGGTCCTCGATTGTCAGCAGCGTTTGCATCACGGAACATACGTTGTAAAACTCCAAACGCTTTGTGGTCAGATACTCGGCAAAAACTGCATTTTGAGTAGTCAAGTCCTTGTCGGTGAATTCGGTGGGCAAAGCCTGTAGCATTTCGGCACTGGGCGGATAATGTGGCAAATTGCGCATCAACGCCCAAAGTCTGTAAGGGATTAACAACGAGGCTAAAATCTTCAATGGTTCAACAAAGACTTACCGCTTCTGTTTTTCCACAGGGTCGTCTGGTTTCCCATCATCAATAGCTTTTGGTCCCAATATAAATGTTTGTTTCTTTTGAGTTAGCCTGTGATCTGCATTCGCTATGAGGGCTATTCGCGACAACTGGTGATCCAACTGTGAACGCCATAATCGTGGCCCATACTATGCAATTAACTAGCCAAAACCACTTACCAATTCCAAATTCTCGATAGCGTGCATGGTTTCCTTGCTAAAAATATATCACACGAATTAATTCACATTAATAAAGACAAAAACGTAGAGCGCGACTGAGCTTTTCGCGGAAAAGTCGAATCGCGGAGAATTCAAAGTGCCGTTGGTTTTCTAGAGATGGATAGTGCGTGTTTAAACTCGCGCCGTTAAGTTCGATTAGTTTTAATCGATATTTGCGAACGACGCAAGGAGCTGGGCCTTCAACACTGGATTTGTGCCATCCCTAAATCGGTTTGTTTACGAAAGGCATCAAAAGGAAATGGACGATTCGGATTCAAATGAAGTTCTTATCGAGGAAATAGATAGCAATGATGTGCCGGAGAACGAGCTGGAGCAGTTCCAGGAGACGGAGCCGCTGCGCGTGGTGGACATCATCGATTGCGACGTAGATGGCGAGCGGCGCAACTTCGAGGCGGACGAGGAGGAAGGAGCTCTAATCAAGCGCTATGTGCAGGGCGTCCAGTGCCTAGAGTTCCCGGATTTCTGCACCAAACTGGAGGCCAGCGACGAGGACGAGGAGGAGCAACTTGAGCCAACAACCAACATAGAGGAGCGGCCGAGCACTTCGGCTCAGGCGAAGCAACAGCAGGAACAGCCGGCCGGAAGTGGTCGCTCCGGAGGTGGCTTCCGCAAGAGCCAACTAAGTACAGCCCTGCAGGGATTGATGGGCGAGGCCAACCTAAGCTTCGTGTACGGGCGGTTCGAAACGGCCGAGCGTATCTGCATGGAGATTATCCGGCAGAACCCGCTGGCTAGCGAACCCTTCTACACGCTTGCCGAGATCTACGAAAACCGGGACGAGGTCAAGTTCCTGAACTTTTCCACGCTGGCGGCCCATCTGAATCCCCAAGATAGGGACATGTGGATCAGGGTCTCCGACTTGCTCGTACAGCAGGGCAATCTGGCCCGTGCCCGTCTCATCTACACCAAGGCCATCAAAATGCTGCCCAAGGTGTATCAACTGCGTCTGCGAAAGGCGCAACTGCTGCAGAAAATGGGCGAAACCAATGCTTCCATGTTTACGTATTTGAAGATGCTGCCCTTGATGCCGCCGGAGGAGTGGAAGATGTGCTTGAATACAGCGAAGAACGTGGCTCGCTACTTCCACGTTCTGGAGAAGCACACGCTGGCTCTGGAGGCCATGGAGGGAGCGTACAGCGTGTGCGGGGGGCGCTTCACGCTGGAGGACATCAACATCTACCTGGAACTGCTCATCCTTAACAAGCAGTATGCGAAGGTTCTCCGCTGTCTGCGCGAGCGCACAAACTTCGAGCTGGAGAACGACCAGGAGGAGAGTCTGGAGCTGATATACTTCTGCGAGATCCCGGATGACTATGTGCCCGAGTTGCGAGCCAAGCTCTGCGTCAGCCTCATCCACATGCGGGCGCACCATCTGCTGGGCTATCTCATCCAGAACGTGCAGGAGCACATCACTCTGACGGCGGATCGTGTGGAGCTCTACATGGACATCACGGAGGCGCTGATGCAGGAACACAAGTACGCCGAGGCCATTGCGCTGATGAGTCCCATCACCGAGGGCGACACCGTTGAGTGTCCGGCGTTCGTGTGGCTGCGGCAAGCAGAGTGCCTGCGCCAGCTTAACCGCACCAACGAGGCCATCCAAAGCTACGAGAAGGTGGTGCAGCTGGCGCCCTTCTGCTATGATGCGCGGTTCACCCTCTCCGCGCTGCTGAAACAGCAGGGCCGACACGAGGAGGCCGTTCAGGCACTGGAGCAACCAGGCGAGGCCGAGGGCCAGCCGCTGGTGGCCAGATTGTTGTACGAGCGGTGTGTTATGTTGCAGCAGATCGGGCGCATCGAGGAGTTTCTGGACGTAGGCTACGCCCTGCTCAGTCGGCACTCCATCAAGCTGTACAACCGCGAGGAGATGATGGCAGCCGCCAACGGAGGCAGTGCCTACAACTCGGAGAGCTTGAAGACCATCATCCAGATGCGCAGCAAGGCGGTTGATGTCTCAGCGGAGCAGGACCTGCAGGTGGGCAGTTCACTTTAGCTAACATAAATTCCAATAAAACGTTTTCCCAATAGGATCCCGCCAAGAACGCAGCCAGTGAGGCCTCTGACCTGACCGTCAAGGACGAGTTCAATCTCTTTCAAGAGCTGGTGCGTACGGCTTTTAAGCACGGCATGCACAGCGCCGCCGAGAAGATCTGCTTCGCCATGGTAACCACAAAGAGGTTTACGTACTACCACCATGAAATTGAGAGAATCATGGTGCTCACCTGTTACTACAACGACGACTGCGCCATCGCCTTCTCGTATTTGCGGGAGCTGATTGCCAAGCAGCCTTGCCAAACGACGCTGTGGAACATGCTCTCGCTGATGATTCAGAAGGGCGATGAGGTTCGCTACTATCGCTACATTCGGCGGCTGATGCAACGCCATCCGGTGGATACGAAACCAATGCGAATCTTCCAGGGGCATTACCACTTGAACTGCGCCTCCTTCAAGTATGCCTTGAACATCTACATCCCCATTCTGCGCGAGAGTCCCGATCCCCTGGTGGCTCTCTCCATAGCCGTTGCCTTCAACCAGCTGTCGCTGCAGAAGAAGGTGCTACGCAAGTCGGCGGCAGTGGCCCAGGCGGTGGCCTTTGCCCAGCGCTACAAAGAACTGCGATCAGCTGGCCACGAGCTCTCCGACTGCGCCGCCCAGCAGGAGATCTTCTACAACATCGGACGCATTTACCACCAGGCAAACATCCTGCACTTGGCAGTGGAGTACTACGAGAAGGCCCTGGCAGTGCCCGTTCACCCGCTAGTTGCCGAACACGAATCCACCCTGGGTCTGCAACACGAGGTGGCCTTCAACTTGCACCTCATATACCGAGCCAATGGAAACAAGTGGAAGGCCCGCCAGTATCTGATGCGCTACTGTGTGGTCTAATGAAGGGCATGCTACGAATCCTGGAATTTGTAACAGTTACCTGCTCTTAGTTAATGTTGATCCCATTTTGTTATTTACTTTAATTTGTCTTTAAATTGAACGCTTTGTTTGTCTGTTGAAGAACTTTTGAGTACTAAACTAAGGCCACTGCAAAGTCGAATTTATAGACCCTGATAAGCTAACAATACCGGGGGATCCCAATTTTCCGCTAACCAATCTGTTGAAAATTGAATATTGAGAGATGAAGGGGAAACTGGGAGCTTAAATAATGCGAGAATCAACTTATTAGTAACGAAATCAACCAACGTCCGCTTTATTCTCATGCCTTTGTTTCCATGACTCATAAACGTAAAATTGTGCATCCGGTCACGTAGAAGGTGTTTCGGTTAAATAACTGTAAAGGGTTCTTAGTCAACTGCATTTCCAAGAAATTGCATTTATGGGTTTTTAAAGATAAGCGCTATATGAACTTTAATGTGTAACTGCGATCTTAACTATGCAGTTGTATTTTATTATTGGACTTTTAAGATTCTGTTTACTATAATTATTATTATAAATAACATCGTCAATAGGAAACAAACTCCAGCAAATTGTATAAAACACGTCTTTATTTAGGATTTCAGAAGTTACAATTAAAAAACTTTAAACCCAGAGGATTAAGAATGCAATTAGGAGTGGCGTTCCTTCCTAGCATGCCGGCATGGAGCAGGGACGAGACTTGACCAGGCGCTTGGAGCACGCCTGTCCGCCGTTCTGGGGCTCGCTGACCACAAAGCGATGGCTCTCGGAGACCCCGACTCCGCAGGCGACGCTGCAGGACGACCAGGCGGACCACTCCGACAGGACACAGCCCTTAGGCTGGTCACCCCTCGAGGGCTGTCCACTCCTGACCGCGTGGCAGGTGTTCAGGCAGTCGTTCTCCGTGAGGAAGTTGTTCCGGTTGCCGCGACATCCTCCGTAGCTGAAGGAGCCGCATCGCTGGCTCTGCGGGTCGAAGGCGTAGCGCATGTAGTTGCCCCTGCAGGGACCCGCGTCCGGAGCCTGGACACAGATGTCCCTGGCCTGCTCCGCGTTAATGTGGCAGTCCGTGGGGTTGACGCACTCCTTCTGCTGGTGCAGCTCCATGCGCCGCGTGCAGTTCTCCTTCTCGGGGCCGTTCTCCAGCAGGAGCAGGCGGGTGCGGATGGTCACTCCCCGTCCGCAGGTCGAGGTGCAGGGGCTCCAGTCGCTCCACTGCGTGGTCGGGCACTGGGCGTCCGGCAGCTCCACCTGCTCGTACGTGCAGTCTGGCCGCATGCACTTGTTCTTCTCCACCACCGTGATGTGGGGACACCGCTTGCGCCCCAGGTGGTTGACGAAGGTGCGCGTACGCATGGTGATTCCGATGCCGCAGCTCGCCGAGCACTCGGACCACACGCTCCACGGCGAGGTCTTGCACAGGCCGGCTCCCTCGCCGTTGTTTCCCACCAGCGACTGCGAGTTGGCCAGGTTCTCGCCCTCGTCGTCGTCGCGATCCCTCGGCTGCGAGGAGCCACCTTCGCCGGCGGGACACTCGGCTACGGCTGCCACGCACATCTCCTTGGACACCAACTGGCGGGAGCACCTGCTCTGTTCCGCCGCCGCAGGGTACAAGTACTGGCGGCTGCGCATGCGAATTCCCTTGCCGCAGCTCACGGAACAGGGGCTCCAGGCCGAGTAATCGCCCACCCGGCATTCGGCTGTGGATTAAATAGATTGGATTAATGGTTAGCAGGAAAGGTATTTAGGCATTTAGTCACCTCTAGTGTCCTGCTCCTCGGCGTCGTCGGAAACCTCCAGCTGGAGAGCCTTAAGAAATTCATCATCGCAGCTCCGGGAGACGATCTTTTCGCGCCGCAGGTACAACTTGGCCAAGGGGGTCATCTCGCGACTCTGGGGGTTGTAAAAGGGGGCCCTCGGGTCCTCGGGATACATGGTGGTGATGCGGTACATCCTCTCTGGAGGCTGGGTCTCCGAGTTGGGTGACTACCGAGGGTACCAGTAAATATCTGATGGCTGCAAAAATAAATTCTATACTTTACCATGTAGGAGATACCACTGTCGGTGCCCGCATCCCAGGGGTACAGGTCAAAGTCCAGGGACTCCTTCCAACTGCAGTCCTCGGTGCACAAGTCTAGGCCACTGACGCCCACCACCCAGTCGGGCGAGGGGCCAAACATGGAGACCAGCGACACCTTCGGGTGCTTGCGGTCCACTCGGAACTTTGAGGAGGTGTTCTGGTTGACATTCGGATACCATAAACCGGCGGCCTTGATCAGAGTGCGCAGCTTGGGTCCGTTCGCCCGCAGCTCCGTTTCGAGCGCAGCAGGGGAGCCCCACTCTGCCAGGGAACGGAATCCGGCGGTGGCGATGTGGTTCTCGCCCCAGAAGGAGAAATTGGACTCGTGCGAGGCGCCAATCACATCGGAAAAGTGCGTTAACCAGATGGCAAAGGGATAGTCCTTGGGATGCGTTTCATTCGACCAGATACCCTCGAAAACGAACTGCAAAATAACTTTAATCACTTTCTGAATTGACCTATAATTTCGCAACTTACGCTGTACTTGGCTTCATCGCAGGCACAACATTCCTTTTGGGCAGCAGCTGCGTCTGGTTTTCGCTCACAAATCACAGTGGACAGGTTACCATCGTCGGCGAACCAGGCTTTGGGACCCTCGTAGACCATCGCCGACAGGGAAACGCAGCCGGAACCCGCCTCCGGAGCCACCCACATCACCTGGACCTCAGTTTTGGGCAGATCGTCTGCCTCGGAAACTGTGTTCACACATCTGTCGTTGAACTGGGTTAAGGAGTCGCTGAACAGCTGGAAGCGACCCACTCGCCTCGGATTCGCTGCCTGGGGACGTCGTGCCCCAGTATGAGCCTCAGCCGCAATGGTAAAGTGGGTAAAATGCTGAATTTTTGTGTGCGTTCGGGATCCGAGCAAAAGCACTGTTAACAAATTTAAAATCAAATTTAAATTTCGATTAAAAATGTTATCGGAAACCCAAGACCAGTTTGGCGCATATAGTTGTCTTGCTTTCTTATTATACCATCCCTTTTATTCAAACAGGACAATTCGAGTTTCGAACCAATGGGTGAGAGATAAAGGCGAATTAAGCGGGAAAACTGGAGATTTTAGCGGGAATTTGTTGAAAGCATTTGAATACAGCCATGTGGTAATCTGGCAACACTTATTTAAGGGAACGCGCGATTTAAGTTATTTGTTAAATATACTTTTGTTAGTTTTTTCTGTTAAATATGTCTTCTTTTCTGGATATGCTGACAGAGAGCCATAGCGTCGACCTTAAAAAGTGCGGCGATGTGGTGGTCTCTCCCAGCGATAATATGGTGGCGATTTATTGCCACTTCTGCCGGGATATTTTCACACACTTGCCGGAATTTTTAAGACACATCCAGTGGGCGCACAACGATGTGCTTCACTTCACCAAGGAGCAGAATGTGTACAGCATGGAAGAGCTCATGTCTGGCGAGGAGGGTGAGAATGCCCAGTCGCCAAAGCATAACAACAGCAGTGGGGACTTCGCTACACAAGGGGTAGCGGAGGAACCGAAGAGCATGAAAAATATTAGTAATCATCTCCAGAAAGAAAGTAAGTATCCAGGTCAATATCCCAAAAAGCACATGACCCTAACGTCTAACATTCCACAGAAACGAAACCAACAATTAAGAAAATCCTGGCAGAACTTGACTTAAAGGATGAAAACTCCCAAATCAAAAATCCCATAAATATTCAATCTAAGCCCGTGACTCAAAAAATCAAAGCAGCTCGCAACAAGGCTGAAAACGGGGGAAAATCTCTAAGGGTCTGCGACCTTAAAAGTCATACCATTGCAAGGAATGCAAGAAAACGCATGACAAACGTAAAACATCGAATCCTACAAGTTCTTCGAAACGATGGGCAAACAAACCTTCAACTGAATCCTGGAAAAACCACCGGTAGTACCTCTATTATTGAACCTTTAGATGTTAAGAACATTCCCGAATTCGACTTTAAAACTCCTCCTAAACCACTGCCAAAGTCTTCTCATTTAAGCGTAAGAAAGTCAACATTAACCATGGCACGAGTCTCTGTTGTGAGCACCTCCTCTTCAGTGAAAGAAGCAGTTCATACCCAAACGAAACCTATAATCTTAAAACCCAAACCCACTTCGACTGTACAGAAACTTGAGGTTTTTTCCGCCTCAAGTATGGTGCAGGAAACCTGCCATTTCTCAAAATCGTCAAGCCAAAATAACACAAAGATCCAGAAAGGAGTATCGCCATTAAAAATTAGAGAGATACAAATTCTTCCTCCACTTAGTATAGCACCCAAGAATGAAAATAATCTAACTAACCCGTCTCAACTTAAAGAAAATCAGACTCCGGAAAGTCTGAGCAAACCACTAGAAACTAAGAAAATCGCGATAACTAAGCCTCTAAAGAAGAATATTAATCGGCAAGTGGAAAATCAGACCAAAAATAAAGTACTAAACAATGTCAAACCCTTCTCTAAAGACAATTCTAAAAAGTTTTTTAAGAACCGAAGCAAGTTGGAGTCGGATAATATCCCAAAGTTAACCTAAATCAGAGTTTGCAATGAAAAAAGGGCAAACCTTTTAAATTTTATATTTGTATAAATTTTTAAAATAAATAGATCCCGAATGAGAATAATTAATGCGCTTCAGTTCTTTCATCATTAACACAAATTAAATTAAGATTAGCCCCAGAATATATGTATATAGCATTATCAAGATACGAGCCGAACTGAAAAGATGGAGCCCATATGCTCTGGATTCCCTTATCGCCTCGATTGGTCTTGCTTTTGTTCTCAAGTGGGGTCACTGCGAAACCGATTACGAAACCAGCTAGGCTGGCTACCTTCCCGACTTACAATTATACGTCTTGCCGGGCACGTATCCGTTGGGTCCATCGGCCACAATTAATTTGTATCCATTGTCGCCGCGTGTGCGTCGACCGTGGTTCAAGTGGGTGGGCGCCCGGGGACAGGCGCTGACCGTACTAATTGCCAGCCAGACGACAACGACAAGACGGATGAGCAGCGGCAGCGAGTGGCCCATCTCCAGTGCTTTGTTTCCCGCGTTATCACTTGACACGACTTCGGAGCTCGACTGTAGTGACGACCGTTCCAGGCGAGGCTCAACAACAAACTAATCGGCAAGCCGGACTGGCGATAGAGCTATCTTCAAGACGAACGCCGCCGACCCGTTGCCGGATGCTCTCCGACACTCTGATTACAAACACTGCTCGCGAGGTGGTCTTGACTTTCCCAATCCATACGCTCCTTGATTGATTTGTCTCCTTTCACACTTCCTTTTCTATTTGGTTTATATTTCGTGGTATAAATGTTGCCGTACAATTTACAAATAATATTACAATTATATATTTCCATATCTTCGGTAACAGTATTCACTATCGTAGTTCGTAGTTTATAAATTTGTAGGTTGGCTCTGCGCTCACCAAGTAGTTTGATCCACGAGGATCCGCTTTAGGAAACTCAACGTTGGTCGAGAACAAAGCAAATATACTGATTAATCAAACTAGGACTGATCACACTGTTGGCATTCGATCGGTTAGTATGGGAGTACATGTGAGGACTATAAAGCATAGGGGCATTAATCACAATTGCAAATTAAGTTAATACTAAAAGGTCAGAATAGGCGTTTCCCGGTGATCCAAGAGATCTGTAAATGAGTTTTCGATAAGTATATGCTATAATTAAGGGATCTCAGAGTTGTTTACCCTTTGCAATGCTCCACCAGGGCAGTGTCACATAGGTGAGGAATGCATTGAGCGGCGTCGACTGCTGTCTTCTGTTCTCCTTCCAGAAATGAAAGGATTGCGTGAAGCCTCGACTGGTCCACAGGGGGTTGTAGGCGCCGTCGTCGAGTTCTAAAAGTAAAGAGGTCACACAAGGTCAGTAATGATTTATCGTAAGCATAAGAAGCCAAAAACATGCATTGTAAAACAAGTAATGTAATAGAAAGTCCCAGGGAACAACCTTTAAGTGCCTTCTTGGGCACGTCACACCAGTAGTAGATGGTGGTGCCATCGGGAGTTCGGCGCTTGGGCACCAAATGAAGCATCTTGCTGACATGGGCCTGCTTGGCTGTCCGCGGGAGCGTGGCACTCGTGGCCTCCTGATTACCATTGGCCACATCCAGCATGGGCGTTAGTTCCGTGGGCGAAATCACCTTGCTCGCATGTGTCTCCTCGTACTCGTTGTTCTCGTTTGGCTGCAGTGGATGGTTCTCCACTTCCACTGGCAGCCGGACGCACTTCTCAAAGAGTTTTTGAGATATTGGGGTCTTGGGGGACTCCACCACCGGCAGCTCCTCACGACCACGGACACTGATCATAAGCTTGCTTTCACTTTCACTCAAAATGGCCATCTTAGCGGCTCCGGCTCCTTCCGATTCACTGCCATTCAGGGAGGTAGCATCATCGGCGATTTCGTACTCCTCAGTTTTGGAGGCCTCTGGCTTTGTGTTGTTATTATCGACAGATTTGTTTTTGGTTGCAGCGCTCGAATTGCCCTTGTCCTTTTCCTTCTCCTTGTCGCTTTCCTTTTCCTTATCCTTGCCGTTTCTAAGTCGCTTTGGTGACATCTTGGCTAGAAAGTTTGACGCTGAGCCGTTGACCTTCTGATTCGAGGACTTCTTGTCGTTCTCCTTATTTTTGTCCTTATCCTTATCTTTGTCCTTCTCCTGATCCTTGGCCCTGGCCGTGCGCAGTCTTGGGGGTATGATCTTTTTGGTGGACACCGGAAGGCTGGTCCTGCGATCAGCGGCGCTCAAGGAGGCGCTCCTGGTGATGCTTCCGCCCTGCTGCTTGCGCTTGGTGTCCGATGGAAGCCTGAAACTGTTTCGTTTGCCCACCAGCAGCTCGCTCTCCACGCTCAGAATGCTGGTCTTGGGCTTGAGACGGGTGGGCCGCTTGTCGGGCATCTTGGCCAGACAGGCGGGCGACTCGTTGGACGGATCCTCGCAGCTGGGGCAGTACACCTCGGACATCTCCGGGGTGTCCGTGTTCTTGGCCGACGCCCAGCGCTTCTTGCACTTCTTGCCGCCGAAGCAGTTGCAGCCCGTGGATGCGCTTTGTCCTGCTCCGTTGCTATCGCCGGCGACTGTGACTTCCACCGCAGCACTCAACGGAGGCGGGGTCACAGCCGGAACAGCAGCTGCCGCTGGAGCGGCGGAGATGCTCTCGCTTAGAGATTCTGGGGGCAACGTTTCTTGGTCACCAGCCGCGAGTTTGTGGGTCTCACAGTTCGGATTTGGGTGCAGTTTTGCCGCGGAGGCCGAGAAAGCAGGACGTTGCTGATCTACAAGTAGATATAGATCGGTTTTCCCGTTTTAAAAGCATATACATCGACACACATGTATAACCGAGGATCGGCCCAAGCAACTTAATCGGTAATTGGCAACAGAAAGCAGTGAAAACAATAAACCAGAATAGGAAAACACAAAATTCTATGGGATCGATCGATGAAGGATAGGCAAATGGATGTCTAATGAATGAAGGAACAATCAAGCCACCACCACGCAAAACATAATCTCTAAAAGGATTCGGAAGGAGGAAGGATGGTATTTCGGGAAGTGATGAACGATTCTCCCCTTCGACCCACATCCAGTGTCAAAACAAAAGCAAAACGGAATACAATTTCTGATGTCCTTAGTGTATTATTTGTCCTGCTTTCTCGGCAATGTCTGGTGTTCTCTTTATATATATACTCTGGAGTCGTTCTTTAGGGGGCACATATAAAGTATATATATAAATTTGATAGTTGGAAGTTGTAAAGGAAAATCAATGGAACCACAACACATTACGAGAAGTAACTCAGAAGGAATATGAACGGAAATGAAAGGAGCAAGCGGAAAAAGCGGCATTAACTACGATAACAACTACAAGCAATGGTAAATTTACAATCTCATGCAACTAAAGGATGCTCAAATAAAGAGGAAACTAGGATAATTGAATGGTGATTTAAACTGACCATCGCGCAGATCACCCGCCTCGATTTCGGACACCTCGCTGGCCAGCGAGTCCAGTCCCTCGTTCTCCGAGCGCGCCTTGGCTCCCACGTTGGGACTCGTGCCGCTGCCGACCATGTCTTGGTTACTCGAGTTCTTGGTGCGCCAGCCGTAGCGCGAGAAGTTGTTCAGGTTGGCGCTGGGATCGCTGAGCCGTCGCTGATGTCGGTAAGTGCAGTAGTCGTCGTTCTCCTCTTCCCACTCGTCCCACATGTCGGTGGCGCAAAATCCCGGCTCACTGGTGGGCGTCTCCACTCCGGAACCCTTTGGCTTGGTCACCGCCATCTCGGCATGGCCCTTCCCCTGTGGTCCCTTCATCCGGACAAACTCACAGCGCGTTTGCACGCCGGCGCCACTACTAAAAAGGCCGAATGACATGCGCTGCGCCACCTTGGAGCTCAGACTGGATTGCTAAAAAAAACAGCAGGGATATGGTAAAATATTGGTAGTGTTATTTAGAATGTAGCCTACCCTGGCATCGTAGACCTTCTTCAGGGCATCGTAGCGTATGGATCCCAGGAAGATCACCCCCTGAACGGCTCCATCCTTGTCGTTGGCCACCAGCTCCACGCACACCATCTCCCCGTCGCGCACCAAAATATCGCTGAACACCTCGTCGAAGTTGTCGACCATGAAGCAGATGTGCGGATACGTGATCTCCTCGCCCTCGCCCTTGGTGTCCATCTTTCGTCGACTGGGACTGGCGTAGACCCTCTGCGAGTGCCGTCTCAGCACCTGGAGCTCCTTGGGCGAGGTTCTGGTACAAATGGCCAGTGTCAGTGTGTAATCGAACTGATGGATGACCATGTTGAGATAGACCGTTTCCTCCCAGTCCACATCGGGATCGCCGATGGGCAGTTTGCGCGAGTCCTTGCGGAATACCTCCACTTCAGTCTATCGGGAAGAAATTGTTATTTAGAGTAATTGGCAACAGCGGTGGCAGATCTATGTGTTTACCTCAAATTTTGGCATGTGGCGTGAGGAGCTCTTCACGTGCTTCTTGCGCACAAAGAAGAGCAAATCATCCGAGTCGATGCTGTGCACGGGCTCTGTCTGGAAGAGGAAGTGCCGCACGAACAGGTCCGTCCAGTAGGTGGTCCCTTGAAGGACCACAAAACCGCCATCTAGAAAATAAATAAAAATAAGCCGGTCACTAAAAATGTTTCTAAAATTCACAAACTTAAAATGGTGCTTAAGTAAAACCAAGTTTTTTACTTAGAATTTTTGAAGTATTTATCTACATACAAAAATCCTTACAATTTCCCTTATTTGTTAACGTTAAAAACAATAATCGCGTTATCCTTGTCAAAAATCGTTAGTAGGTTTCTAGGGCAGGTCCTCTTTCTTTCCTCTTTTAAAAGTAAACCCTCGAGGATTCGTGCAAACTGGGGGATGCTGAAGTTGCTCGACAGGTGGACAGCTGTTTGCGGTTTCCCCATCCTGCCATTTAGCCCGATAAAAGTAAAAGCCGCTTATGTAAAAGAAAACAAAGAGGTTGCCCAAAAGTGGGGCGGAAAAGGCACGCACACAGGCGCAAGCACACACACATCCTTGGGGGTTGTGACAAATCGATAAAGTGCAAATGTAGACAAATTTTTCCCCGCAATGAAAGGAGAAAATCGGTGCTCCAAATTAAAGGAAAACCCACCGTCCTTGAGCAACTGCCGCATCTCCTTAGTGCGCTGGAAGTTGATATCCTCCAGGAGCTGCTGCAGTGGCGTTTGCGATCCCTTCAAAAGGGCGGCGGCGGCACTGGCGAGAGCCATCCCAAATCCTGTAGGGGATTCCTACGCTTTCGGATGACGAATGTCGATGTAGAGTGGCAAGTGCTTTTTTATTTCACAACGTCCGAGACATCACGGCATTTGCACTTGGCGGCGGCGCTGCGGAGGCACGGCTAGTGGTGTCTATATTCCAGCATTTGTTGTTGCTCCGCGATTGGGTTTTTTTCTGCAGTCGGAAAATTATTGAGCGGAGATGAGGAGCAGCTTATCTCCACGGGAGCACATGCAAATCGCAACTGAGCAGCAACTTTCGAAACACCCTCGCTTTTTCCCTTTAGAGGGTTGTTTACTCCCTTGTCCGGGAAGTATCCCCATCTGTAATATCAGACATCAGCTGTTCGCACCTCTACCAATTGGTTCATTGCCTCTTTGTCTTAATTTTATATTTATTCGTCCAAAAAATTCACGGGTAACTCTTTTGTCTAGATGAGCTTCTATTGTTTAATAATAAAAAAGAAAAACAGAAATAACAACACAAATACATATACTAGTGTTGAAAAACAGGAAATTCTATGAAGTTACTAAACTTGCGGTTGTTCGATTAGTGCTTACCGGTTGGCCACCATCGGTTATCGAATTCAAAAAATTGAGAGTACAACGTATTTGATTTAATGCGTAGTTTTTTTATTTTCATAGTATTAAGTTGAGCTGCCAAGGGATTATATTTTACTGATTTACGTCATCATTAGACTCTTGGATATTTTTGATATCATCCTGCAGTTCTTTCAGCTCCCGAAGCATGGTTCGCGATAGTTGACCCTCTGGAGTGGCCAGCGGCTCAAAGAGAAGCATTCGCAGCGATTCCCGCATCATAACTTCGACTTGTCCCAGCTCCGCCTAAAATACGAGATTTTAAAAGATGTTATTTGGGGAGGATTATGACCCAACCCACCAGTAGATCATTGGCACTATGCTCCTGTTCGCTGAACAGCTTTCTGGCCAGCTCCGCCTGTGTGTTGGCCAATTCGTAAAGAGCGATGGCCTTTAATCTCGAAATTCCCGGGGCCACGACCTTCAAAACCAACAGTATCTCCTGGCACAAACGAATCTTCCTTTCGTACACCTTCCTATTTGGTCGGTGGGTTATGTTCTGCAGGATCTGTCGCAAAATGGAGGCTATGTTTTGCTTCAAGTCCAGCATAAGATAGTGATTGCGATGGAGCAACCGGCTTAACTTTGCCAGCAGAAGCTCCAGCCGGTAAATATCTTCCCTGGCATGAAATATTTCCTCCTTAGCCCGCTCCAACATGTTCGACACGAACTCCTGTTTCAGTGTGTGCTCCGGGTTAAGGAGGCATAGCCATATTCCCGTCTCCGGCTGTCGAATTATATAGCCGCCCGTACAGGAGCAATGACTGCAGATGAAGCTGCTCATGTGTGTGCCCAGCTCGGTGGGGTCCTGGCATCGCGGACAGGCACAGTCGAAGCACTTGCCCTCCTTAAGGACTTGACGACGCTCCTCGTTGCCCAGGAGCTGGTTGGTGTAGCAAGTGTAGAGGATCTCTCCGGCGGCAATAAACCTATTGGCGTAGACCTTTATCCGCCGCTCGTCATCGATGGCGGTCACCAAATTGGGCAAGCAGCTGTGCGCGAAGAGCCCCGCCCTGCGGTACAGTCCCCGCATTGAGCCTCCCGGTTCCGGAGCCCTTATCTCGAAGGCATTTATATCCAGTACACCCAGTAGCCCCTGCACAAGTTCCTCATCCGTCTCTCCGTGCAGTTGTTTCAGCACTCCAGACTTCTCCAGAGGAGCAAACGCATGCTCCTGGTAATTTTTCCAAATGTCTGTGCCTTTTCTAGCCGCTGTTTTGCTGTCCATTTGGATCAATTCCTCGTACACGGGTCGTGTTTCGCTGTGCTCCCTCAAAAGCAGACATTTTAGGGCCGGCTGAATTTCGGTATGCTCCTTTCTCTGAAGGAGATCCACCTGCTCCTCTGAAAGTTGCATCTCGGCAAGCCTCCGGCAGTTGCGTTCATCGTGTTCCGAGCAATCCCCGCACAGAGCCAAAAGTCGACACTTCCTAAAGAGTTTACATAAGAATGGGAGAGGAGACCACTGTTGACTTCACCTACTTGCAAAAACTCTGGGTCAGATTAAAGCACTTGGAGCAGCGACGATGGCCCATCAAAGGCAATACCACGATGGGCTGCTCCAGCAGGACGGTCTCGCCAGCTCGGAGGTTGCACAGGGCAACCACAAATCTTTAAATAAATTGATGAAGAATTAATCTGAAGGGCTTTTAGGAAAACCCACCTGCCCAGCGTATCATTTTGCCTCAACTCGCACTTCTTGGCAAAATCGTCGGTTACTGCGGCCATTCTCTATTCCCGTTCCCTTTGGCTACCTTTGGCATACTGACAACACGACCAGCGACAAGCTGGCAACTTATTTTTAATTGAACGACAATTCTTTATTTATTTCTTGGTCAATGATTCCCCCACCCAGCCAAACGTTGAACCATGTCGCCGGCACACAATGTAAAAGTGGCAGCAACAGAAGGGAACGCATCGCTTCCATTCGACTAATCTAATTTATTTTAAATTTAAAATCGACGCAGCAGTTCTGCGAGGCGCATTCAACAATCAACCAAAAGCCTGGGATGCTGGGATACTACCTGCCGTACTTCTTCAAGTCGGACTCGATGCGCTCCAGCTCCATGGAAATTCGGTCGGAAAGGTAGCCCTCAGCTGAGTTTTCCGGCTCGAAGCGGAGTAGGTCCATCGCTTCCTTGGCCACCAAACTGGCGGTTTTCAAATGGGCCTTAAATAGAAGGTGTAATTCAAAGTTGTTTTTTTTATGTAAAGGGGATAAATCTGAGTGGACTCACTCGATCGAAATTACTCACCACATATTCCTTTTTATCCAAATCACTTTCTGCAAACTGCAGTTCCACCAGCTCCACCAAGGCCACTAGGTACTCAAACAGGCCAATGGCATAGAGTTTGGAGATTCCCGGAACCACCGCTCGACAGACGGGCAGCAGATCGGAGCAGAGCTCAACCCGGCGAGCCAGGAGCTTTTTGCAAGGCTGCTCCATGGAGTTCATCAAGACGGCTGCTCTCAGAATGCTGGCGATGTTCTGCTTGATGTCCAGCAGCATGAAGTGATTGGGATGGAGCATGGGCCCGAACTGGGTTAGCAAAGCTTCGTAGACGTTCAGGTCACCCCTGGCCTCAACCAAAGCTGATCCCACCTCCGCCTGCAGTTCGTGGACCTCGGCAGCGGTGAGCAGGGCCTTGCAGTCCGGGCAACGCCAATCTCCCAGTCTCCCATTTTGATCTATCTCGCAAACAGAGAATCCGTCGCACTCCCTGCACCTCATGCTGCTCATGTGGGTGCCCATCTCAGTGGGGTCCCGACAGCGCGAGCAGGTGCACTCCAACCTCCGACTCAAACGGAGTTGATGTTGCCTCTGGCTGGTGCCCATCAGGGGATTCGTGTAGGAGTTGTAGATAATGTCACCCGGCTGCAGGGGAACAGCCGCATACAGCTTCATGTTGAACTGCTCGTCCAGGGCCACCACCGTGTTGGGCACGCAGTGGTGGGGCAAACTGGCTCCACAAACGAAAACTCCCTTGAGGGTGTCGCCATCTCGTGCGGTCACCTCAAAGGAATTGCTGTCGATGCGAATGCAGTGGGCATGTAAAACATCCGAGCTCAACTGCTGGGTGGGAAGAACACCCAGCAGGCCACTTTCCATCAGCGGACGCACCACCAGCTCCTCGTGCTCCTGCCACATTCCTTCCCCATCGCGATAGTCCTCCAGATTTAATGGTGTCTTCATCAGCATTTCGCAATCGACTTTTGTTTCGGGGTTCTCCAGCAAGAGGAGCAGCTTCAGCAGTCCACATATCCCAAAGTTCTTGACGAGAATGTCCTTGCAGATGGCTTTCCCTGCTCCGCTGATGAAGAACTCGCACTCAAAGTCGTCGTGCTGGCTGCAGTCCATGCAGAGCGGAAACACCTGACACCGCCGGCATATCACATAGGATTCCTGGAGGCACTGGGCGCACTTCAACTGGTGGCACTCCCAGTGGGGAGCCACCAACAGAGGCCGCTCCTCCAGCAGGGTGTCTCCCGGTTCGATACTCATGCCCGCCACCAGGTGCCTAAAGCAGAGGTAAAGTTAACTACTCCGTTTCAGAGGAGGAGCTCAGCTCAAATCACCTGCCCAACTTATCATTGTGAACCTGCTGAATATTTTCGCCGAAGTCTTGCATCGATTACGTGTTGGTTGCTTGGCGAGAAAACTATTCAGGTAGTGATTTTGGCTTCTGGTTCGTTTACTCACACAAAACGCACTGAGCAATTATAAATATACTCGGCGGTGCTGCTGGCAGATGAAGAATTTCCCTCATTTTCAGGAGCCCTGTCGCTGTGGTAAGTACTTTCGCTAATTGCGTGCGTAGCTCGAACGAGATGCTGCTTTATTTATAGACTCAGTCGTTTGGAGGAGGTGATGCCGAACTAACGTGTCTAATTCTCAATACATCTTTATTGTGGGGGAATCCATACATGAACCCTCTCTCGTATTCTTCTCAATAACTATATTGTTTATTGTTCTTTATAAATGTATCAAACATTGTGTATTAAGCTGATATTTTTTAAGTCGATAATATGCATATATATATGTATTTAATTAGTTTTACGAGGGGACATTGTTAGGCTTAATTCAAAGTGTTATCGGTTCTTGTGGAATACATAATATTTTAAGAAAACAAATGGATCTACATTAACAGTAGTAAAAGGCATGCTCTAAGAAAGGCTACTCGTAAAACGTAGACGCCGCCAATTCAATTGGTCAAATGCGTGGGGGAAAACAAGAACAAATATGTATTTTATACAAAAAAATTAAACAAGTTTCCTATTCCTCATCCTCAGTGCTGTTAACTCTCATGGCTTCCGCTGTCTGAACTTGGCCGCCGGGGCTCGGTGAAGCCGTGACCGTGGGAATCGGCGTCGGCGTTGGCGTCAGCGAACTGTTGGAAATGGCGTCAATGTCATCGTCACACTCTACGTCCTCGGCATGCATCAGCTTCGAAAGATCGAACTGAGTTTCCTGTTCAAGAGTAACTATTAGATTTCGAGGAAATAACCATGCAGTTTCAGTGGTTACCTTTACTTCATCAACTCGTTGTCGATCATGCAGCGCACTTAAAAGCTCGCGAAGGTGTTGATTCTCTTTTCGCAATCGCTCCCTTTCCATATCGCGTTCGTTAATTTTTGGCTGTTATAAGGGAAACCAAACTTAGAGGATTTCTTTGGATTTCAAAACAGAGTAAACCTACCAAAAGCATGGAAATCTGCTCATTCAGTACTGTCAAAATGCCGCTGAGTGCATGGCAAGGCACACTTGGCTCCAGCACGCTGGCGTGCTGGATGCGATTCGGCCCACAGGTGCTGCCCGATCCTCCAGTTGGCTTTTCCGCATCTTTTGGCGCTTCTATTGGTGATGTCTGAGTCGAGCTATCGACCTTGGGTACCGCGACTTGTTCGATCTGAAGGGAAAAAACGATTAACCGACATCTTTAAAAATCCTTAAACTAAATATATTTACGGCTATCTCGTTGTCCTCTTTTTTGTCCGCCACAGGCTTCTCCACATCATCTGCAGTTAACTCGCTGCCCTGACTTGGTCGTGCATCCCCAGATCCAGTTGTTGCTGAGGCCTCACTATCAGCGATTGTTGATTCAGTTGCTTTCTTAGTATGGTCCTCCTCCACTTTCTGCTTATCTGGGTTACATGATTCACTTGTAGTAGTAGGTAGCTTATCTGTCGCCTCAGATTCAACTTCCTTCTCTGCCAGGTTGTCCGCTGCTTCGGGTTGTTTATTCTCCACCGGAAGACCCTCAGCAAGACCAACAGCATCTATGCTTTGACGTTTCGCGGTCTCGATAATAACAGGCTGTGAAGACTTGTGCTCCGTTTTGAATGGCGCCAGAGGAGTGGTGGGTCTGTCATGTGGCTTCGGCGGAATCGCTGGCAAGCGCAGCTCATCGATCTCACAGTATCCGTCATCGTCTTCGTGTATGGCAACTTCGTCAAGATCAAGGGTTTGTAGTTTGGGCATCACCCGCGACGGCGGGATCTGCGCCTGCGCCTGGGCGAGCTGTCTATTTGGTGGCGGCAGTGGAGGCGGCGATGAGGAAAACGACGAGGACGGCGCCACCTTCTTGCGCAGCTTCTCCTTCTCGTGACAGTGGCCGCAGACCACGGTGGACACCGCTGAGACCTCCTGTTCGGGCGTCACGTGCATGTACTCGTTCAGCATCTTGGTCAGGGTTTGAATCTGATCGTAGGCAGCTAGGGCAATGTCTGCACTGTCTTTCGGCGCCTCTGGCATCATTGCAATGTCGACTATCTGGTCGTAGTGCTCCACGGGCAAACGGAAGATATCACAAATGATTTTCTGCTTCTCCAGCAAGTCACTTCTTATGGACGCGTCCAAGCGGCGAAGCTTCTCGCCGGGCGTCAACACAGGTTCCGCGGTGTGCGCCGGACTAATGCTGACCTGAATGGCCGTTGGGTCCACCAATGGGCTCTGCATCAGCAGGGTGCGCGTGTTGTTCGAATTGTTCGAGCAAACAATACTGGCGCTGTCGCGCTTGGAGTGACCTCCCACCATTCCGTAGGTGGAGTTTCTCTCCTCTCCCGTCGATCCTGGCCTGGCCGATTCCCTAGCCGACTGAGAGTGGCGCAGAGTGACGTCGCTGGGCTCGGCTCCACCCGCGGAATACTTATGGCTTGGCTCCCCAGTGCTTCTTATGGACATGGAACGATTGACATCGTTCTGGGTCGAACGCTGCTTAGGTGAGTTCACATAATCCCCATCAGATTCATTGGCTGCCGTCTCCCTCTGAGGATTGCGCAGCTGCACTCCGGTAAGGGAGCTGGTGTTGCTGTTGTTGGTCGCCGGAGCCGGAGTGACCGTGGCTATCGGTAGCATCGGCGCCAAGGGCGTGGTGGTCACAGTGGCTGTCGCCGCCATTGGCTGAGCACAATCGGTGGTCAGCTCCAACGACTCCTTGGTGTTGGAATGCGGAATAGCGGTGAGAGCGGGGTCACTAATGCTCGTGTCATGGCTGTTCGACGCGTTCTTCGAACGGTTCTTTGACTGGCGGGCAGCAGCATCCGAGATGTGCTTAAACCATCTGGAAGAGAACATTTAAAATCATTAATTGCTTGATTGGCGGGATGCTTTGCTCACTTACGTCTTGCATTCAGAGCTGCTAGGCGCACGCAGCTCCAACATTTGTGTTGTCTTTGTCTTGATGAGGAAGAAGGAATTTTTGTCGGCCGCTTCCTGGCGCACCAAGGTCTCTGCATCGATGCTCATAATAGGACTGACCGGCCTATTGTTCAGATGCAGTGTGTAGAGGTTCTTTAAATAGTATTTATCGTCCTACTCAAAGAGAAATGCAAAGTATTAAAACATTGTCTTTTCGTGTCGTCCTTTACTGTGTAAACTTGCCTGCTTGGTCAGCAAAACAATCATGTTTTCAAAGAGCAGGCCGTGCAGCTGAACGCTAGGATTCTTCTTGATCGTCAGGTTGCCGTCATGGATGAGGTGATGCTGAGTCAGGTCCAATTTCTTAAACTCCTCCTTGTCATAGGAGGATCTGTCTAACTTACGCTGAATGTTTTGTAATCTTTACGAACAAATGAAAGTCAGTAAACATGATAGTATAAAGCTTATAAGCACATATACATACTTGTGTGCATCCTCGGCAGTTTTCACTGCCTGGTTGACCTCCACGAGAATCCTTTTCGAGGACTCTACGGCTCGTTGGATGGCCTCCGCTTCGTTAGTGTTTTCCGGCAGCAAGCGCACCGTTACCTTGTACAGGTTTTCAAACAGCAAAGGATACTTCGTGAGGCGCTGCAGCACAGTGGGCAGCAAGTCCTTTAATTCCAGGCGGCGACATGCTTTGTGCGACTCCGACTTCTTCAGCAGCTTTTGCAGCGCCTCATCTTTGTTGCGCTTCTCCTTCAAGGCCTCCAAGGCAATTTGCTGGCGGGCACAGAACTGAGCCGCATACTCGCAGAGAACCACTCCGGACTGACCGTCAAACATTTCGGAAAGCAGATCCCCTATGGTGTTCACCACGTGATTGTGCTCGATGCGTCGCTGCTTCAGGCTCTGCTCGAAGTTGCCGTGAATCTCACGGAGCGAAAGCAATGCGGGTGGAAACAGCAGAAGCAAATGATCCTGCGACAGCAAGCCGCTCTCATAGAGTGGCAGGAAGAACAGACGGTCCAGCAGCTTAAGGGTGCGCACGTGGTTGCGTTCAGTTTGATATATCTCTGTTAAAAAAATTGATTAGCATAACAATGATCATATAAAAAGGGGCTTACACTTACCGTTAATAATCTCCTGACGCTTTTTTTCGGCATCCGTTAAAGCTGCCAGCATCTCGGCTGCCACCATGGAGCTCCAGTCTGCCTCGTTGACGTCGTCCTCGTCGTCGCTCTCCAGATTCCACTGCCTGGCCAACGGGTGGCCGGCATTCCAGAAACTCGAGTTGCTGGCTGCACTGCTTCCACCGGCCCCTGCCATTCCGGCCTGAAAGGAATCCTGCTGGCAATACTGCTGGGCATGCTGCTGGATCAGCAGGTGCGGATGCTGACTCTGGTTGAAACCACCCGCCGGTGCCTGGGGGCCACCCGCTGCTCCAGCCCCAGCAAAATGCTCCATCGAAGTGCTGGGACTCTCGCTGCCGCCAGCTGAAGAGAGACTAGAATTGGAACTGGCCACATAGTTGGCATTCGAAAGACCCAGGTCCAGTTGCTCATCGCTGCGTTTAAAGATAAGAATGGTAAACATTAATGTTAGTGTTTGTTCACGTATTAAGTTCTTTAGATCTTCAAAGATATTACAAAATAACATTTTATACTGTTCGATCACACATTTAGGGTACAATTTAAGTAAAATGAAAAAAAAGTATCATATATTTTTGGCTTTGTAATAAGCGACATTCGCTTAAGCATTTCCTAGTTGCAAATCAAAATTGATTGAGCGTGCTTTAATTACTTAAAACTGTTGAAATTAAGAGTCGTCTTAAAGCTTTTACTCCGATTAAAGCGAATATTTCTTTCCATTATCTTCGCGCTTGGTTTTGTAAGTCAGTTAAATTTAAGGTAGTTCCTCTGCCGAACCGATGAGTCAATTCCAACGCAAGAAATGCCACTAAACGGGCAGCCAAACTAGCAGGTAGGAAAATATGTCGAAACCAGTTGCTCAAACAGTTTGTCAACAGGAAGCAGAAAAACGGCAGCAGATGGGAGCCAGGACGCGACCTGGCATTGACTAACATGACCGGGAGTGGACTGGACGGGACTGGCGTGGCGTGGCCTACATTGTGGTGCAGAAAGCGGGGCTGACAGTATAATCGATGTCAATGCCGGCGTCTAATCAACTATCCTATCCGCGGCGACTGCTAAACACATACGTATGCGGTAATGGTCACCGTAAACATTAGAAGGGTGAAGTGGTGGGCAGTAATGACTAGTCGAAGGCTGGATACCCTGGTCGTGTGCCCTGCGGGGGCGACGACTCCATTAAAAGGTATTAATGCAATGTCAGCTAATCATATCCCTGCCAACTTAAATATGGCTTAATTAAAAACTGAAACTAAAGCGAATCTTTTAGAATAAACACGCAATGGAAAGTTTGTGGAAAGTTTGCGCCGCAATGTTGTGGCGAACGGAAGGCAGACAACATATATTGATTGCATTGCGACGCATTTCACATTAATTAGTAAAATTAATATCCGATTACTTGGCCGCAGCACAAAAGAGTAGGACAATGCTTTAGTTGAGAGGATTTAGGGAGTGGCCCAGACAACGGCCATGGAATGGAAGAATTTATTCGGTAAGCTGAGACGGCGAAGGAGGACAAGAAACAAAGGCAATAGGTCAGGACTACTCATGCCTTCAATCGATTTCGTGAACTTACTTGGGACGCGACGACAAACTTGGATCGGAGGTCTTGCGGCGACTGTTGCGGTTCCTCTTGTTGGACAAGCGCTCCTTGTAGGATTCCGAGCGGTTTACGGACACCGGAGCGCTCTTATGCTTCGGATGCTGACTGTAACTGTAAAGGATTAGCGAGAAATTCTTAAGGCTGCCACTTTTAAAATCTTCCTCCGCATACCGTTCCCTTCGCGCATCCTTATCCACGGCATCCAGCGCGTTCAGCTCGGCAAACACACTCAGACCGGCGGATACGGATCCACTGCTTGACGGAGCCGTGGACGCCACACTGGTGGACAGATCCATGTTGCATCCGGCGCCACCACCTTGGTTAATACTGTCGTTGGCGCAACTGCCGTGAAACGAGCTCTGCAGCTCGGTGGTGTTCAGTGCCGAAGTGTTGCAGGATGTGTTCCCATTCGAGCGTATCGATACGTTCGCATCCGGGCGACGATCCGAGGGTTGACGCACAATCGACGGCTGACCACGGTCTAAAAAACACCAAAGCATATAAAGTATTGGTATTTAATTAATTTTTTAAGCAACCCACCTGGAGTCAACTCCACATCCAAATCCTCATCTTGCCGACTGCGCTTTTCATCTATAATGAAAAATAGTATTAGTCTCTGTTATTTTGCATTTTAGAACATTCCACTTACTTCCAATGACGTCGCTGTTGCGCGGTCGAATTTTGCCCATGAATTTACTGATTTTGTCGTTATGGGCTAGACGTTTTGCCTGGGGCAGGGGTCCGGGACAACTCTCGTCAACTACTTTCGAGCATTGACGGTGTATGTTCAATTTACAGTCTGAAACAGGAACACCGTTTGCATTATATGGAATATTCTCAATTGGGAAGCTAATTTGGGGGGACGCTCACCTGTACAATGATAACCTTGCGGACTCACACCCCAGATAATCGTCTGACAATGATTGCAGTGCGTCACTTCATAGTATTGACGCAATACCAATGGATGACCACGAACATTCATCTGCAGGGTGATTGAATTGCATTTTGAGTAACTTATAGAAAATGGGCTGCGCTCTAAACTCACCTTGCGATTTTTGCCCATTATACGTGACTTGAAGCTCTTGTCTCTGCTCACAAAGTGGTGGACTCGCTCGACAATGCTGCTTGGCGGCGGACGAGTATTAAAGATCCGGTAGATGACCGTGGAGAGAGCCGAGCACAGGGCCACTTTGCGCACATCCTCCGGCGGGGAACCGTTCTCATCCTCACTGTACATAAAACAGGTAAAAACCGATGAATTTAAGTGAAAAAGGAGTAACGTAACAAACTTACATCAGCGTGTGCAGATTGGGCATCAAATATTTATCGATGATTTGCTCCTTCAACTTATCCGTCTTCGCCTCAGCCAGGTGGGCATCGGTGGGTCCGTATATGGTGCCCAGACCGGCGGTGCGCTTCTGTTGGAACTCACGCAGCTGCTCGCTTATCAGGTCCTTGGCACGCTTGCGGCTGCGTAGGAAGACGGTGCGTAGGATCTCCACCTTGTCGTACTCCAACTGCAAAACATTGTCCACCTCTCGGGCGAGCGATTCGTCCTGGCGATACCATGACAGCGGAGCGCGCGGCACGAGGAACGTGGAGTGGATCTCGTAGGCCCACTTGCGCATGTCCTTCGAGGTGCCCTCTTTGTACAGCTCGGTGATCAGGTAGAAGAGAAGTGGCGCAGGATCGGAGTTCGAGATCACGTAGTTCAGGAAGATGGCTAGGAAAGTGACGTTCTCAGCCTCCAACAAGCGAGTCAGATTGTTGAACGGCCCGTTCTCGTCGATGAAGGGCTCCTCAATATCCGAGGAGTTCTCGTCCTCCATTGAAATGATCTCCTTTTGCGTGTCATTCGACTGGGCGGCCTGTATTGGGCCGGAATGTAGAGACGTCGGGATCGGAGAGGAGGCCCCTGCCATCGGCGTAAACTGATGCGACTCGATAAAGACACCTGGCCCAGTTGCTCCTGCTCCGCGACAATTTTCGTTGGGATCTTCGAGGACGGTCATGTGGGAGGTGGACAAATATGGCGGCGGCGGAGTCCCGGGTGGGGAGGATTCACCATCCTTCTCAACAATCTCCCAAGAACCCGAAGTGGTTTTCGTTAAACGATCTATGAACAATAAATAGTTTATTCAACGTGTCTGAAACCACAAATTGTATTTTCCTTACCCGGATGTCTTGGATGCATGTTATCCGGTGAAGATCCCACTCGACGATGCTTGTTCTTGACAGAATTCGGTGTCAGTCCCAGAGCCTGTGGATTTCACTCGGTTAATAATTGAATTCTTTTGTGTATTTCAATAGATTTTAAGCTAACCCAAGTTGGATAAAAATAAGGTAAACAATTTGACCTGCAAATAGCTCACAAAAACTACATCCCCGATGCAAATAATATATGCCCACAAATAATAATCATTTCCTGCGTGTTATTCATGTTCAGTGTGTAATTAAAGGTGTTTTCGGTTGCTGTTAGTTGAGCTAGCAGAAAGCTAATTAAAACTAATATTATTAACATTGGCAACTTATGATAGCGTCGATTTTAAAATTAGAAGCATGGAACAGAGAAATGTTAGAGAATGGAAAGGGTGTGAGAATAGGAGAACAAGAGGATTAAGTATTGGGCTGTGTTTTTGGCAGAGAGTTAGGTCGAGTGATTCGTTAGCTACTTACGCCTGTGGCCTGGCCACCACCGCTCAACTGCTGCTGATAGTGCTGCAGCTGCTGCACAATGTTGGGTCGCTGGGACAGAGGGAAGGCAATGTTCGGGATGTCGTTCTGCACCGCCGTGGTGGTGGAGACCAGGGGATAGTTAAAGCTGGCGCCCACGGAATTGGGCTGAGCGAGATTCTGGCAGCTGCCGCGGCTCATGTCCTCAGTCATCATGCCAGGCAATCGGGGCGGCAACGGCGGCGGGCCTCCATCCACTTCGATGGATCCTCCGGCTTGTCCCGCGGCGCAGGCCGATTCCATTTGCAGGAACATTTGGGTGGACATCTTGGGGTCGGACAATGCCTTCGTTTTGATCTTGGAACGCTTGGACTTGGCGTTGCTCGGACTGTTGTCTGTGCTGCTGGGCAGTGGCTGCTGTTGCGACCTGTTTAACTGGGGACTTGTGGCACGATCCAGATCGGAGACAGGAGCCACCAGATGCGAGCCTCCCGGTGATGCATTTCCGTTCTTTAGGTCCAGGTTCAACTGTCGTGGGGGATTCCTCTGCGGCAGCGGTGGCGGCACATCCTCCTCGATCAAACTCCGCGATATCAAGAACTTGTTCTTGCCCTTCGAAGGTCCGGAGTCCTTGAACCGATGCTGCTGCTGCTGGTGCGCATGGAAGTACGGGTGCTGCGAGGTTGGAGTGCTGGTGTGCTGATGCATCGACTGCGACATGGCCTCCGCCTGGTGGCTCATCCGCTGCTGCTGCAGGAAGTCCGCGGTCAAGCCGAACGGAGATGGAGTCGTTAGGTCCTTTTCGATCTTGTTTTTGCGCGTGCCCAGCGACAAGGACGACAGGGAACGCGGCAGGAGGGAGAGGAATGCGGGTGAGGTGCTTGCTGGCTGTTGCTGTGGCGGATAATTGTTGTTGTGGAGATTGTGGTGGTGGTGAAGATGATGGAATTGCTGATTGCTGTGAGTGGCGGACGCGGACAAGTGTTGGATTTGGTTGGGCGTTAGTAATGCTGTGTTCTTATTGCCAGCGGCCGCCTGAAGTTTGACAGTCGGTGCATCCTGTGTTAGGGTTTCGTCATGGGTGTGCGTTAGAATGCCGCGAGATGGAAGAGAAAGATAGAGATCAGATCATGTAGCATCATTCGGTTTCAACTGGCTCTCCGTTTTATTTAGCGCACAGCTCACAATTGTTACGAACAGCGAAAGAGCGTTGTTAGGTTTTTGTATTAGCTGGGTTAACAGAGCTGCCTGGCGTCTGCTTGCGGCATTAAATTTTAGGGTGTGGAAGGGACGGGACTCCTGGGCTTAAGGAACTTTCGCTGACCTAGCTTATCGATACGGACGGGTAAGTCTTACATTGGAACCCCCCAACTCACCTCGGCTCCCACTTGATGGAGTTGCTCGCGCAGCTTACGGATGTTCGCCTCCGACAGCTTGTAGCTCGGGTTGTTCTGATCGCTCTTCAAACGCTCCAGATTCAGTTTCTCCTGTTCCAGCATTTTCTGCAACGTCTGGATCTTGTACGTCTCCATCTCCCGCCGTTTGATACTCTGCAATTCGAAATGATTAAATAAAAAAGATCTTAAGTTTAAACATTAAAGTACTTACATCCACTGGTTGCGGACCAGTAATGGAAGCAGTGCGATCTCGTCCAGAAAGAATTGGTGTCGAGGGCGTTACCACGGTCACCGAAGTCGGTCGCGTCTGCTTCTGACTTCGCTTCACGGCCAACTCCACTGTGGTAGAGGCTAAAGCATTAAGGAAAGAAATAAAGCCTTGATTAGCTTGTCTAAAAATATTAAAACTTTTTCTGAACATTTTACCAAAGCAAATTAAAACTATAAAACAAAAATTTATTATGGTCGTGCAGAGATTCATTAAGTTTGTGCTCTTTGCCGGCACGTTTTACTTGGCCAAGGAACTGGGAGTCTGGGAGGATCCAGTTGAACCGGATGTGAACATGGAGAAGGAAGGATCTGTTGAGACGGAGAGTTCGACCGAGCAACCGGCAGAAAGAAAGAGCCCAGACTTTAAAAAGGCGTTCTTCGATGAGGAGGACAAGCGAAAACTCCAACGCAAAAAGGAGGAACTGGAGAAAAAGCTCTGTCCCAAAGGGAGCATCTGCGAGCCGCCACCAAAGTCTCTAAGCGAATCCATCGGAGAAGCGCTCTACGACACTTGGCTGGCTTTGAAGAAGATTCCACCATACTGGATGGAAGCCGCAGAAAATGTGGCCGAAAGCATTTGTCGTTTAATCAAAGGGGATAAATAACAAAGTGTAGTGGATCTAAGCTTAAAGTCCAAAACAAAAATCAAACTCAGTAAACGTATGACTTTCGAAATAATCAAAATTCTGTTAAAAATCAACAAAAATATAAATCCTAAACATTTTTTTACTTAAATTTTTCAGTCGGAAAGAACTAACTAAATTAGTACCAAAAAGTTAAACATGTTTTCCAAAGAGATTGCTAGATTGGGTTTCCTTGCCGGAATTGCAATGTATGTAAGGCAAATGGGAGGTGGAAACATATCGGAGGATAAGGTTGTCTTTGCAGCCTCCGAAAATCTCTCACGCAAAACTTTTTCCCTTTTGGAAGGAAGCGAGTTCAAATTTGCGGCTGCGCACAATTGCAGTTTGGCCCTCCGGAGGGGGTTTTACTTTTCCCTTCGAATGCCCGACTGGGCCAAGGACTTTAAGCAGCAGACCCAGAAGATCCTGGCTCTTAATTTCGAGCTACCAAAAGTAAATTTGAGAAGCAGCAAAGATAAAAAGCTCGCGAGTTACTACGGAGATAATCGTGAGGAGCGTTACGGATCAATCTTTTCAGAGAGTTCTGGTGGCCGTTTCTTTGAACACATCCCAAAAGAAGTCTCCGAACCGTCAAAATACAGGCGATCACCCAAGATCAAGGACGATTTGACTTGCGGCAAACGAGTTACACCCTAGACGCTCAGACATGGAGTGTCATATTTTGAAATCAGTTTAAAAACATCAAGAAGGGGGAACGGAGAACGGGTTTTCGGCGCTACTAAAAATGGTTGTGGGTCTGATTGTGAAGGCGGGCGTGGTGTACGCTGTGGTCATGGCCACCATAAATAATGGCGTATGGGAGTCTCCGGAGAAGACGCAGGATGTGTACGACGACACCGTGGAATTCATTGAACCCTATGCCGAACGAGCGCGTCGCAAGCTGAACATCTGCCCTCCGAGGCCTCCGCCGGAGGGCGAGTTGCCCTTCTTCGGCATTTACTACTATAATAAGTTTGTTAAATCGGTGTTCGACGTTCTGAGCGTTTTCCCCGCCGGTCTTTCTGCATTTTTGGCAAAAGCACCAGGCGTCGTGACCGCCTTTATCGATAGCATTCAAAAGTATATCAAAGAAAGCAAGTCCAAGAAGAAGGAGATCACCATATCCAAAGGACAGCTGGATGAGACGCCTCTTGTGAGACCACACGGACTTGTGCCACCTCACTGCAAGGACAAGAACTGCCCGAAGGCTCCACTGGTTCCACCTGGTTGTAATCGAAACAGGGATAGCTTCATCTACGAGCCGCGAATGCCCAAGAAAGCTCCTTGCGAGTGCTCAAAGTGCAAGCAACGCCAGGCGGAGAATTGGAAGGACAATAAGCGCAAATGCTCCAGTCTTGCAAGCAGCGAAAGGAAGTGTGCCTGCGGCGAAGATCCCCGTCCGGAACCGCGCTCAGAATCCATTAAATCTTGTAAACAGTGCCGAAAACCCCCCTCAAACTCCGCTCCCTAGGGATCCCTTCACCAAATCTGTCCAACACCTTAGCCAAATTTGTTGTAACGTAACCTAGACAATAAACATTTGGTTAACTCGGTTTGGCAGAGAACGTCGTCCTACCTTTTATAAGGCCAACTACCGTTGGATGCTTCTCCTGGCGCACTTCATAGCCATTTACCTAAAATAGAGAATATTTAATATGTTAAAAAGCTTTGTAGAACCATAAAGCTGGTCCACTTACTCTTAGTATCATATCGCCAGCAACCAGGCCGGCAACCTCGGCGGCTCCGCCAGGCTTAACGCTTTCCACAAACACAGGATTATCACCGGAAACCTGCCGTCAAAAAGTTTTGCAGTATTAGTGCTTATTCAGTGTTATTTTACAACCAGCAAGTTTCTTAAATTTTTTTTTAATGGAGGTTTTCAAGTTCATTATCAAGAAAATTGTATAGATCAATCATTAGATCATATAAAAGTCAACAATAAAGAGATAAGTCGGTTAAAAGTTCCTAAAAGTCTAAAGTATACAATTGAGCTTTAAAACCCTTTTTATCGCTAATCAATTACAAAGTGTCTGCTGTTAAAGTCACTTTGGAATTTAATTAGTAACCCTTCGTGATACTTAGGGACTTGGACGTAATTTGTACATTGAAAAGAGCCAAAAGGGGTACTTTTCTTCGTTCATGACCACTGCTCACCTTCATTCCGTATCCGTTGCCATCCTTGCGCACAGTCAGGGTTAAATACTGAAAACTTTTTGGTAATGCTTGGCTCGGCGTCGTCGGCGTGGTCGCTGGCGTCGTGGGCTCCTGGGAATGCCCACCACCCAGGTCCCGGGCAAGTGGTGTCAGATTGAGACTGCTGCGCTCCCCCGGCGCCTGCAGAACGGGGTTGCCGTTGTCCGATTGATTCAATTGCACGCCCCCGCCCATTATGCTGCCGTTGTTGTTGTTGTTGCTGTTGCTGGCATTGTTATTATTTGCGGATGTGGGCGTGGCTGGAGCAGACAGAACACCACCACCGCCAGCTGCAGTTGTGGTGTCACCATTCATCTGGCTCTGCTTGTAGCTCGCTGGCAACGGCGGGGTCTGCGGTGGCACGGACTGGTGGTTCTCCCGATCCCGATCCTTGTCCCGGTCTTTGTCCCGATCCCGGTGACCACTGAGGCTGCTGGCCAGACTGCTCAGACTGCTCGCTAGCGAAGGGGATCGCGGTATCTTCGACTTGTTGGACAATTGCTTCTGTTTTTGCTTGCTCTTTGAGTTCTTCACTGATTTCTGCTTGGGCGCTGGCAGCTCGGGAACCGAATCCACAACAATTGCTGGTGACTGGGGCGCAACCGCGGATGTGCCTGCTCCAGTTGCAGTTCCAGGACCTGAGTGTCTGGCACCGTTCGTGTTCGGATTGCTCGCTGATGACTCCGGGGGCTGAATGCTTGACTCTTCTGGCAGCTCCTGAACTTCATCGTATTCATGTTCGTCAGTATACAAATCTATTAACCTAGGTTGTAAATAAAGATATGGAAGTTAATAAGTAACTTGTATTTTGTATAAATACATTTTTTTAATTTGCACTTCAATATGGTTGCTCCCAAAACATCCCTCTTGTGCAGTATTTGTGGACTCGGAATGGAACCAAACGATTGTCAACCCAATCATCTATGAAACGTAATCAATGCTAAATAATTTCATGACGGAACTGCTTCTGCTGTCTGCCAGCGATTCACATACTGCGGTGTGCTGTTTTTACCAGCAGATAGCTAGATTAGTGGCTAATCAAGACCTCGCCGTGAATGCGACAAACATGTAACGAAAGTCACGGCCAAAGCCAAAGCCAAGCGATCTGTCGCTGCTTATGGGTCTCTTTTAATTGAGCTAAAATTAAATCAGCCAGAAGAATAGATACAGTTTAATTGCTGTTTATTTGGTCATTTTGCATGTGAATGGAATGGATATACGAGTATGTAGTATGTATAGTACGTACGGAACCTTCTATATACCGGACTATAATAAAAGCTTATTTCCCGCCTGGTGAATTCATTATTATGATGAGTTATTTCCATAACAGCCGGACAAGACCTCCAAAAAGCAAATGTTTACATTAACTTTTTGACTGATTGGCCCATGTCAATAACATGTCTCTCTGTTTGATCTAGGAGAATTCTCTCGCTGTCTAAAATTAGCTGCTAAATTTTGAGGAAATCTTGCTGCAGCCCGATGACGGCGGCTGAAAAAAACCAGTTAAAGCCCCCAAATTATACGTACGACAAGAGCAAATAAGCAACACTTATTCAAGCTGTTAATAGATTTAAATCATTTTGCATGCTTATTATACAATCCATAGTTAAAACACCACCACAATATGCACACACAAACGAGCTTAGAAAGTCATTGGTTTCGCCAACTATTTGGGCTAAAACTTCCCCTGGTGGCAATAAAAGAAATAAATGGTAAAATGTGAAAACTGGCCGCTCCCTAAGTTGGTGCGAGTATATATGTATTAAGTCATCCATTTGGTAGTCGAAACCACACAAAAACAACCCCAAGCTTGGGGGAACTATTGGTATAAACAATCAGCAAACAAACAGTGCGTTTCAGAACTGTGGGACAACGAAAAAGTTTCACCTCGCCAATTGGCACTTTTCAACAAACGTAAGGTGACTAATCGTGGGTCAAATGAATTAGTAATTTATTACAAAACTTGATCGGTGATCTAATGCAAGCTTATGTTATACCATGAATGTATCCGAGCTTTTGACTAAAACTTGCCTCTACAAATAATTTTCTAATTTGAAACATGCCATAGAGAGGGAGTTAGCATTTTGGAGAAAATATTAATGCATTAAGAACAATCAAGATTACCTTAAAACGATATCCGTCAACTTGGTATATACAACAAGTCGATCTGGCGATCGATCAATGAAGTTACTAAAAGTGTTGTAAATCTATATACAATGCTATTATCAGGGCTTTGTTATTTTTCATGGCGATAAGACAAGCTAAATTTTAGACGAATCAGCAGGCGCATACCCTATTTTATTTTGATCTTACAAAACTTGATGGATTTAAATAAATTGCCTTTTTTTATGTAGCTTTATATTTATCAAAGATAATATCCAGTGCTGCTTTTTGAATTCCACATTTGTTAGAATGCTTACACATAACTCCATAATATTATTTAAATTGTTTATCCGTCAGAACCAGTCGACACTGCCTTCAAATTTGCAATATAAATGCAACTTCATTGTGTGTTTATATGTAAAATCGACTGTGACATACGAATAAGAGAGAAAATAACAACTATTACGTTTCTCGAGGACAATATAACAGGAAAAATAAAGACTTATCGTAATTCGAGCAATTAAGGCAGTGAGTAATATGGCTAACCGAGAGAAATCATAGGCCATGTTTGCTTTATGGAAACGTTAAACTCAATCTTACCGTTTTTTGATTGATGGGTCATCCATAGGGTTTTCTGCGATGGCTTTTGATGGCTGCTTTTGGGGTGCAAAACTGCAAATTTAAAGGCATGCGTAAGCCACTTAAAATCGAAGGATTCCTGGGGGAATTTTTCGCATTGGGTTTTGGACCAATCACCAACGGTAGCGGAATGTTTTCGCAGCTATTTTTAAATTAGCTGTTTAAACGGAACCAAAATTATGCCAGAAGTGATTTAATTGCGTTGATTTTCTGTAGCTTTAGTTCTGTTTTTTTGCGTTTTGTTGCACTTTTTGAATGGGTTTTAAATATGTATGTTATTTGCACTGATACTTTTCACTTAAACCTGTGCGCACAAAAATTCGTTTTGAAAACATTATATGGCCATAATGCATGTACATTAAAATATTTGTGTGTTTTTGGGTGGGTGGGTGATTTAGTGGGCGCAAAGGGTTGTGGGGAGTAGGAGGGGACTAAAATGCAAGCAGCGATCTCCTTGCAATTTCATTGTTTTTATTTCAACACAGATAAAGAAACGGCACCCACACACTCGCGCGCCAGCCATACATATTCCAATCACTCTCTCACCGCGCTCTCTTTATCTCACACTTCCGTTAACGTCTGCGCTTTGGCTCTCTCTCTCTCTCTCTAGAAGCAGTTGTTGCTGCTTTTGTTGTTGTGCTTTTTGCTGACTAGTTTTCACGAAACATTTTAATGGATGACGACTTTGGGGTTGGGGAAAAACAAGTTTTGGCCGAAAATTGAAATACTAATGAAATAATAATGGTAGCAAAGACAAGCGTATGAAAATTTCAATTCCAGCGATCCTTTCCAGGTCCGTCTATTTTCCATTGCAACAGCTGATTGTTCAATTGTTCAATTAGCGTGACAAAACGAAAAAAAAAAAACTAAAAATTTCTCCCTCTCTTGATTTGCACTGATCTCACAGAGTTTGTTTACCCAAATAAATCAAATCTTGCAGTTTCACTCCTTTTTAATTAAACGCAAATATTTAATTGAATAAATATGTATACACACAAACTGGACGACTATCTGTGTGTGGGGGTGCGAGTGCGATCATCACCGCAAACGCAAGGCAAAACAATATGGCTGCCGCCGCCACTTGTTAGAGAAAACAACCGATCACAGAGTCTCGAAAAGCGTCCAGTTGTTTATCATGTACTCATTAATTCGATCGCCGCCCGCTCCACCAAGCCGCACATCCCTAAAACCGAATTAAAGTCATGTACACTGCAGTTCAAGAGTTCAGCACTCGACGCACACACACATGCGCGCATTTCACTCACACACCGACGGGCGAGTGTAGAAAATAAATACATATGCCGTCAGACACAACACATACGCCCGCCCCTATAAGCGCGCTGCGTCTGTCTGCGTGCGATAGGTTAGAGATCATTTTTAGACAAATTTGCGTACAATATTTTCTGGCAAATTGCAAGCTCGCGAATAATAAACTTTGGATGTCGTTTGACGAATAGGCACAAATGCACTTAAACTTCAACGCCCGTTTGTGTGGGTGCACGGACTGTCTCTTTTTTCCGTCTTTTATTGCTTTTGTTGCAGTGAGCTCACGCGTAGCGAGCTGCGCATCATTCTTTCTCCGCACCGTCACTTTCGCCACGCACTTACTTTAGACGGGTAAACGCACTCGTATTGCCACTAAATGCATTTCACAAAAGCTGCAAAAATTGTTTTTATTTTTCCACTTATCGCGCCATCAACACGCACACGACGTTCTTTTCTTTTCAGCTTGAAAATTGTAAATGACGGAAAAGAGCGCAGAGAATCGGGCATATTTAGCAGTGTTGAAAAGGGCGGTGGTGCTTTGTACAAAGATGAGTACCTAACTCGTTTTCAAATGTATAGTTTACTCAGTACCCTAATCAAGGTACTAAATACAAAGAACTTTTTTTTGGCAACATTTGCTGGGCTTTAAAAATTCTACTTCAAAAACATTCTAACTTTAAATGCCTAATTAAATCGACTTTTACAAATATTCTTATGTAGTCAGCTAAGTCTATTAAATCATATCTTTGGTAGATAGGAAAAGTTAAGTTAGAAAGTAGGTGTTCCAAATATTTTATTCTTTCTAAGAAAAGTAAATAAGGTCAGAACGCGAAACAGAAAATGTTATTTAAAATAATCTATAAACGTTTTTTATGACAATAGTTGGGAGCCAGAAGTACCCAAAGGTGTTTTCTAGGCAGGTAGTCACAACATCTCAACACTGATATCGAACGAGACTTTTTGCCAACACTGGCTAGAGCCCTAAACTTTTGCAACACTCGATCTGGCGTGCCTGGCAGAAATCAAAACAAACGCACAACCACCCACACAAGCACACAGTACAAAGAGCAGACAACAAACTCGCGATTTGTGTTTTTCGTTAAATGTCGTTTATTTGGTGGCGGTTACTCGGGTGGCCAAACAAAAGGCAGGGCAACGCACCCACCGCCCTCTGAGATATTGTACTTAGATGACTCGTACCGGTTCCAGCTACAGTTGCCTAGGATAGATCTGGTCCCAGGAGGTAGAAAAGCAATACCACTAGGTAATAGAGCAGGAGTCCTATAAATGCCATGTTATAGTTGGGGCTTTCCTGGTTCGTGCGCCGCAGAGAGGCGCACCACTGGCGTCATGAGCTTGTATCAACAAGAATTGGATCGGCATCCTTTACTTTGCAGTTCTTCTCAAGGATCAAATTGCCCACCACATCAGCACCCTCGTCAGCCTCATCTTCGGCAAAAGCGCTTTCGATTATCCTGAGGTCTTTCAAGTCTTCATACTGCAAGTCATGGATCTCTTCCAGCGGATGATCAGTAATCTCCACGGGGTCCGGCTCAGGTGGGGGGTGCAATCTGTTTAACTCCAGGAGCTGGAGATGGTAATAGACACCCTCGTCGTCTATGACGTAGAAGTGCGAGAACTTGGCATCGGTAAAGAACTGATGCGCTTCATTGCCCACGAACTTGATGCAGGCCAAGAGTTCGGGACGGATGGCGTTGCCACGCTTGTTCCGCCACAGGACCATTTCGTCTCGAGTCTCAGAAAGGAATTCCCGGGCAATGAACGAGGGATCAATATCCATGTCCGGTCCAATGGGCGCCGCATCCACGGCATCCCCCTGTGTCACATTGTGCTGTTTGTGGCGACGACTGCGCCTCTGATTCTGCTGCCGCTCTATCTGGTTGTTGCGCATGTGCGTCACGTTCCAAAAGCACAGCTGCTCCGCGCAACTAATCAGAAGGAGCTTGCACGGCGAAAAGCGCAGCTGGCGAATGCAGTGCTCGTGGACCTCCTGAATACTATAGATCAATTCTATTTGTCTGTCCTCCAGGGCAAAGAGCTGTTTGAAAAGTAGCATAAGCATCGATTCAAGTAACTTGTGCCTCTACATTTTACCTCTAAAGTGCCATTTTCGAAACCCAGTGCAAACATGGTGCCATCCTCCGTGGCCCTCAAGTAACTAATATTGGCTTTCTGGGCGATTTTTCCCTCGCAGATCGGTTCGTACCTAAGTTGGTTGCCCCTGAATATTATTCGGAAAACCTAAAAATTAAGTATATGCATATGAAATTGGCAAGCTGGTGGTAGATATATATTAGAATCTCACTTCAATGGTGTTGTTTCCATGGGCCAGGAAAAGAAGGTCATTTTTTAGATCAAAGCCAACAAGGGATTCCTCAGACTCTTCAGGACACACGAATGCAGACGGGTTGTCTAAATCCAAATGCTGTTTGATATTTTTATTATTGCGGGCAAGATTATTTTACATTAAACTTAAAATACTTACGCAGACCCCTTGGTCGGAAAACAATATAATAAACTTTTCCCGCTGTAGAGAAGCGTACTTGGTGCCGACATCCAGATGCAGTGGCCATTGATCATCGGGCACAATCTGATCTGTCTTGTCAGGGTTGAATATCACAGTCTTCTGAGCGCCTTGAGCCGACGCCACCAACAGTTGCGGACTGATCTGTTTGAGGTAGTCGATGGGCTCTGTTATAAACTGCTGAGGTAGCACTGCATCGCGGTTAACATCTATGGTCACCCCGTCCATATAGCCAGCAAAAATCTGCTCGCCGTTCTCAGCGGATATCGTAGTAATCCTAGTGTTACTGGCCGCATGCGTGGGCGTTATTATGGACCAGGCAGAAATACTGGACCTCCTGCGGGCAATTGGATCGGTGGCAGTTTCAATTTGGTGGATGCGCTCTTTGGAGTCAACAGCCAAAAGTTGCGTCCGTTCGCTTGTCATGTCCATCAGCGAACGCAGGTAGACATTTGGCTCCAGGCAAGCCCTTGTCATAACGCTCTTCTCATCTGCGCTGTGTACCCAGGCGATTCGCCGACCTGGATGGGTATCTGAAGTGCTTACAGAGCGTAACGTGTGCACATGGACCAACTGCTTGCCTTTGGCTCCGCACAAAACGATATACTTATAAACAGGATCAAACAGCTCGTAAATATCCACACATACAATATGTTCGCTAACATTGCTGCGCAGAACAGGAGATGAGATCCGAAGATCGTAGACAATGATGCCCTCTGACGTACCTAGCAAAAGGTAGTGTCCGTCAGCCGATCGTTTGCCGCATGTGATGAAACTGCCCTCCGGTAGCTGCACTGCCTCCGACTGCAACGGTGCAAAAGTTGGACCGGGCATAATTTTGAGCCTCCAAACGCTGTGCTTGAAAACCATTAACACGGTAGCGTTATGATGCCGTTCGTCGAATGCCTCCAATGCCAAGGGCTTGTCGTTATCGATACTTAAGCTCTGAATTTCATCTACGAAGGAACCACTTCGCAAATCCCAGACTGTCAGCGTGCAGCTGGAGTTACATACCACGTAATATCGCTTCAAAACCTGCACAAAGCAGCGGATATTGGTTTGGGGAGTCTTTAAGGGCGGTGTATGAGAGACTTTAAATATATGATCCTGATCGTCCCAGTCCAAGATGCTTATATCACCATTGCTGAAGGCCAGATGTAATTGGGTCTTAGTTTCGGGCAAATTGGCTTCTTCATTCAGATAGAAAGCCACAATTTTCTGTTCTCCATAACTGCCAATTAAACGCTTTACCACGCTGTTCACCAGCTGCTGGTAGCTTCGCGTGCCTGTCGGACTTCGAAGATGGGCGGAGGCAGAGGAACGCACACGTTGTTTGCTGCCACCACTGTGGCGCCGTCCAGGACAATCGGGCCACAGTGACCAAAGCTTCACGCTGCCGTTACTGTGCAGCGTGATTAGGTGCCTCTGGTGGTTAAAAACCGCCATCCGAAGGATTTCACTGCTGTCATTCTCGTCCTTAAGAAGGTAGGTGTCCTCTGCCTCCAACGAAACGTCGGTTAGCAGCAGCTGCTGGTTATCCAGTGCCATTAGGCAAAAGTCCATATTCAGGTAAACTGCGAGGCGCACCTCGTTGTTGCCCAGGTTAATGATCTGACGGTGCTGGTGGAAGCGACCACTGGAAAAAACAATGATTATATGCATTAAGATTCTGTATTTTCCCAGTTCGTATTTTAGCCAGTTCAATTTCAATTGCGATCATCGGCGATTGGATAAATACTTACTGCTCTGTAAACCAAACTCGATCTCCAAATCGTTGCACCTGTCTTCGGGCCTCTTCGAAAATTGCCTCGTCCTCGGCCATCAGGGCAATCCTTAGGAGGTCCGAATACTTTGAACGAATAAGGCTTTCCTCGATCTTTGGCAAGAAAACCAGAATTGCATTTACTAAGTGCTCGTACTTAGAGTCATTGTCTGAATGAACAAAAAAAAATAAGTTATATAGGGCTCCTTTGTCTGTAAATTTTCTAAGTACCGCAAATGTATGGCTTGTAGAGCTTCAGCTGCTGTAGCGTGTTCAGTATTGATCCGCTGGCATTCCAAGCCGTTGTATCATGCCGAATCTTTTGTTCTAGGAAGCGAAAATCGAGAAAGACCATTCGAAAGAAAGTCACCCGCTCGTCGTGCTCAAGGGTCTTGAGATGATGCCCAATGTGGCTATAGAAATACCGATCTAGGGAGGGCAGTATCAAGTCATTGTGGTCGAAGGCCTTTGGTATGCTTTGAAAATGAGAAGAAAAGTCACAAGATTTTAATAATATATAGTTCACTGAACAAAAAGTTCTAAACAAAATCAAAAAGTTGTCTTACTTATAGCGTTCAACTATTCTGCGATGCAGTGCAGGCTCGTCATCAACCTTTGGGTTCAACTCCAAGTATATGGCAGGTATACTAATGGTAAACTCTTTGGGTTGCTTTTCCACCAATGAATATTTATTGAGCTTGTTAACCACCACCATCGCATCGTCGCCATCGGATTTGTCGTCAAACCAAATCAGCGATAGGAGCTAAACAACAACATATGAGAAAAATTAAAAAAAAAAAAAAATGGTTCGGAAAAAGAAGAAACTTACATAAATTGGTATTCGTGCAGAGGGAGGGAATATGGACAGTCTGTCGAACATTTTTCTGTAACCAGCGGGCTCTAGAACGTTTAAAGAACTCTCAATGATGGTTGTGAGCTTATCGCAATTGACACTAAAAAGAAATCAGTAAGTCACTCAGTCGGAAATATCATTCTATACGCACTGTTTCCAGTTGTCCCAAGTGGCCAGACCATCTCGAATGCTCTCGGCAATGATGCTTAATCTGCGCGGATTCGTCGTAAGCACTTGCCTTGGCAAATCCTGCGGTTGGCAGTGGAGGTATTTGAGGAACAAAGACTTGACCTCGTCCGAAGTAAGCGTCATCGAATGATGGTCCAGTGAGATATGAGTCGTTGTTTCCGGTGAGAGGTAGTCACTGACCTGCTTAAACCTTGTGGTCAAAAGAATCTTGCAGCTCAGGTTAAATGCATTCCAAGCCTTTGGGTTTTGCACATTAAGCAGGACAAGAAGACAGTTTTCATAGGGTTTGCTCTTTAGTAGCCGACGCAACTCCGCCTGGATGCTGTGAATACGAAGCTTGATATTGCTGCCTTGATCGCTACGACTAGTCCAATTGGGATCGATCTGGTGAAGAAGCTTTTGCAGCATCTCCAATACTGTCTCCGGACTCATGCAGTTCTTCAAGTTAAGCCAGAATATCTTAAAGCCCATCTTGCGTTGCACTTTGAAGGATAGGCACACATCCAGGGCAAGCCAGTGTTTTCCCGATCCCAAGACGCCATCGATCAATACATTTTTAGCTGGACGCAGTTCTAGGAGTGCCTTTGTCAGCTTTAAATACTGAAATTTAAAGAAATACTTTGATTAACTGGGCACGAAAGGTAATGGATGCATAATCAAATTTTTTGAATATTTTGATATATAATTTTGTATGTAGAAATAAATCAATCTTACGGGTTCGAGTCGGTTAACATTGTACTTGGCAAACATTTGGTTGTCGTTAAAAAGGCGATCTCGTTGCTCGATATATGTTCTGGTCTCAGTGCGGGGGTTCTGCAGCTCTTCCTTGATAGCAGCCGTCAGGAATTCGTAGTTGGGCTGGTCCCTTGCATTAAGAATATCCTCGACGAAGTATTTAACAATTCTTTCCGCCTTAGTGAGCAATATCCAGAACAGGCGGAGGGTAGCTGCATCTGCATCTTTAGACTTGATGACGTGGTCTATTTCGTCTTTGGATAATATTTGTAGAAGGTTATCGTGCACATCCTTGCAGTCAAAATTGTTGATAAAGACATCAAGGAAGACAGAGAGAATGTCCTTGTATTGGTATTGGAGGCCTCTTGTTTCATAGTCCATATTCATTTAAGTCGGTTCTATTTGGATAATAGAAATTAAAAAAAAAAATCAATTTAAGTTTTGTAAACAGGAGAACAGAATTTTCTACTCTAAAAATACCGATTTTTTTATAGGTTCAAAACATATATTTGCAGAAATAGGATAAATTCGTATTATAGCTGGATGTGTGCTTATAAAACTCACTGTCCATGAACACATACATATGGCGATTTTCTTGGCGCCAAGCGGTCTTGACCCACTTAACTGCAACGCACCACCATCTTCAGACAACAGACATCAGGCGATCCTAAGGAGGGGCAAAAAGCTTTACAAAGCACGGTGGAGTCACCGGTCGAACACCCCACCCCCCACAAACTTCACAACTAGAGATCGGTAATTTCACAACTGATCGCCAAGGAGACAAACGATCAGCTCCAAATAGCGAAATACGTGAGTGTTGCACTTTTCGCAAAAGGCAATTCTGGTTGCAGTTCTGTGGTGCCAATGTCGCAGAACCAAAATAGAATAGTAGTCATTATCGCTCTGAACTCACTTAAATGTTAGATAAGCACAGAAGTTGGGGTAGATCTGCAGATATGTGCGTACGAAAGTAAGTATGCAAAAGAAAAGCACAAACAACAGATAAAAGTGAATGAACTTGGCGGCTGCTTAAGTGTGAGTGCATTTGTTTGAGTCACACACGTCACAGTGCCTTGGGTTTCATATCAACAGGGGAAACACAAAAGAATTAAAGGGGAGGTACGGGTCTTTATAAAAGAATTAAACGATGGCACTTGTAGAACGCAAACTAACGACGCACACAGGTGCCCGCTCACCTGCATGTACATTAAACGCATACTTACACTCCGTTTATTTATAACAAATCGTTGTCCTTAATAATTATTCTACGTGTATGTGTAAATATTGCACTTTATCTGAATTAAGTTGATTCTTCGTCTGCACTTGTAGAAAACTTTTTTGTGTTCCTACCGTTTTAGCACTTTCTAAGCGAAATATAATTATTTTAAAGAAATAAATAAAATTAGCGCTTTATGCGCACATGCACCTAACTAAGCTGGCGAATAAAAACAAATAACAACAACGAATCGCGGCTGTAGAAAAGTAGCCAAAACGAACAGTGCTGTAAAATGCCAAAGGAGATAAAGTCGTTCATTACAGGGCTGTCAAGCATTTAATGTGAATCATATACATAATAATAATTGAATATATGCATTTAGCATTTATTGTGTATCATATACTAATAATTGAAAATATGAGAAAACAGCTTTTTGACTAAGCTATTATCAAATAATTTGAAAACAGTAAGTAAATAAAATCACCAAAGGAAATCTTTATATCATATAGATATTCGTATATATCAGGGGCGTACAGGGGTAGTCTGGGGCCCGGGTCAAAAATTCAATTTTGGGAGATTATCAATCCTTACATATCATTTATATCATATATCATATCGCGCGGGGCCCCCATAAGCCCGGGGCAAATTTCTCCCTTTGGCTCCCCTCTGTGCGCCCCTGGTATATATTATTAGTATTCGTTTTGAATGATTTGGAAGCATGAAGGAAGCGCTTGTCAGAGTGACCATAAAAACATCGCAAAAAATATCGATGTGGTGGCTTATTTCAACCCTGCCGCCAAAGACAACAAAGGTATTCCTAACCAGGTAATTTTCCGCTGGCCACTTGCGACCACACCGACGGTGAAAAGGCGAAATAATTAATTGTAACAAATTGCCGCAGTGCGAATAAAAGGTGCGTAGCTTTTTCCAACTTCTTATCGGCGGTCAGTTGGCCAGCACATTCCCCTTCCATTTTCCACGACCAGTAAAACGTGCAATCCCAACTAAACAGCCAGAAAATTTGGAGCAGCGCAGCAGACGCAGACGAGAAAGTGACGACGCAGCAAAACGAAGCAACAAAAAGAAAATCGGCGACGTATACGTTCAACTTTGACAGAATTAAGGTAGGCATTTCTTTGAGAAGTCAGGAGTGTTTCGCCAGTCGAAAATAAAATCAGCTCAGAAGGAATAACAAAGTGACCCGGTTGAAAAAAAAGAAAGGCGAAAAAAACCAGTACAAGGAAAACAAAATGTCCGCGACCCTGACGGAATTGGCGTCCCCGACGCTCGCCGACGTAACCACGCTGGATTTTCCTGCTAAACGTGATCTACTCCTATTAACTTTTTAAAATGTTAACCCTTTCTAACTTTGATGTGAAATTTTTGCAGGCTTCGAGTCCAACGCCGCCGCCACCGCAATGTCATGCCGCGCCCCCTTCCAGCCAGACGACCAGTATGAGCAGCTTCGCCGGCCAAACGCCGGAGGAACCGGCGGAGTGGGCATGCCCGGACTGGAGCAGCAGGCGCACCTCTTTGGGGATTACGGTGGGGCTCAGGGTTACGGGCAGGCGCAGGTAGCCGGTGGCTACCAGCAGCAAATGCCGGTGCAGGCCAAGCTCTCTGCTTCGGCTTCCGTTTTCATCCCTCAAGGATCTGCTCCCCAACAGCAGCAGCAGGCGCGTCATCAGCAGTACCAGCAGGCTGGTGGAGCAGGCGGCTCCGGAGGTGGAGCTTCTTATGGCCAACAGCAGCAGCAGCGTTACGTGAACGGCTATAGGCACCACCATCAGCAGCAGCATCATCAGCAGCCGCACTACAACCATCATCACAATCATCAGCAGAAGTTCAACAACGACATGCAGAAGCTAACGAATTCCGTGCAGAACCGCCTGCAGCTGAACAGCCAGCAGGGCTCGGCTGGCAATTACTATCAGCAGCAGCAGGTACACCAACAAAACACACACCACCACCACCAACAACAACACTACCAGCAGCCGCATCAGCCACACAACCAACACGCCAAGTTCCAACGGCATACCCACTTGAATAACTCATTCCAACAAATCGCACAGCAGACACAGCACCACCAGCAGCACAGCCACCAGCAGGAGCAGTATTTCCAGAACCAGAACCAACAGCAGCAGCCATCCACTTCGTCCGCGGCGGCATCGTCGTCGTCCTCGAACTCTTCGCAGCCGGACATGGCCACCATTGCTCTGGAGTATCTCGATACAGTAATACATTGCCTTAACCAGGTAAGAGTCAATCTAATTAAAAGTGCATATAAGTATTTATAGATCCCCATTTTGATAATCTACGAGTTTTAAATATTAACTTCCTTTTTCTGGACTTGAAAAAAATTTAAATTTAAGATGTTACACGATAGAAGAAATAAGCCTTCGTGGATTTTGAACAACATTGGAAACCGCTTATATTGTACAAAATTTATGTTTACTTTTTATCAATAACAAATTTAAGTAAATTAATTTTGAAAAAGATACTTTATATCTATGCATTTATGCTAAAGTTGATTAACAAGACTATTTTATGACGCTTTTTCAGAATCCGGGCCAATTTGATACTATTGCATCACGCTTCCTTACAATTTTTGAGGGCATGGAGAACAACGACTACGTGCTCTCTATTGCCATGGAGGACATCTTCGAGAAGTCAATCGAGCAGTCGAACTTTCGATACATGGGCGCCAAGCTTTACAATCTGCTGCATATGCTCAACGCCAAGCCGGACTCCCTGTTCAACAGTCTGCTGAAGTGCAAGCTGGAGTATCACCAGAAGGAGGTGACCAAGTACATGTCCAACGAACAGCAGAAGGTTCGCGAGACGGCCCTCTTCTTGGCCGAACTGTACATGCAGTTGCGCGGCGACGACGACTCGCGCATCCAGCTGATTGCTGAGAACATTGTTTACTCCCTGGGTAAGCTGCTGCAAAACGAGAGCAAAGAAAACGTCCGATGCATATGTCAGACCCTCAAGCTTGCTGGCTATGATCTGACGGCCGATTGCGCGAAGGACATGCAGGAGATTATCGCGGCCCTGCAAGCGATCGAGTTGAACTCGCCGGGCAAGCATCCAATGGCGGCCAGCGTAATTGCTCTTCAGCAGAACAACTGGGGCAGGAAGGTGTCCAACGCTCTTGGCGGTGATGAGGATTTAGTGCCGGAGCCACCGCGTCTGAGCGATGAACCCGTGTTTTACGGACCCGATGGCCGCGAGCTGACCGCCGAGGAGACCGACTTTCTGGCCGCCGAGGACGGCGGCAACAGCGATGGCGACGACTTTGATGGCGATGGTGGTGAATTGGAAATGGATGCTGAGATGGACGAGGAAACCGAGCGCGCCTACAAGGAGTTCTGCAAGCAGAAGACCTAGATGACTGTGGACGAATGTGTTGCGTTAAGTGGATTCGCGGGGGCGGGGCAGGTGGCAAAATATAGCGTAGGATATAGGAGGAAGGCGGTAGAGAGTGAGGAGTGGAGCATTTCCAACAAATTCTCGGTTGTAGAATCGATGATTGCAGTTGCTTGGTTCAGAACCAATTGTGATTATCTTTTAAATTATTGATAGCAAATTGTTTGTGATATCTTCGTGTTTCATGCACTTACCATATTATGACATGTGTTGATGACTTTGTTCAAACGCTTTTTTGTGTGATACGCTCGTTTTGTATCTGTATCTCTGATAACTAACTCTCTGCCGGTACTATCAGTTTATTCATCAGTTTTTTATACTTTTAAATTTTGAATAATCGCAAAGCCAGGATTTTAACCGTAAACGGTCAAAATATATAACGATTAAGCCACTGCCACGCTGACCCGAACCGCTAACACACACACGCAGCTGCACTCAAAGACTCGTACTCATATGCGCACCCACACACTTGCATGGCACATATGCAGACTCATAAAACGGCAGAAAAAAAAATAACAGCAAATTTCACATTCAATTAAACAACATTCTCTTGATCATACAAATCGAAAAAGGAAAAAAACAGCAGCCACGCCTAATTTTAAAATAATTGTAATTAATGTTAACGAAACCATGATTTAAATATAAATAAAATTTATCGAATTGCGTTTAAAACAAGTTCAAGTGGAGTAAAATATTTTAACAGCAATGGGTTGAAGTTGACCTTTCAGTTGAAAGCCGAAGTTAGAATTTCATTCGCGTAAAATGGTAAAAAGCAACGCTAAGACTTAGCCAAGCTCTCAACCTTTCTACATTCGAAGTCGTTTAAAAATTATCGATACTGGCTAGATAGCTAAATATCGATATTTTCTCACAAGCTATCGTAGCTTGCTCACCTCTGTTCAATATGCTCGCGACGGTAAAATTGAATCGAAGTGCGAAGTAAATCGGTGTGAATTTAATTATTCGCTGTAATGTGATAAAAAATAAACGGCTGCGATTGCTTGGGAGAAACGCGCTAATGTTCGGCGAACAGTGGCTCGAAACCGAAAGACCTTGAAACGAAATTGGAGACCAAAACAAAAGTGACGTCATAATGGTGCTATTTATGTATTTGTATGTACGTCTATGTATCGATACAAGTTTTGCTAAAATATTCGCCAGTGAGACGCAAACACACAAATACACGCCAGAACAATAATAGATAAAAACAAACTAGCAATAAGCTGTAATCTCTAAAGTATTTATAAGAAAATCAAGCGCTACAACAACAAGAACAACAAAGACGTAGTGACAACTAAAGGTCACAAAACAGCAAAAAACAAATACAGCACAAGAACTGTTTGCGCGTATGTGTGTGTGATGGTTTTTGAGCATTTTCGCAGACTACAAAGCAAGAAAATCGTTTCCAAAATATATACACATAAATATGTTTTCCGTTTTGTAGACTTTAACTTTCTGTTTGTTAAACTTAACAAAAAGATAAAAGATTGCACCTGCCTTTTTCTCTCATTTTGTTTTTGTGAATGAATTTTATAAAATTACCCAGAAATTTTGAAGCATATAACCAGGCGTTTTTATTGTATTTTTTTCTGTGCCCAGATCGCCTGCAGCAACAGTTGAGTGGTAAAAATGACAAAATAAATTAGTTACAGCAAGCTTAAACGATCGAAACGTGTACAATTTTTCTACAAACCTTAAGCCTTAAGAAATCGAACTTAAACAGTCCGACTACGGTTCGAGCCCGCTAAAATGGCCAGCGTGTGGAAGCGATTGCAGCGCAATTTCAAGCGCGCCGCAAAATTCCAGTTCACTGCATCGTACCACGATCTGCATCTGGAAACCACCGCCAAGTGGTAAGTGCCCTACAATAAAGTGGATTAATATTAATTCATTGGGGAATCGCTTTAAGTATCTATGTAGGTGTGGGTGGGGGCTTAAGTGCTTTTCAATTTAAGCGAAATAGTCGGCAATTGAAGCGGTTAACATTAAGTTTTTGTTAGAGAAATGGTATTAGGTTTTTCCTGTATGCTCATCTCCCTACTCTCTTGCCTATAAACTGTGGGAAATACTATTTTTCAATGGAAACCACAAATTTAGTTTAACCTTTGACAAATCAGTAAACATCAGTAAACATATCTTTTACCAAATAAGGCTAATTATATAGATTTATCTGCTTCTCTGCTGCTGATTCACTGATTCACTGCTTGTCATGCAAATAAAATTGAACGTACTGTTGCCCGCTTTTAAGCAGTTTGAATGTCTGTATAGCTTGTTTGAGATTACCCCGATTACCGAATTTTGATATCTTTGCAGTTACAAATGAACTCGTTCTTCCTGTTTACATAAAGTGTTTACTGTCGACATAAATTTAACAAAAATTCATCTCATTTATTTATCAACTGAAAAACCCACAAATGTACATACATATCACAAATCGCACAAACAGAAATGTTTATTCATGGTCATTTATATGTATATATATTTTATAAGTAAAAAAAAATGCCGAGTATGTTGTTTGAGCAGAGTTGAAAGAACTTTTGGAAACCATTTAAGCATGCAACTTTTAGTAATCATGTGATTGGCTTTTTCAAGGCGACCGTCAAACCTTTCGATTGTTTGGACCAGAAGATCTAGGCGAGTGGCCAGTGTTCCGCTGCCATGGGAGCCGGATATGATGAATCCCCTGGTGGGTAATATATCCTGGGCAGTGCCCGACAACCACACCATATCGGTCACCCTCTTTAAGGATCCCCGCACGCACGAGCTGGAGGACAAGGACTGGACGTTCGTCATCGAAGATGTGGGAAAATTACCTAACTAAATCCAGAATATCATCATTAACGAAAGATCATTTTTAATAGGTTACCCCAATGGGTAAGAAACGTGTGCTGGCCAATGCCAGCATTAATATGAGAAAGTATGCCAGCGTAGAATCCACTCAGCAGAGCTTTACTTTGAGTTTAAAGCCAGTCTCGAAAAAGATTACAGCTGCCAGTTTGGAACTGACAATAAGCTGTGTATTTTTAAGAGAAGGAAAGGCAACGTGAGTCTAATTATCCTTGTAAATATGCATGGGCTTGATGGCTTGTTTCCCTTTCAGAGACGAGGACATGCAGAGTGTTGTTTCCATGATGTCCGTAAACAACAACGATGTTGCACCTTTGGACGACTTGGAGGATATTCCCGATCTTGACAATTTTAGTGAAATTACGGACAACTTATATGACTTTACCCAGCAACTGGAGCAGATGACAACAAGCCTGAATGGCTGCATTGATGTGGCCACCCCTCAAAGTGGTAAGACCTTCTTTAAATATCCAAACATTATGTTTAATGTGCTAAAATTAAAGTATTTGTATTTGTTAGTATGTAAAAATGGACTAGATCGTATATGTATTATGTACTTGAAGTGCTAGTTATATCTGAAAACATTTTCAATTCGGTTTCGATAATAAATATCCATTTGGTTAAGTATGTCAAAGCCCTAGTAAATGTGTTTATTATGTATAGATCTATCTACGCATCTCGCAGATGCCATATATGTACTCTTCATCAATGATCACGCATGATCTAAACTACTGAAATCAAAATTCAACATTCTTTGAAACAATAACAAAACAATGGATTCTAATTATAGCATTTTAGCTGTAGATAATTTGTACAAACATTTCTCTGACTTAAAAAGAAATTATTTCCTTTCTATATCCCACAACATCTACAACACATCACGTATCTTGAATGATTTCCTGCAACTTGTAACTTGTGCGTAAATTGTAAATTGTTTTCTTTTTTGTTTTCTTTTGTTTGTAATTGTGTAGTACCTTCGTTATCTGAAGACCCAACCCCGTTGGCCGAGTCATTTAATCAATTGCATTTTGAACTAGACGCCGGCGGCGAACGGGAAGCTGCGAACAAGTTAGACTTGCCCACAGCTCCATCCGGTGGCTCCGGTGGCTCCAGTGGTGCCAGTGGTGCCGACGAGTCCCAGAAAACACCCAATGGACTGCAGCCCTTGGTGGACAATACGCCCATTAAGTCACCGGGTGAAGTAAAGCATCCCAAGCTGACACCTGTGGAGCCATTGAAACCGAAAACCAATGTGGCCTTTGAAAAAATGGTCACCTCGACGCCGCTTGAGCCCAAAGCAAGCAAAGAAGATGTAAAGCCAAAGAAGCAGAGGGCCCTATTCCTGCCCGAGAAAGAGGATGGAATGGATTTAAGGGTGGAAAGCTTGAAGGAGGACACGTCCAAGAGTCTGGACAACAATAGCACCACCAAGGAAAAGCCCCTCGAGGAGAGCAATTCCAGTAGGAGCGTACCCCCGGTGCTTGCTCCGAGTGCCAAGCGCTCCGAGCTGCAGCCCTTGAACTTAAAGAAGAGCTATGAATCCTCGCCGACACCCGCATCCGCACCCGCACCAGCACCAGCACCTGCACCCGCATCTGTGATAAACGAATCGATCGGTTCACAGTCTGGATTCAATACCTCTGGCTCGCTAAGCAACAGCCTGAAGCCCGTGGAGCGGATAGTGCTGAAGGAGAACACGCCTGGCCAGGATCTGCTGGAGTGGTGCAAAGAAGTTACCAAAGACTACCCCAATGTGAAGGTCACCAACCTGACGACCAGCTGGCGCAACGGAATGGCCTTCTGCGCTATCATTCATCATTTCGTGCCCGAGCTCATGTGAGTGCTTATGGTTTATTTGCATTCCTTACCAAAATGAGGTCACAAAAGATATCAAGATAATGCAAATTATAATTAATTGGTGACACTATCTGATTCGTTTTTCCTTAAGAGGAACAGATAAATCACCTCAAATTTATTGATCTTTGTGAATTGGGTAATCTCTTAACCGTCTTATCGTTAATCCCTTTTAATTTTAGTGACATGACCGAGTTAAGTGCCCATGAGGTGGTAGGAAACTGCAAAATCGCCTTCGATGCGGCGGAATCGTTGGGAATTCCCCGTGTTATTGAGCCTCGTGACATGAATCTGTTGACAGTACCAGATAAATTGGCCGTTATGACTTATTTGCATCAATTGAGGGCGCATTTCACTGGCAAGCAGTTGCAGATCGAACAAATTGGTAAGCCATTGCATTGCATTACATATATTGCATTTGATTTACTTACGAACCAACCTGTTAGGCTCTACGGCAGATGAGTCGAGTTACGTGATTGGAAACTACAAGTCGGACAACTTGTCCCAGAATCGGATCAATTTCTCGCACCTGAAGACGCAGCTGTTGCACCAAAACTCCTTTGACGATGAGATATACGGGCAAAATAAATCAGAGCAACTGTCGCCCACAAGCAAAAAGGATGTTAAGAATTTGATTCTAAACAACTCGAAGAACATACTGGACAAGGTCCTGTCGCCCACGAAGGACAAGAACTCAATTAACGCATCGCAGCATACCCATCAGTCGTCGGTGCTTAGCTGCCAGACGCCGCCGCCGCTGGAGGAAACCCAGGAATCCTTTGAACGGCCACAATCGGTAGCCAAGGAGAACCTTATAGATCCCCAGGCGGCCAGTGTGAGTAAAAAGCCAGGATTACACTTGCCACGTTAAGTTGAAGTTATCCATTGAGTTGTTGCTTTGGCTTTAGCGTTTTATTTATTTATCTAATTTGCAGTTGATTTCCGAGAGCTTTTCAGTTTTGTATATACTTGGTTTCCTTGTTTTTGCTTTATTTTTGGTTTGTTTTGTAGCGAATATTAACGCGCCACAAGCTGATGACCGAAAAGGCCAAGCTGATGATGGAAAAGCTTAAGCTTTACAATACCAGCGATGCGAACGACGTAAGTAGCTTTTTGCTAGAGACGCAGTCCGCCGCACGCAGCGCAGCTTATCTCTTGCATGTCTTGTTGTTTAATTTGATTATTATTATTAAGTATTATACAAATATAAACAAACAATTGAAATATCTTCCAATCGAAACGTATTTAGAGAATCTGTTTTAAGTTTACCTAGCGCGCACTCTACTAGTGCATTCAGAAGTGTAAACTAAACTTGCTTAAAATGGTAGTGTTAGCTGATAGAAATCAAATGAAACTGTATGAATTGTTTATAAGTATCCATATGGTGAACTAAAGTTCAGGACTGGCCAATAATTTTAAAGGTGTTTATTACACTTTCTAAGAAACGCCGATTTCCTGTGTACTTATGTACTTTATAAAAGCCAATTTAGCGCAAATGTTCACTCAGTTGTTCCGATGTCTTTTCCCTGGCAGGAGGATCGTCAGCAGCGGCAGCAACGCTTGCGGGAGCAGGCCCGTCTCATCCTGGAGACACGTGTGAGGGGCGGCGGCGGCGGCTCCATCGAGAGTCCCACCAGCCCCACCAGGCCCAAACTGGAGCGCACCATTTCCCCGATCCATAACGGAGCCGAAGAGTTCTACAAGGAGCACGGGAAGAAGCTGGATACCAAGGAGCCGGTCAGTCCTAGTCATAGGTTAAGCGATTCGAAGGGCCTGGGTCACAATGGCAGTCCCCTGCAGTCGTTTAACGCAATCGTGGAACGCATCTCACCAAAGCACGAGAAGAGGGTAAGCTGATGCAGTTGCCTAGCAAAATTATACCCTTTGATTGACAGTAATAACTTACTTCGGAACTCTTGCAGGGCGACAAGCTGTCCTACATTGAGTCCGAGCTGGAAGCCCTCGAACGGGAGCAGGAGGCCATTGACCAGAAGGCCAGCAGTCTGGAGGCCAAGCTGCGTGCCGTGATGGGCGGTAATCCAAGTAATAACCGCCGGGGTGGCGCTAGCAATGGCAACCCCTTCCTTAGGCTAATCCGAAATAGTATTGGTGGTGGTGATGTGATACGAATCAAGCTGCTCGACTCGGATGACGAGAGTCTGTTTGGTGGAGGTGCTGGTAGCGGTGGCGGTGGTAGCGGAGCATGCAGCGACGAGGACGACGACCGGGACACGTCCAGCGAGAGTGACTGCAACTTCGGCGACGAGTTGCGCACGCGTCTGCGCCCGCGGCCCCGCTCCCAGTCGTGTTTTGTGAATGTGAACAAGAACCATCCATCGACCATTGCTACGTCCGCTCATCTGCGCCCGCATCATGTGCATCATGTTGTGCCCTACACCCACATGCTAGACAGTTCCCCGTCGGCGCTCTCCTCGCAGCAGTCCTCCTGTGATAACCTGCCCACGCGCAGTGACGATGACGAGGAACTGGCGCTGGCGGCCACCGGTCGTGCGGCCTCCCTACGGCGGCAGCAGGATCGCCATAGGCGACGCCGTCGGCGGCGGGAGCGGCGCTCCCATTTGTTGAACAGTCCCAGTCATTGTGGTAAAGTGCGGCCCATCCTCTCATGCCTGATTCATTGAGCTGCTCTGCTAATCGCTTCTGCCGATGCACTGCCACGCCTCTCCGCCCGACTGCCCGCCCAGATTGCCCGCTCGCCTCTCTCAACCGCATCCACTCGCTCATCCTCTGTGCCGTTTGTTTGTTCTATTTAATGTCTGTGTTTGCTTGTAAACGAGGACGGGCAGCCGCTCCAAGTTGTGTTTAACTATGTTTGGACTAGGTTCTAACCGTTCCGATATTACGCTCACTAATCACAGAGTCCACGCTCTGCTGCAGCTTTTGAAAACGCCAAAGGACGCCTGAATAGACTAAAAGCAAGCACGAAAGGCCTGTTCTGATTCCTATTTTAGTAAAATGTATTATTAAAGTGTTCTTAACCTCTATTGAAGAAAAATATTGTAATATAATGTATGTATGTATGATTTCAGTAACAAAATCAGAACAGGCCAGCAAAATTAATCTTAGTATTTCACAAACAAAAACCCCCATCAATGTCTGTCGATAATAAGTCGCGTATGCATTCCACAGAGACCGAGGAAACGGAGGAACAACTGCTATCGCAATGGTTTACGCTGGTCAACAAGAAGAATGCCCTCCTCCGGCGACAAATGCAACTGAATATACTGTAAGTTTGCCTTTAAACACGCTATCAGTTTGGTGTCTTATCATGAGGCTATTTTTACCCTTTAGCGAACAAGAGAAAGACTTGGAGCGAAAGTATACGATGCTGAATCAGGAGCTGCGGGCGGCGCAATCTGTGGAGGACTGGCGCAAGACGGAAGTGCAGCGAGAGAAGGAGCGGCTTCTGCTCGAGGAGCTGATGACGATTGTTGACAAGCGAGACCAGTTGGTTCAGCATCTGCACAACCAGGAGATAGCGTAAGTTTAATCTGAATAAAAGCTTTTCACTTATAGAAAATAATCCGCTGGCTATTTTAGGATCGAGGACGATCAGGAAATCGCTAGGAAACTGGAGCATGTGGACATCAGCGGTGAAAAAGACAAATGTGTTCTACAATAGAAATCGAAATTAACAAAACCTGACTGGAGATTATACTTACACTCAATCTTATCTATGTAACTAGTTAGATAACAACTATCTATGTTCGGTGACACGTGGTAAGGTCGCGTGGTTTCTGTGGTTCGGTGTCGCTTCTTATGCAATCGTTATATCCAACGACAACAAATACTTGGACCACTTGGTATGGTTAAAAAACAAAGTATACTGTGAAAAACAATGGCTTTTGTATTAAGCAAAGAAATTCAAAGAAATATGAACAAAACGTCCGTTAGTAAACTAAGTAACAAAAATCGAGAACACTTCGAAAGGGACAATTTATACACCTATGTATTTATGATAATCAGATATTGAGAATACTTTTAATCCTATTGTGTTGACTCAGTTCGTTTCATGTTTTGTTGTTGTGCCATCTGAACCACACCTGAAGTATATCCTGAACGCAAAGATGTGAGATAAGGAATTGAGGAGGCAATTTTACGTTAGCTTTCAATTAAGCATTTATCCCACATAAACTAGAAACGCTTTATCCAAAAATACACATATATATTTATGAATTACCTTAATGCAAGGACCCATCTTACCATAGTTAAGTTAAGCAATGCGCTTTAAAAATAATTTAAAGGTGGCTTATCTACTTATACAACATAACTTTTTATTTAATTTGCCCAGGTGAATGTATAAAGAACTGTTCAACCCAAGGATTCTAGCTAATAAAGAATAGAGAATGCTGATGACAGTCATTAGCATCGAATAATAAACCCAAAAACAAGTCTATTTATTTATTCTTTGTTTATTTATGTTTTTCTCAGAATAGATTGGTAATCACAATAAAATCATGAGTCAAATCGAGAGGTAACAGTTTTTTTATTCGACCAACAAGTTTTTGTACAAAAATACATTTGTTTATTACGATGAAATAATCAACTTAAACAGAATCTCACATTAATTGACTGATACTAAGTATGTGTATATATTTTTGCTACTTGAATTCTACGTATGATATATTTATTCTTGAATCACTCGAGAATTGTTTTTTGTATTGCTTAATTAGCTGAGATTCCATCACATTTGCACTTGATATTACTTTCGTTTCTCTGGTTCCTTCTGCAAGGAAGTCTTTTAATTACTCCACAACTCTTCTATAGATCTAAAAGCATTCAACAAAATTTGTATACCCTTGCAGAGGGCATTATAGTTTTAATCAGAAGTTTGCTAAACACTCAAGGTGTGTTAATTTCATTAAAATCGGACAACTATATTTTTTAACTGTCATAGGAAAAATTGGTAAAAATATGTAATGACTGCAAGGGTATATAAGCTTCGGCTTGCCGAAGCAAGCTAGTTTTGATGTTAAGTTTAAAATTGAGTGACGTCATGGCGGCGCTACCATTGCTCAAGTTCAGCGTTAAATAACTACAAAGAAGCGAAATCAAAGTTGAAAATACGGCAAAGCTACAAACAGCACAAAAACGAAGGTAAGACTAACATTTGGAACCGTTGGACGAGAAGCAGCTCCGTGTGTCATTTCGTAGAGTTCCTCATCAGTAAGAGTTTGGTTGGCCGCCTCGACCTTGTAGTTAAAAGTGGCCGATACGGGTTTGTGGTCAGAGAGGGTGTAGTCCATGTGAGACTGATAAGACAGCTGGTTGGCACTCAGGGTAATGCCCGGATAAATGTTGCTCTGCACGCGATGCAAAATCCTATCACACCAGGCGGGCCTTCGCTTCAAGTTGTAATCACTGGTGCCTTCCACGAACTGGAATTAAATTCAAGTTGACATTTAATGGGTACTTGAGATAAGGCGAAAAAATTGATTTCTTAATTTCAGTCTAGCTTAATTCAATAAAATGATTCGCTACTAGAGTGACTAAGTACGGCTATGCCTTTTTTTTTTGTTTTCAAACATTAAAGCAGATAACGTTGGAGGAAAGGCAAACAATTCTATTAATTAGTCGCTTTGATAGGGGATTTCCTAACATCGTCTACAAAGAATATATAATTAGATAAACTGCTTATAAAGGAAATGAAAAATTATTTTTAAAATAAGACGGTTTAAAGTGTACTTTGATACCTCTCCCAACGCATATAAATTTGGATTAAAAAGATCGAGAAACAAATATCTACTTTATTGAAGATAAGATATTGAAACTTAATTATTACCTTAAAAGTGGGAGGAAAGTTTGGCTGCTGCTCCTCTAAGAGGCTGAAAGCGTTGCCCTTTTCCCGCAGCAGGTTTAACTGGTCCAATTGGAGCAGATCTGCATAGCGCATGTTCTCCACATCCGTACGCACATCCCAGGCGGACATGTCCCCGGACAGACGGAAGTTTAGATCCCCGAACCAGAAGACGAGGTCGTGATCGAAGATCCGCGGATAACCCTGGGCACTGTACTTGTGGTTGTCCACGATCTGGTGGTAGTCCTCGATGCGCTCCTTCAGCTTATCGTCGTGGGCAGCCAGGTGGGAGCAGACGAAGGCCACTCCGGTTCCGTACAAGGACAGCCGAATGCTCACGGCTCCCTTGTTGCCCCAGAGACCACCCAATCCCGTGCGCGTGGCTTCCGACTCGATGTTCTTCATGTGAGGAATATGCTTGTGCTGGGCAAACATAGTAATGAGGATTCCCTGCAGCTGCTTCGAGTCCAACTTGACGAACTGGTGATCATTCAAAGCGTCTGCGATCTTTAGGACCCACGGATCGTCCTGAAAGATTTTCAGCACCTGAGAGGTGCTCACCTCCTGAAAGCCGATCACATAGATGTCGGGCAGTTGGTTTTCTGGACAGCTGGTGGTTCCATTTAGGGATAACAGCGAAGTCAGATCCTGATCCCGCGGCGAGTGGGTTCCCACATTCCAAGTCAGCAGAAAGATGCACAGATCCGCAATCGCCGTAGTCGCAATCATTTTTCCGTCCGCTAATTATCTATGAATAATACTTGTGGCTATGGACGTCACAAGGCAGCACAATAGATGATTTCACGGGCATCCAAAACAGGTTTACGGTTTTGACAGCTTCAAAAAATAAAAGCTAAGGAGTGACATTCGCGCACTAGTTTAATTTATGTAACAATTTTTTATTTAACGCTAATTAGTTGAGCCTCTTTAATTGGATTAACAATACTTAGTTCCATATATTATTTTTAGAATTGTCAGTTGGGGGCGTGCGTTATTTATGTTTTTGTTGTCTTTCTGTTACTTTTGGCAAGTGTGACCGTAACAAGACCTTCAAAATATACCATCGAAAGCTGCCAGAAATAAACCAAATTTTTCCATTAGACATCTTTCTTGTTAAACATTAAATTCACAAAAGCAAGCCCTTATTATTATTGGTTTATAAAAGCCGATACTATCGAAACTGTCGCACCAAAAAATTTTTTGTGTACACATTGGCCGGCTGCAAAGGATTTTGCATAAAAATAAACAAATTTGGTTTCAACTAATTTTTGTAACGTTAACCAGAAGTTTAACACATGGCTAACAGCTACGACATACCCAGTTGGTGGGTTTATAAAGAAAACAACCAGTTTTTTCCAAAAACATGTAATTTGTGGTCGTTATAGGGCCGGCAAACCGCCCACTGGTTTGCATCTGGATGTTCTGAAGGACGACAAACTGGTCCAGAAACTGATGGTGGATGAGAAAAGGTGCTATTTATTTGGACGCAACAGCCAGATGAACGACTTTTGTATAGACCATGCCTCCTGTTCGCGAGTCCACTCGGCATTTGTTTACCACAAGCACCTGAACATAGCCTACCTCGTGGATTTGGGGTCCAGTGAGTGGTCTCATCCTGAATCTAGGAAGATTAATGTATAAAATATATTCTTCAGCTCATGGCACCTTTATTGGAACACTTAGATTGGAGGCGCACAAGCCCACACAGTTGCAGATCAATAGCACCTTCCATTTTGGGGCTTCTACCAGGAACTACATACTCAGGGAGCGACCCTCGGGTCACCACAGCAACATCATGGAGGACCTGCCGCTCAGTGAAACCAGTGACGGAGCTCTGCTAGGCCTGCCCGAAAGCCAAACCGAATTAGATGTGGGTTAAATACTGAAACTCCTTTGCCATGTTAATGAACCTATGCTCTTCCCTCCAGAATCTCACAGAGTATAACACGGCCCACAATCGGCGCATCTCAATGCTGGGCATCGATGATGACACCAATATGCGGAAGCAAAACGCTTTAAAGCAGGGTCGTCGCATCCGAAATGTCACGTTTAACGACGAGGAGATCGTCATCAATCCTGAAGATGTAGACCCTAATGTGGGACGGTTTAGGAACCTCGTGCAAACCACCGTGGTGCCCGCGAAACGGGCTCGCTACGATGTCAACCACATGGGCATCCATTCGGGCAGTAGCCTGTCGAGTGTCAATGCCGCCCATGCCCACCAGATGTTCCAGCAGAGTTTGGCGGATATGAAGCACCAGCAGCAGCAGCACAGAGAAATGCCTCCGCCCAACGCGGTGCCCCACTCGCCAACTAATTCGCTGTATCAGGGACTACCGGCAGAAATGCATGGCAAGGGTGATCTTGAGCCGATTTCGCCGCTGAGCATTGGCTCCAAGTTAGGCCTGTTGCTGCCAAATCCTGCGCCCGAAGTGATGCCCGTCTTTGATGAGGCTGTGGAGCCCACCTCGACTTTGGCCCAAAAGTTGGCAGTCGCCAATGCGAATGGTAATTACTAAGGCGACAAACCTTTATAAACTCCTTTCCTAACTTTTTTTTTTTAATTTTAGTGCGTCGCTATGGCGAGGATCACGACTCCAGTGGTGAGGGCGATGCCCTGTGTCCACAGAAAAAGAAATATGCCAAGGAAGCCTGGCCTGGTCGTAAGCCCATGTTGGGGCAGCTGTAAAGGCTTGCCTGAAAAATTGCGCCAATAATTTTATATTAGATCGAACATACAATTTCCTAAAGCTTATGATTATAAACATACTCCAAAGTAATATACGTTTATTACACTTTTAACAACAATAAACCGAATTATTTTACACCTATAATGAATCACATCTTGCAGCTGTGCGGATACCTAGGAAAGGGTATCACATCTCGGATATTTTTGACACCCGTGACCAGCTGCAAATAACGCTCGAAGCCCATGCCAAAACCGCCAGTTTTAATTCCCCCGTACTTTCGAAGGTCAACGTACCAGGACAGGTCCTTAGGCAGTTGGGGATGAGCATTTAAGATCGCTGGATCGCTTTCACGCAGGCTTCCTCCGCATAATTCACCAACAGCTGGCATTAGAAGATCCAGGGCATGGACTCGATTGGGATTTGCGCGGGAGACTTTCATGTAGAAAGGCTTTTGCTGAGCAGGCCAATCCACAACGAATACAGGAGCGCCGCAATGAGCCACAAGAAACAGTTCCTGGTCCTTGGAGAAACCCTCACTGAGGCTTATGGGGGTCTTTAGAGAATCCTTGTTTTCTTGCAGCACTTGAAGAGCTTCATCGTAACTTATGATCTTCCAGGGGACTTCTAGCCAAGGGAGATCTAAGGTGGAGTTTAAGTTTTTCTGACAAAAATGTATATCCTCAGATCTAGTTTCCAGCAAGCGATTTGTTACGAACTTGAGCATCCGTTCAATAAACTGCGCAAGCTTCTCCAAGTCCTCCATATGGGCAAGTTCCGCTTCGAACATGTAGAACTCGGCTAAATGCAGTGGGGACTTGGAGTTTTCCGCTCGGAAGGCCGGAGAAAGGGTATATGTATTACCCAGACCATAAGTCATGGCCTCCAAGTGCAGTTGTCCGGAGACGGTCAGGAACACCTTGTTATCGAAATAGCTCTGCTCTACGGGAACGTTCGGTCTGGACATCTGTTTGAGCAGAGCTTCTGAATCTGGTTGAACGCGGAATACTTCTCCTGCTCCCTCGCAATCATTGGTGGTCAGCAGAGGAGTGTTGATCTGCACGAAATCCAGCTCATCCATGTAGTCATGAATGGCTTTCTGAGCCTTGTGCCTGATTCTCATCTGGGCGGCTATAAAATCAACGCGGGAACGCAGATGCAAGTGTTCGCGGACATATTCTGGTGGATGTTTTTGTTTTGGACTGAAGGGATAGCCTTCCTGTAGTCGTCCTTCAGCTGGAGGTGGTAATAAAGACTTTGCATGGTATCTAAATCTTTATGATACTAATAGTTACCCAACATTTCCACATGATCCGCATGCAGCTCATAGTTGCCGCTCGGAGCCACTTGGATTTGACCCACTGCGGAAATGACGCTGCCTGGAGCTAGATGCTGGTTTTCCGGAGTCCGTGGCACAACCACCTGGAACCTGTTGCTAGAAGACCCATCATTTAGGTCCAGGAAGGTATTGTTCTTCAGCCGGCGAACATTTTTGATCCAGCCCTTTTTGAATTGAGTTTTTGTGTATGAAAAAAACGTGAAAACTGTTAATTATCGGCCCTACCTGAATACTCAAAGAGTCGCCAGGCTTGTGGGATTTTGCAACTTGCGCTATACGTTCGGTTTTGCTGTAAAATCGCCTTAAAAATAACATTTTTTGTTTTATTTTGATTCGCCCGATAGCCAGCATTGCCTTTCTATCGAAGTTCGATAACGAAGCCGACAAAGTTTTGTGATTTTATAACGGTCGAGCGTCGGCCACACCACTCTGACAAATCGTCATTGGGCGCTTGTAAAATTCCAGTTTTATTAGTTTTAATGAAATAGCATTTAAATATGTCTTCATTGGACGCAGACACTGTGCTGCTTAGCATTCTGTTGCTGGTTGTTATTGAAAATGCCCTGGAGATTTATATTTCGCTGCGGCAGGTAAGTTTTCCCTTGCCGGCTCGTGCGAGTGAGATGGCGATATTTGGCGAGGAATTTTATCAATGCGGTTGATAAAATTAGAGTCGCAAATGTTAATTGGCATCACGGAATGTCCCCGTTAAATGCTTTCCCCTCTCTATTCGCCACTAGGTGAAAGTGTATCGCACTGCACTGAAGGTGCCCGTAGAACTGACGTCACATATGGGCGAGGACACGTTTCACAAGGCGAGGAAATATGGTTTGGATCAGGAGAACTTCGGCATCTTCAAGGCGGTGGTCATGGATGTGGGTCTGCTCTGTCTGGAGCTGTACATCGGCCTGATCGCCCTGCTTTGGCAGCTGTCGGTGGAGCTGGTGGATCGCCTGCAATGGGACTCGAAGAATGAGATCATCGTCAGCTGCGTCTTTGTCCTGATCTCAAATGTGTTGAGCACATTCAAGGGACTGCCTTTCAAGATATACAAGATATTCGTGCTGGAGGAGACGCACGGATTCAACAAGCAGACTGCGCGATTTTTCGCCTGGGATCAGCTCAAGGGTTTCCTGGTCACCCAGGTTCTGATGATTCCCATCACCGCGGCCATTATTTTCATTGTCCAGCGCGGCGGCGACAACTTTTTCATCTGGTTGTGGATCTTCACCGGTGTAATATCACTGGTTCTTCTCACATTGTATCCGATTTTCATTGCCCCCTTGTTCGACAAGTATACTCCGCTGGAGAAGGGAGCTTTGAGGCAATCCATCGAGGATCTGGCTGCCTCGCTGAAGTTCCCGCTCACCAAGCTTTTTGTGGTGGAGGGATCTAAGCGATCCTCCCATAGCAATGCCTACTTCTATGGTCTCTGGAACTCAAAAAGAATTGTGCTCTTTGACACGCTGCTGTTGAACAAAGGTAAATCGGACGACTCTGAACTCTCCGAAGACGAAAAAGGAAAAGGCTGCACCGACGAGGAGGTGCTGGCTGTTTTGGGACACGAGCTGGGCCACTGGAAGCTGGGACACGTCACCAAAAACATAATCATCATGCAGGTTCATCTCTTCCTTATGTTCCTGGTCTTCGGAAATGTCTTCAAGTATCCTCCTTTCTACGTGGCCATGGGATTCCAGCCAGGCACCCGCCCAATCCTCGTGGGCTTGCTGATTGTTTTTACCTATGTTCTGGCCCCCTACAACGCACTAATGAACTTCGCGATGACGATCTTGTCGCGACGATTCGAGTACCAGGCCGATGAGTTCGCTTTTAAGCTGGGATTCGCTGAGCAGTTGGGTCAGGCACTCATTAAACTGAACGTGGACAACCTTGGCTTTCCTGTGTACGATTGGCTGTACTCCACCTGGAATCACTCACATCCGACTTTGCTCCAGCGGCTGAATCGGCTCAAGGAGCTCAAAGAAGAAAAGAAACTGAACTAAGACAGCTGGCATCATACAAGACCAAAGTTTACACTGTTCCCTTTTGTTTTAACGTACAAAAAATAAAGTAAGGGGCTTACCCTAAAAAAATTTTGAAGACTGTGTAATTAGACAACCCTTGTTTTGAAGATTTTAAACATGTATTCTGGTAGTTTAAAATCCTTCTATCAGAACCCAGCCGAATATGATTCCCTAACGGAGCTTAAAAATTTTAAAAAATATGCCTAATATGTCAAACTGCTGTCAGAGGAACCTAAAATGTCTGCAAACTTTTGGGACGATCCAATAGTAATACTCTACATAATCATCGCGTTTTTAGTGCTGGACAATCTGTGGGCCACTTATCTACTGCTTCGCGACGTAAGTCATGCTGGTGTCCTGGTATTTTAGAACAACATTTAATCTTACAGATTCGAGTGGCGTACAAAACGGATAGGGTACCGACTGTGATTAGTCCCTACTTGCCGCAGGATCTCTACGACAAGATGCGTGTTTACAAGATCCACAAGGGATGGTTTACTATTGTCAACACCTTACTAACTGTGGTTATCATCGGCATCCTGGAGCTCTACTTCGGCTTCTACGCCTGGCTGTATGGGGTGGCTGGCAAGTGCGCCATGGCCAAGTGGATGGAGCACGAGGCATGCGTCTCCGTGATCTTCGTGCTCTTCCTGAGCTTGTACTTATGGCTCAAGAGCCTTCCGGCCACGTTCTACGAGATGCTGTGCATCAAGAGCCTGTACACCAGGGCGAAACCACCGTGCCTAACTCGCATCTGTCGCTTTGTCTTCGACGTGATTTTGGGAGTGGTGCTCACCACCTTGGTGGTGGTTGCCTTGGTGTACATGTTCCTCGCCATGGGACCATATGCTCCGCTGGGATTGTACGGCCAATCGCTGATCCTGACCTTCGTCGTGATTCTGCTGATTCCGTTTCTGATTGATCCTTTTGTGGGCAAGCGGGTACCTCTGGAAAACTCAGGCCTACGTAACCAACTGGAGAACCTTACAAGTCAGGTTGGCTTTCCTATGAGCCAGGTGCGCATCATTCGGGTGCACGATCCTAACACGGGAAGCAACGCCTTTTTCTACGGATGCTGCTGCCTCAAGAGGATCGTGATCTTTGACACGCTACTGCTGAATAGGGGCAGGCGTGATCTCTCCCAGCTGCCGCCAGAGGATGTGGGTAAGGGACTGTCGGATGCCCAGGTGACGGCTGTTGTGGCCCACGAACTCGGTCACTGGCACAACGGGCACTTTTACAAGGCGATCCTGGCGTTCCAAGTACATCTTATACTGACAATCCTACTGTTTGCGCTCTTGTTCCCGCATGGGCCCATCTACCAGGCTGTGGGATTCGCTCCCGGGGTGCAGCCCATCGTCGTTGGAATCTTCCTCATCTTTGGCTTCATACTGACGCCGTACATGACGCTGGCCAACTTTTGCATGCTGAGTATGACACGCTGCTTTGAGTACCAGGCGGATGAGTTCGCCTATCGACTCGGATACTCGGGAGAGCTTGGTCAGGCGTTGCTCAAGCTGTACGCGGACAACCTGGCCTTCCCCGTCTCGGACCGCTGCTACTCCAGCTGGAACCACACTCACCCCACGATGCTGGACCGTCTGGGTCGCCTGGCGGAACTTCGACGTTAGGCGTTACATGACTTCGGTTCGCTTTTTTGAAACACAGTAGGTTCTGATTGAGTTATCTGGCTTGGGTAATATAGATATATATTTTGCAACCGCAGTTGTTTGTTGGGGGAACATGATAAGTTTTGATGGCATTCTACGATACTTGGCCGAAGGTAGATCCCGTCATAGTGCTGGTGGTGTTATGCCTGATCGTGTTAGTTGACCGGATCTGGGAGATGATACTCACCAAGAGACAGGTAAGTGGTGGCGGGTCCTCCGCTGGAGTGGTCACTAAGTCCGGTTCTCCGACCCCAGCAACTGGTGTGCCTGAATGCGATCATGGTGCCGGAGGAGCTGAGGGGGGTCATTCCGCCGGAGATTTACCACCGGGCCCGCATCTACGAGCTTCACAAAACGGAGCTGCAGCTCTGGAAGATCCTTATTGACCTGATCATCTCGCTTTGCGAGCTGATCCTGGGCTTCTATCCCTTCCTCTGGGGCCTGGCTACCATGACACTGCAATCGCTCACCTCCGAGGAGATCTGGATCAGCTTGGTCTTCGTGTCCTACCTGACCGTCTACATTTGCGTGAGGTTCCTGCCCGTCCTGATCTATGACAAGTGCCTGCTGGAGCTGCGCTACGGCATGTCGGGCAAGTTTCCGTGGTACCTCTACTGCTGCATCGGTGCCCTGGCCCTCCTCCTGAGCCAACTGGTCCTGCTCCCTTTGGCGGCGGGCATTGTGTTCAGTGTGCAAATCCTCGGCTACTACTTCTTCTTGTGGTTCTGGCTCTTCTGGGCCGTCTTCACCCTGCTGCTGGTCTTCTTCCTGCCCTACTGCTGTATCCCGTGCATTGGACGACAGGTCGTCCTGCCGGAGGGCACTGCTCTGTATGCGGAGGTCAAGAAGGTCTGCGACGTGGTCGGCTTCCCCATGAAGCGTGTGTTTATCATCAAGACGCGGACCATGCAGTACAGTAACGCCTATTTCTACGGGAGCTGCTGCCTGAAGAGGATTGTGATCTTCGACACGCTGCTGCTAAACAAGGGACAGGATACCAGCAATCTGCAACCCTACGAGGTGGGCAGGGGACTGACCAACACGCAAGTGGCGGGCGTGGTGTGCCACGAACTGGGCCACTGGAAGCACGGACACTTCTACAAGGCCACCATTATCATGAAGATTCACTTCTTTCTCACCATGGGGCTCTTCGGGCTGTTCTTCCATTGCCCGCAGCTGTATATGGCGGTGGGTTTTGCACCAGGACTGTGTCCCATCATCGTGGGATTCATCATCGTCCTGAGATTCGCCCTCACTCCGTATCTCACGCTGGCCAATGTACTGATGCTGTGGAACCTACGTCGCTTTGAGTACGCCGCCGATCGGTTTGCCCACCGCATGGGATACTCGATTCAACTGAGGATGGCCCTCATCAAGATCTACGCGGATCACATGAGTTTCCCGGTGTACGACACTTGCTACGCCCGCTGGCATCACACGCATCCCACGATCCTTCAAAGGCTGGCGTATCAGGAGAAGTTGGACTTCGAGGCCATTAGGGACAAACGTAGTAATCCGTGACTGGTATTTCGTCTTGTTTTTTTTTGTACGTTTTTCGAGACACCCTGTAAAATTGCCTGTATGACTCGAACACAAATTGACACGCCCCGCTGTGGGATCATTACCAAATTGGTGGTCAGCATCGACAGCGGGTGAGTTATACAAATGGAAGCGATATAACGTGGAGGAGCGATCACTGGAAATCCTGATGATCTGTGATGACACTCCACCCTTCTTCCCTTCTGTCTTTTAATCCAAAATTGTTTAAAATAAAATTCTAGAAGTATATTAGTGATTTGATTCGGGAATCATAAGCTTTATAACATATTTAATTTGGTACCCCTTAAAAAAAATCCCATAGCGAAACCTTCATTACTTATGCAGACGACACAACCCGTGCCTTCTGCCCGAATCCATCCTGGTTAAACTTTCAAAACAGGATGATGGAACTCGGTCCCATAAGCAAACCGATTTCCCATGACCAACCAAACGAGGTGGCCGCCTTTCTGGAGCGGCATTTTGGTAAAAACTCCCAACTTAGAGGTTCGATGGGATCTTCCCAGAGCTTGGCGAAGATAAATTTGGATGTGAGGAATAGTGAACTCAATTTCCAGGAAAGAGAGCCAGTTTCTTGGCACACCTGGCTGGTGGAGAAGGTCAATTTTCCGCCAACTCAGTGTGCAACGGTCAAGGAATGGAAAGATCCCTTGGTGGGAACCCGAGGGAGTTGCCACTGTTCTTGGCATTTGAAGAACTGCTCAGCCTGGAAGCTTATAATAAGCAATAAATTGCCAGATGCCAAGTGGTAGGTTCTGTTCCATTAGTATAAGAATTATTTGCTGATGATATTTTACTTTAGCTACTGCCTGCGCATCAAGAAATTAATGGACATGGCCAACAATCTCGTTGACCCGGAATGGGAAAAGGACGATTTATTGCAGGATTGTAATACCCTCTTTCCCCTGCTGACCGAGAAGGTGTTAAGTGCCACTGATCTGCTCAAGGAGCTGAACGATCTTCTCGAGCTCCAGAAGAAACGCAACCGACAGTACAAACGGCTGAGAAAATCATTGGAAAATCAAACAACTGTCGATGGAGTGCTGACCCCTTGATGTCTGCATAGATTGTATTTATTTTGTTAAAACATTTCTGTCATATTTCCATAGTATTAGACATATATCCATTTAGATGTTAGGTATTTGGTATCTTGTTGTATATAGAGAAAGTCCGTTTCGAAGCTTTACATGCAAGTGGTTTTCAACAATATCTTAGGATTAGCATAAGTATGTTATCATATAGAGCTGTATCGTAATTAGTTTATTTATAAGTTAAGTTGGCATTTTGTTGCATGTACGGGAGTACAATCGATTCTACCCAATGTCTCATTATCAAAGCTGAAAGAAATGGTTTTCAAAATTTATGCATTCCTCCATTTCATATCAAACTTTTAAAAACGAGTCCTTGGATAAACTCGTTTCAAGATTGTACCAATTTTAAAGCTTAAGTAATTAGTTGTTAGGCTTTAGTTAGTTAAATTTGAAAAAAAAAGATTGGAAACAACTCGGGAAAGGATTAGGGACTGAAACAAGTCGTAATGTATATAGCTATAGCACCTTGAAAAAACGTTAGGTAGTTCGCAGCGTTTAAGTTTCCGTTAAAGTTTAAGTTAAGTTACCGATTTGCCTAAGCAGGAAATTGAGTGGAAATGTTCGCAGCTGGCCTGATTCTGCACCTCGCAATCTCCTATTACGCAGAACCTCCGGGTGGGAAATGCAAGGACGAGTGTCTTTCGTTAACTAGATACATTTCCACCCTTCAGCTCGACAGCGGCACGTTCAAGTGGGCGATGCATTTGCATTCACCTGCATTAGTGGTGTCCACCCTCGGGTTGTTGCAAGTGGCTCTTGATTGATTGATTGATGTTCTGCGGGAGATATACATAGTACGAGTACATAATGCCGGGTGCAGGATACACCACCTGCCGATAACTGGCAAGGAATACTTTCGTTTTGCTGCGTTTAAGGGATACTGTCACAATTATCAACAACGATTATCTACAGATTGTAGCCACACATATTATAAGTTTTTATGCTTAGGTAATCTCAAATAATTCTGTATCCTTAAATATAACTACTTTATTTCGAGTTTTAATTCGTAATTAAATAAAATACTTTATGCAAATACACATAGAAAATATAAATACACATATAATATAATATAATATAATATAAAATCGATGTACTGATCTTGATGTTATCGTTTCTTAATTGTTTACTTTAAGTGGCTCGATTTAGAGTTGCAAGTTGTTTGATTGGATAAGATTCCTTTTTGCTTTGACTTTGGGGAAATATACTCTCAACTTCTTAACGTACGATAAACATTTATTTAAGATTGAAACATTAATATTAGATTTATGTTACCAATAGCTTCGTTTCGGTTTTGGATCGACATTCGCTCTCTCGATCCTCCCCGATACCAAAATCTTTTTTGTGCCGCCCCCTCGGATGCAGCTCTAAAGTAAACAATTGCCTCGAAGCCCTCGTGGCCTCATTTCTGGATTTCCCTCGTTCGGGTGACAAAAATAGAGTTGGCTTAAATCTCTTTGTGGCTTGCTCTCGACCTCCCGTCTTACTCCTCGTCGTCGGGCGATATTTTGGCCAGTGTCAGCAGGATCATAGTCAGTTCCTTGCGGGAGATCTTTCCATGCTTGTCGGTGCCCACGCCCCGCATGATGGTCTCCTCGAAGGCGGCCAGATCCTGGGCATCGTAGTCGTCCTGGAAACAACAAACATTTAGCCTAAACCCAGCCCCTCCTGTAGTCGCAACCTACCTTCTTGACCAGCTCCAAAAGGTCCTTGAGGAAGCCTTTGAGCTCCTCGTTTTCAATGGTGCCACTGTTGTCCTGCGTTTATAAAATGAATTTCAAAATTATACATACATTCGGATCTAGCTCTTTATTTGCTGATTTACTTACACGATCGTATAGCGAGAAAACCTTTTCAATGTCTTCCTTGGTCAGCTTGGTGGCGCCCTGTGGGTGTAAAATTATATTAATTAGTGTGATGTTCCCCAACGAAACTCCTTCATATAAATATCTCACATAAAGGTTTATTTATAAGTTTGGTGTGCAACTGAGATTTGGCATACTTTTCAATAAAACAAAAAATTGATTTCATTTGTTAATAAGGAAAAGAAGTATTAGGGCGTTATAGTTCAAAAATCAAAGGGACTGATTTTAACTAAGCAAAATAGTTTTTCTTGTATTTTAAGTATGCTAAATCCACAATCGAGGTGAAACAAATGTACCACAAATATTAAAAGGTTATGGGATAATTTAAAGCATACTTCTTAGAGTTTCATTTTTGCTCAGATTATCCTGCAACTTTTCAAATGACAAGTCTGAATCAATGGTTTTCCCCTAATACATTATATACCAAGCTACAAGTTGTGGTGTGTGTTTTGTGCGAATTTGGGTAGAATTGGTTATAAACAAAGCGGCAAAGTCATGAACTCATGCAAATATAGGCAATTATAATTAAAACATGCTCTTATGGATTTAATTACACACGACAAATCTCACTTAAGAGAATCTCAAGGGAGTAGAAAGTAGCATATCAGGCAAGAAAAAAGTATTTCGGAATTCAAACTCATTCGTTCAGCTTATGGCTAAAACTAATTATGCTAAATGAAACATACTGCCAATTAAATGTGTTTTCTGTCGTTGACATTCGCTAATTAATATGAATTATGGCTCACAGGTACAGCAGATTTGTCTTTAGCCTTCGCCTCTCTCATTTGGGATTGCCCGGATGTGTTTTCCACGAGGGAAACACGAAATTTATCGATTCCATTTGCACCCGGCAAATGGCTCGAATTATTTTCCTCCCTATATGTAAACCCCATTCACATACACTCCCACACTTCCACACAATCATGCAGTTTGTAATTTTGGGGGTTATGCAATGTGGCCAAGGTGGCGCCTCAAGTTCAAAGTTTTCAGTAATGCACTGAGCCAAAAATCAAACAGTAGGTATATAAAAAGAATTTGCAAGTAGTGTTATAACGAATAATACAAATGAAATAAAAACAGTTTTAGATCTTGATAAAAATCCTACATATATATCTCTGAACCTTAGACTTTTTTCCAGTGCACGAAAGGTACGAACGAAAAGCTGCGAGGTGGAACTTAAGGTTTTGTTTTCTTCATCCTTGGGAAGTCTGATAACATTTGTTTTACTGGCGCCTTGAAAACGCAGTTGGCGCATTCTTTGTGCGTTCTTAACGGGATTAGAAACCCATTAAGTGGGAACCCTTTTCCGCTTAAGCTTTAAAAAATGTGCTTAGCCTGGCGTTGTAAATTGCGAACCCGCTTCCACTTAGCGGTGGCAAAGCTCCTTAAATTGAATTTTTCACGGGCTTGAAAACACATATTTTTCTCGTTTTTTGGCATTTTTGTGTGGCCTGGCTCTTTGTCAAATTGCTGATACTTAAGCCGAATTGCGCCTTGAACGTGATGTGATGTGATGCCCACGCCCACACATCGATGAAATGAAGTAATTATTTTACACTTCAACACTTTGAAAAGCCGGCGTCGGCAGAGAGCGTGTCAGCCTGCGGCTGCCATTATCCATATGGCACTGCCACAAAATATATATCCGACCCCGCACCTCAGCCGCCGAACTCAATGACTAAATTATGCAAAAGGTTCCCATGGAGGATGGAGGATGGGGGATGCGAAATGGGGGGCCAGGAGCCAGAATTCCACATCAACGTGTAATTTGTGCGGACCTCACATCGTTAAGGCCAAAGCCGTTCACGTACCGGTTCTCGGGATGTGTTAAGTGGGAAATGGGGTGGACCGACGCCATCAAAAGTCTAATTAGTAGCTCATAGCTATCATTCTTTGGTGCGAGATGCCCTGCGGTTGGGGTCCCACTTCTGGGTTGAAAAGGCTTAGGGCGAGGATCCCATCCTAAAAATGGCCATATTGCAAATTACTCAAACTTTTACTGGCGCAAAGTTTTAGTTCCTTATTGCTAATAAGCAGTGAGCCTTTATTAATTACTTCGAAAATAAGCACTAAAAATAGTTGGTTTTCGGCTATCACAGAAATAATTTAAGACGAAAGTGTTGGTGGCTTAAAATCACTTAATATAATATATGACTCAATTTCATTTATACTTGTATTCAATTTATTGCGCGTGATAAATATTTTTTATATTTTTGGGGGACTTATAGTGGTTATCACTGCAAAAACATTAAAATATTCAAAAAAACAGAAACGATACGTTTGCATGCGCTACACTCATGCATTTCTGCGAATAAACAAGACTTTTCCAAGCCAATTAAAGCATTTAAGTGGTTTTCGTTTTTCATGTTTGGTTTGTATGCTGAATAGGATGGAAAAACAAGCAATCGACACAAAAATACCAATTCAATCAATGGAAATTCTTGAGCTTTCATCAAGTGTGAAACAAAAAACGATTGTGTAAAGCACAAAATTATACAGTTTTATTGAGAGTTTTAATGGGCCACCGTTGTCTATTATCGTTATTGTACCCACATGAGTTCGTTTTTTAAGGGGCTCTTTTAGTTGTTTGAATGCTTGATGATGGGGTGAAAAATACTTACATCAATGCCCTCCTTTAGTGTGTGGTTTTATTTATATACGTTTTTATGTTTTTTTATATTATTTCATCGGTTTTGGTTTTGTTTGCAGGAATGTAAATAAGTAGTTTGTGTATTGTTTTACGAAATATTTTTGTTTGTTTTCATTGTTGGCAGTGCAATTGGTTGCAGATTGTTGTATGCAAATTTTTGTATATACAGCACATGGCAAAAAGTTTTGATTTGCGGTAATTGTTTAGTTATTTCAGAGTTGATTTTCAAATTGCATTTGTGAGATAAGTCGGAAGTTAAAGGTGGCAGCCCAAAATGTTATACACCACGTGCACGGTATAGTTAATTCGGTTATTTTGTTTGTAGTTTGGTTATTGTTATGTTGTTGGTTTTGAAATAAAAATGCACAAGATTATAGAAGTATATGCAAAGATATATAGAATATTGTTATGTTCATATAGATACAGATGGCATAGAGGAGGTAGGCGGGGGGAAACGAAAAAGATATATATAGAAGGTTAGAAAAGTCGTAAACTAAAATCAAACAGTTTGTTTAAAGAAAATCAAAGCGGCAAATCAACTATTTATTCTAATTTGCCGCCTTTGATCTGCTTTTATATTTATAAAAATATATTTCTGTTTTTAGGCTAAAGTTTTATTGTCTTAGAAAGCTAAGAGATCTAAGATCTGGATGCAGCAAAACTAAAAGTGAGATATATTAAGTATACGCCTAGTTGAACGAAAACTAAGGAAACGCATTACCAATTAGAGAGCAAACTATATCTGCTGGTTAGTTCATTTCTTTGAATTCACACTAATTGCAAGTTTGGAAGGAACTAATAAGATATTCAAACAAACAAAAAATGGTCTGTGCCGCGTAGTCACGTTTTCACTTAGTCGACTCTGCTGTTTTGTTTATTTGCTGCACCGGAAAACCCGCAAAACATTGAAAATAAGGCGACTGGCAAAAGCCAAGTGTACTCGGTAGCTTCGCCCAATGTCCTGCTGTTTTTCCGTGCCCCGTGTCTCCTTTTCTGCTGTCCGCACCTATTGCCATTTCCAGTGGCTTTTCCTGTTGCAGCACATTATGTCACTGCTCGTTGCGGTGCATGCGGCGAATACGTGATGTGCATTAGCATAACGCTTTCTGGCACTTTTGGCCACCAGCCAGCAATACACTGTGCCACATAATTGGACGCCCGGAGACAGAGTTTCAGCTTAGTCCCGAAGCTCCGCCAAAAGTTTTGAACCCTGGGAAGCTGCATAAAACTCGGAGCCCGGTCCGCTGCGGTTATCAAAATGCTGATGCATGCCTTGGCTTTTATGGTCGCAGCAAATTATATAAAAGTAATAACTGCACCTTGGTAAATGTGCTGGAAATGCCTATTTTATGGCTGCCTGAGCCCCGGCTGCCTGCATTTTATGGCTCCTCATAACGGCCGACTTACGGTGGCTCGAGTATCTGGAATGTACGCATATCGCCCGTGGTCAGGTATCCGGTTTCCCGCCTTAGGATTCACTGGCTCGGAACTGAACGGAACGGAACGGAGAGACAGCTGCCATGTCCGCAGCGGGTTTTCGATTAAGGCCCAGCTTGTCCCGCTACATTGTTATGCATGACTCTCGATGCCCCGCTCCCGGCGCCAATAAAACCCAAATAAAATGTCGTTTGTGCTGCGAGCTGTAACAATGAGCAAATATGCGGCTCGCCCGCACCGAACACTGAGCATTGTTCGTTGTGCAATCCTGCGGCTTCTTCTGCTTTTCGCTTGGACTGCTGCACCACTGAGTGCACATCGCAACATTGCTCATGTTCTTGCACCCGAAAGGGCTTCCCCTTGCCACGGACGGAGCGGCAACGTCCCGTTGAAAGGACATGCGAGCTGCATTTGAATGTTCAACTTTCCATTTTAAAATGGAAAGCGTGCAGGGTGCGGGCTGACATGAAGCTGACTTCAATATGTTTATTCTGGTTGGGAAAACAGTGAAATAATATTACTTGGTCTTGGCAAAGTCAGGACCCTCAAATAAGTGTTTGCCTTTCGGTATTATATTCTATATTTCTGAATCTATTGAAATAAGTTAGCCAGAGATTAAAATCCCACTATAATTACCTTTGAAATTTTAGAACTAAAGAGATTTGCGTGTTTTTTGTGACGTGCTGTAATGAAAATGCCAATTTTCGTTAGCCACATCTCCCGATTTTTCATTTAGTTTCCGAACAGGGCGTGGGAGTGCCGAGCAGCCAACAAAGTGATTTAGTGCAATGGGAATCCAATTGCAATTCAAACCCAACACAAAGTGAGCACAGGCTGAATGCAACACTTTTGATTTTGATACCACTGTTGGAGGCGCCACCTCCGCCACTCCACCAATTTTTCAGCCATCGAACTTTTGGGCAACGGCTGCCAATGAGCAATGAGCGTCAATGCGACTGAAGCACGTACATTTGCAGCAAATAACAATAAGGGCTCTCAGTGCCTTCCGATTCCCCTCCTTCAGAGCGTTTTTCTGTGGATCTAGCCCACTTGATTGCCAAGAACAACACCGACAGCCGAATGGAGGTGGTTTTTCTTTGCCGCTCCACAGACCGTACACATGCACGAGTATGTGGCGATGTAGTTCATGTGGCAAACAGCAAAAAGGAAATCCAAACACAAGGACGAACACGAGAAAAAAGAGTTCCAACGCCCAAGGCGAAACGCGATTCGGAAAATTTGGAAGGGGCTGGCTCAGCAAATTGGGAGTTTAAGGCCGAAGGACCAACATTTATTTCCGCCAGCCCTTATTAAGTAGTATAGTACAGTGGAACACTCGTTAGTAGAACCCAATTCTGCCTAAAAAAATTAATGGAAGCTCGTAATTTGATTTGAAATGCAATGTTAGTCTTGGCTGTATTTCAAACATCCTAAATCTTTAGTTTCTCAATTCAATCCCATTCCCAGTAGATTTAAAATAAATTTCACCACAAATTTATCAATTTGAGGCCGGCATAAATTTTGCAGAATTTTCTGCCGATAAGACTTTTTCCGACATCTGCTGCTGTGAGCAAATAAAAAGGATTCCTGGTGCTGGGATGTCCCTATTCCTTGCCAGCATGCTTAAAATGCGAGAGCGGAAACATGCTCGAAATACACACACTTTTGGCCAAGTTTTGGCCCGCGGGAAGTTACGTGACATTCGGAGGCAGCCTCAAATGCAGTGACTCTGCTTCATTTAACCGCATTCGGCATCATCAGCATTTGGGCAAGTCAAAATGGGTTCGTAGAATTTCCCGGGGGACTTTAAGCCCGAACATCTGCCGGCAGTGGCCAGAAAGTTTGTTTTCATAACACCACATGGCTTTTCATCTGCTAATTGCTCGGCTGTCTGTCTGAGGCAAACTAATAATAAAGTATTTAATGGCCGGCCATTTGGGGACTTTCCACCTTCTGTTTATGCAGTGGTTGCTGTTTAGCTCCTCAGTTTTTACTACCCAATTCAAATCACATCAAATCTGTTGACGCTCGAGCAGAAACTGGGAACTCAGGAAGCCTCTGCTTTCGGAAATTGATTTCGCCAGCTCCCACGCATTTTATTTCGCCGAAAAGCGAAAGCACCTGCCAGTTTCAGCTGAGCTTTGCCATTTTGCTTCGTTTATTTTTACGATTGCAGACAATACTTCTTGCTTCTGTTCCTCGGCGGAACAGCTATTTCTGACTTGGCCATAGCTTTATTTGTTGCGACACGAAGGGAATTGGCTCGAGGGAGCGCGGGTTGCGATGCGAACATTTTTTATTACGCCCACAACTTTCAATGTGGCATTCAGTGGCACATTTTTGTTGGAAAGCGGGGATAGCGGGAGAAAAATAAATAGTGGCTTTGTCCCTTTCAAATTTTGTGTTTGCTGATCTGCTGAGCGAAAGTATAAAGCCCCAAAAGGGTTCACTGGTTCGAATTGCTGTGCGAAACGAAGCCAATTCAGAAATCTATTCAGAGAGGCTGAACCAAACAAATAAAGCCCCTAAAAAACGCATTTTCCTTTCGATACCATTTTGCTTTTCAAACCATTTACTTTAACAGGTTTTTTACTGAACGACTAGTTTTTATTTGTTTTGCTGCACGGAAATGCATTGAAGTGCAGTTGCGAGTTTATAAGTAATTGTTTTTTATTCACCGAGCTACACTTGGCACAGACATTGTACAAAATAATAAGTGAACCAAAATAGCATCACAAAATAAAAAGTCATTGCTGGATTGAGTTTGTTGCAAAGCTAAGTTATTCAGAAAGTCAAGGCTGCAGCTAGTGAGAAACCAAAAACCAGGCTAACCTAGGTGCTAACGTGTTGTTTTCAAGGCAGGCCGAGTCTGTTTCAGTATTGCAAATAAATAATTCAACCATGTTCTGAAAACCGCGGTATCTTGACAGTATCTGCTCTTGGTAATTTCCTCGATTGAACGATGTTCTCTGGCCTCGCTGGAAGCCATTGGCATATCGCCGCTTGTCACTTACCTTAAACACCTGGCGGCAAAGGAAGTTCTCTTTAACCGGAAGCAATCTGCAATAAATAAGTTAGTTGGCTGGCTGCTGCCTGGCTTTTGGGCTTGCGACTTCGAGGACACTTACTTGGCCATCTCCGACAGCTGCAGTCGTCCGTCCTTGTTGGCGTCAAATACCTGGAGCTGAAAGGCACAACAGTTGGGCATTACACACATTATTGTCGGCTAATATGAGGACTAAATTATTTACACCACTCTGTGTCAATTGCAAATGTCGTCGCATCTGCCAATAATCACAGTAATGTTGTCAGAATGGTTGTTTTGGTTAGGTACATAATCACTTTCTACTAGGAATGGTACTTCATTTGCTTGATTGCACATGCTGAGTTCCTAGAAATTCTATTACCCACTCTTCGTATTGTATAACAATAATAGGAAATCTCTGGATTACTCACCATGGTATCGGTGTACTCAATGAGCTTGTCCTCGGACACGTCGTTGATCTTTTTGGCCTCTTTGAGCAAGTCGCGCAAGAAATTCTTGAGCTCATCCGCCTCGATGTAACCCGAGTTGTCGGTGTCGTATTCACGCCAGATCTGGTTTAATTGAAAACGAGAAGGATTGCAAATTAATTGGGGAATTTCAGGGGTCAGCATTCCGGAGGCATTGTCACCTACCTTCATGAATTCAACGCTGGATTCCAGGGGATTATCGAAGCGGAAGAGCAAAAGGAAGTTCTCCTCCATCGGCAAAAGCTGAGCAAGCTGCAAAAAATACCTTTGTTTCAATGCGTGACTTGACAATTAAATGCGTTATAAACAGAAGTGTGCCGGGTGGCTTTCCTCGCTTATTTTCCGGTGCATTGCTTGGAAAGCGAGGAAATCTTGATGCACTTTCATTAGCGAACGGCAAACAGCCGGAAAAGTTTCGTCCCACGCATTCGTTAAAACTTTCCGGCATAATTTAAGTGTCGAATTGAAGCTCTTACCCTTCACTTGTAATCAGCCGTGGCCGGGAAAACTTTATAATTCGCCCAGTGACTGCGGTATTTGCATTTTCATTTGATGCTGGTAATTACTGCACTATCGCAATTAAAGTTTATCCCCGGGCCAAGCTCCTGTTGACAAGCCAGTAAACAGCGGGCATGAAGCAGAGATCCGTTTCAATCGATCGATGTTCGACGTGGCGTATGAGTAATGCGGACCACATGAATTATGAACGCGAGGTGCCTTTGTACTGCCAGCAACCTTAATCAGCAATACACGGGGGCCCTGCTACTTGAACTTTTCACTTTCCACTTTTCTTTCCCGAAACTTTCTTTTTCTGGCGCTCATTTATCAAAAGTCCATTGTGCAGGCTCGCCCTCAAGTGCGCCTTATTATTTGTACCATTCAAACAGCGCAGAGAAATCTCCTTTCAATACTCCGTGCGGCTGCTGCCGGTCCAACTTCAATTAAAAACTCATTTAATGTGGCCCCCACAAAATAAGGGCGAGCGAGGGAAAACTTTTTTCGGGCCAGACCTTGCACAGAAAGTTTATTTTTCTCCCGGGGAAAACGCCAAATAATTTATAGGTTTCCAGTGGGCCGAGACATTTAAAAACCAATTTGAAAACGGCAGCGGCGCCGCCACGACTCAAGGAAACGTCATTTGGAGTACAAAAAGACAACATACTGGCAACATTGCGCATACGACACGGGGTCCCCATCAAACCGAAATTTGTGCCCGAATGTGCGGTCAGTTGTGGGTTGTAAAGGCAAGGAAAGTGCTGCCTTTGGTAATACGAACCTCTCTGATATCGATTTTGCCATCCTGATTGTCGTCGTAGGCCTCCATGAAGCAGGACTTCAGCTCCTCGAGCATGGTGTCCGTAACAGCCTGTGGGGTTTGAGCACAAAGATTAAGATGCAGTTGAACAGTTGGGTTAAGGGAGTTCCACTCCACTCCAAGCTCACCTCCGGGCTGATGTCTGTGGCGTTGGCACTCGACACGAACTCCCTCAGAAAGCCATCGAGCTCGGTGCCCTCAATGTAGCCGTTTCCTGAGGCGAACAAAGGGAAAGGTAACAATGGCAGTTTCAGTTCAATCCATTAACTTTGTAGTGTTATCCAAATAGCTTCGGGTTTATCAGTGGGGATATAAATATTAAGCAATAAAATGTTTTCAATTGGTCAACCTGCGGACCTTTGCTGCCGGTGTGGGCAACCTTTCGTACAGTTCTGACCCAGATTTGGTTGTGGATGGCCCTTATTAAGTCGGTCCAAGGTCTGTGGACTTACCATCTTTGTCGTAGTGCGCCCAGACATCCATGAACTGGTTGGCCGAAAGCTTCTTGAGTTCCCGGGACTCGGGATCGCGATACTGGCGCATGAAGTTGTGCGCCTTCTCGATCTGAACGCGTTTGGCGGCGGCGGCAGCGGCTGAATCCATTTTTAGTTATTTCTTCTTGGGGCTTACTTGTCCTTGCCGAGAAACGTGATGCTGGGCAATTGCCTGAGGAAGAGGAAGGAGGAATAGAACAATTAATTTGCCGCCATTAAACGCTATGTTCGCTGTCTGGGGAAAAGCCAGTTGACAGCGCAGCTGAAACTGTCAAATTAATAGTATAAAACAGAGCACACGAATGCGGATACATATGGTGGCACACTGTGGTGGTGGGTGAGAAATGGCCGCAGCGGGACTCCCACTGCAGCGGAGGAAGCGTCGACATTGCATTCGTGGGCGGGGAAGCCCCGCCGCTGAAATGAGACAGGACGTCACCTCCACGCGGCCCCCCAGCGACCCCCTCGCCCCCGCTTGACACCGCCCCTGCTGTCACAAGTCATTGTGAGTTAAATACACCAGCAGAAAGGCGGAGAAAAACAAGAAATGTAAACAGAATTGCTGTACAAACCACGTCTGCAGTTGCCCCGTGGGTGGGTGGCACTAAAAATAAGAATGGAGAACCCTGGGCTTAAGGCGGGGCCGCCAGATGATGTTGGACTGAAAAGAAGCTGCGGCTCGGAGGAGAACACTTGCAAAAATAATTACGAGACGAGGCTCTGCTTAAGTAAACCTTGCGTGCAAAGCTTGTCCTTCGTTTTTTTATATTTTGTACCAGCTTTAAAATGGCAATGTTCCATTTAAACTCTGTTAATAAAATAATGAAATTCAAAGGCTTATATATTGTATCAATAGAGTACTAAAGCTTCTGTTAACCCAGCCATAATTCTTTGCGATTTAATTACGTGAAATACATAAATCTTCAAGCCAAGAGATGGGATGCAAACGCATTTGAGAGCAAACAAATTAATTTTAACAACGATTCTAGGGGGAGGCATCTAAAGCTAAGCTCGGCTTTAGTGGACTTTGAACGGAGTCTGTTTGGCTTGGTTTTAGCCAGCTCGGCTGTTCGTTTCCCCGGCATCCGGATATATATTATAGTATAGTATGCGGTGTGAGTCGTTGGATCGTTGACAGTTTGCCGCGGTCGCTCCTCTGTGGCTAACACAACGCTCTGAATAGAGGAGCCGTGAGCATAAATTTGCAGCAGCTGTTGCCACTAAATGAGTTTCGCAATGCACACTGCTCTTTGGAGCTAGAGAAAATCGCCACTAATTTTGAGCAAGTGTTTTTCTTTTACAAAAAACAAAGGATAATATGAAGAAAAGATAATCTTGGGTGATTTTAAATCCACAAAGGGAAGTTTGAAGATGTTTTTTCTATGAATTTGCACAAAAGCAACATTTCTGATTCCATTCGTACTGCCTCGTTAACTTAAATTGCTTGCCATTTCCCGAAGACATTGGGCACTGTGCAATAATCGCATTAGGACCAACTTGTTGACTGTCCCCCTATTGTTTATCGAACTCGCTGCCAATATTAACTTTTCATTTAATTTGCAGCGAAACTTTTCGCATTGTGCGCGAGTAGTTTGGGAACTCGTGTTATCTGCCGGCGGAACAAGTTGCCCGCATTAACCGGCTGCCATGATGGCCATTACCTGCAAACGCTTTCGTTAAGGCCGAGCGAGAGGACTTTTCCGCTTTTCCTGCCGAGCCATTTTATGGCCTGCAAATTGCATTTCACCCACTGCAATGGCTTCGGGCCTCCTTAGCCTTTATTCCACTCCACAAACATCCTTTGTTGTCCTTGTTTTTACTTGTGTGTGTATGTTAGAGTGGGAAGTGCTGGAACTGTATACGTATTTATACGATTATAGCGGAATGCTGGCCGAGAACTTTTGCAATCCAGAGTGCAATATGGCAAATACCTTGGCCCCGCTCCAACTGCCAGCTAATGTTGCCCCGGGCTCCAAGGGTTAAGTTACGGCTTTAATATAAATTGTGTAATGAGCTGTATGCCAAGCAGCAAGGTACTTGACTGGCGAAAGCGAGATTTTGCATAGAAAGAGCCCTGCAGGAATCCCAAATGGAAACTTGAGCACTTTCTGTGTGAAATTTAAATATTAATGGACCCCCTGAAGGCAAAAAAATGCAAAACTTTAAAGTAATTAGGGACGTAAATTCCTAAGGTTTCAATGATTTGCAAAGGGTGTTATACTTTCAGTCAGGAAGCCAGCTCTATTCTTGTTTGTTTTATTGTTAGGTAAGAATGTCTATTCAAAACAACCACAACGTAAAAGAAAAACTTTAAAATCTATTTAACGGCCGAAAAGGGCAATATAAAACCTTTCAAAGAAATTGTCTGTAAGCAACAATTCAATTGTACCTGTCTTTTTCAGAATCCAATTTCCTTCCAATCGAAAGGCTAAAACAAAAGAAAAGCCTATGGCAATAGCTTTTAAGTTATGCTATCTTAGTCCGAGATTGAGCATTTAGAATAAATGGGAAAACTTTTAAAATTGTAGTTTAAAATTGAATTCCTCTAAGCTACGGAAATACACTTTATATTTATACTTCTTTCAATATAAATAAGCCACAATTCGATAAAGGTTACATAAGTTGAAAAGTATAGCCACAGCCAAAATCTCGGATTTAATACTTATGCAGCAATAAGTTTGAATAGACGAGAAAACTTTTAAACTTCTGTTTGCAAATAGCTAGTTGAATCCTCCATACTTTTTGGCCTACAAATTAAATCAATAAAACAACCATAAAGCAAAAAGGGAAGTAAAATTCTGCAGATAAAAAGTTCTTTCCACGAAACCGCGGCGAGGAGTCCCCAAGGAAATAAACTTACTTGGCAACTTCGTATTTAAATATTCTTTCGGCGCAGCGAATCAATAGGTTTCGGATATTGAACGGGAAATATTTTTGGGCAGGCCAACGTCACTAATGGCCGCCTTGCATGGCAAAAGGCAAAACGGTAAGGAGACCTTTGGGCCAGAAACGCAGATAAGCAAACCGAAATTGTCAAGCCTCGTTGGCCGCATTGCATAAGCCGCGGCTTACACTCAATTCTCAGCTCTCGGCCTTTTGCTCTCGGTTTACGCTTCTCAGTTCTTGGCTTTTCTCGGGCGCGTGCTCGAGTGGTTGGGGAAAAGTCGGGGAGGAGCAGGGAAACTGCTTACCTGTCAATGGGATCGCCCTGTCTGTCTCGCATTGGCAGTGGCTCACAAAGGCCACCCACTTTTCTAGGCGAAGCCTGCGCCAACCTTTTCCCCACTCGCCCGATGGGCATGTCCTGGCTTTAAGTGCATTAAGCTCAGTTCGCAATTTAATTTAAGTGTTTCTCTGTTTATTTTCCTCGCTCGGCGGGCTATCACTTCCTCCGCATTTCCCCCTTTTCCTTTTCCTTTTCCTTTTCCCCTTCCCTTTCCTCTCCCCATTTTCCCGGTTCCCATTGCGCTTGTTGCTGGCGTGTCTGTTATTATTTCTATTTATAAACGCTTTCGCCTGGCCGCGGTTTCTGCCAAGTCTGAATTATGCATTAGTGTTTCGCCTTTGATTTGGACTGATACCTGCAGTGCGGCTAAATTTAGCTTTAGCAGCGCAAATTCTTCAATGGCTACAGACTTAAATCGATAAACAGACACCATGTGTTCGCACAATTTTATCTTATTATTTTAATTAAAAAGTGAACTTTGAAAACAAATTTAAAAACTGTTCAAAAGAAAAAATTTTCTGGAAAAACAGAAATACTTTTTCAAAAAATGTATAGATTAAGGTTTCCTTGCAGAGCTTAAGAGTTTCCCAATCCGAGTTTCTTACATTGAAATGATGATGGTTCCTTTAAGTACCCATAATTTTCTCCACCACTTATGGTTTCCCTTAATGCTATTTTGATGCCCCTTCACAGAGGTGTTAAAATCACAGTGTGTGAGCTAATAGAATCATATCAATGCTCTAATGCACCTAAAAATGCACTTAGATGAAATTTGTCGTACAATGAAGGGACTTCCGCCTCGTTCTTCCATTAGCTTCCGCGTAATAGCAAATTTCCTGTTTACAACCTGACCATAATTTTTACACTTTTACTGCACTTTCCTTGGCTTTGGCCGTGAGTGAAGCAGTTGTAAAACTAGAAGAGCGCCCCTCCAAGGAGCCGAAAGCCCCACACTTGAGGCAGCACAACCCGGGCATCTGCCACGAAATATAAATGTCAGCCAAAGTCGTATTCATAAATAATAATATGGAAAACTCCCGCTTACACACGCTCTTTACATCTGACATTGAAACATGAGCAGACAGTCCGCTGTAAAATGGATCCAAGTGCTGGGAAGCTCACGTGAATTGAAATAAATTACTGACTCACTGACTCACTGACTGACTGACTGACTGAATGAGCAACTGACTCATTGACTGAGTGGCAGAAAGTTTGCCTAAGCTTGCTTTTGTTTTAGGTACAGAGAGAGTCAAACAAATTGACCTTCACTTGAGATAATTTTTGGTTACTAAAAAACATAAATAAATACCTAAGAAATATTTCAATTCGATTAATTTAAATAATTTAGAACTATGATCTATATATATAAAAATGGAGACAAAATATGTGCGCAATCGCATCACATGAAAACGGCTTGACCGATTTGGCTGAAAATTGGTAGGGAGATAGCTTAGAACCAGAAGAAGGTTTAAGCATAAGAAAATTTTGGGAAAACCTTCTGGAAAAGTCGCTAGCGGCTCAACAGATGTACACAATGTTGTATGTAAAAAAAAAGATCATAGCTGCGTTGATTTTGTGTATCGATGAAGTCGGTAAAAAAATATTTAAACAAAAAATAGAGCGAGCTTAAACAATTTGAAATAATGCCTGCTGTTAGACGAATAGGAATTGGACGTGCAACATTGACTATTATGTTGTTAAATTGTGTTGACCAGCGAAGCGGGCACAGGACCTCTAGTTTATTATATATATATTTATATTTATTTTTTTCGCATTATCCTGAACAATTTTGGAGGCTCCACTGTGCTTAGCATTTGAAATGTAAAACACAAGGTGGTCCGCATTGTGTGCACGTGCTGGTGGGTGTACTTTGACTTGGCTCTTTGTTTTGCCTGTGTTAGCAAGTTTGAGTGCAAGGGTTTCGGCACTCACCCTCGAGTGCCTGC